TAAAGCTAACCAAATTTCACGACGAAGGTTCTCCTTGATCCATAGGTTTCATTCTGAAACTATTCGGAAAGAACAAGTCCATTTTCTTGGATTTTAACAGTTCAAGTTTGCTATCGCTATTTCTTAAGAAATGCCCGAGAGATTTTATCGCAAATTTCAGATGTAGGTTACATTGTTCAGTAGTTTAAAGACTTCGGAAAACTTCAAAATGGTTACATCTTAATTTGCATTTTGTATTGTTTTACGGCCCATCGACAATTTGAGTCATTCAGGGCCAAACAACAGCACAACAACACAATAGACATTCACAAAAACCTGAATACATAAAACAAGAAACAAAAGGTTAAAATGTGCAAAGATGTCAAAATATATCAATAAAATTTATGATATCTTATTAAAAAAGGTCAATTGGATGTAAATAATCGTAGATTGATTGCACCGAAACGGTATCGAATACACGTTTATAAAGGGTACATTATAAAATCTGTCACTTGGCAGACATCTTAAATTATGATAGTAAGGAAATAATAATATTTATTCAGGAAAAGACCTGCACAACTAAACCATTTCACATAAGCAGGTTATTTACCAAGTTAGTTTCTATAATTTATTTTGTCATACTCTGGGATAGCCTACCACAGTCATAGAAAGCTCATTTCCAATTGAGTCATGATTTTAAGTTTGTTTACCATATTTCTCAGGAAGTACTGGAGGCATCTTTTCAAAATTTCTCATTTAATTCCAATTTTTCTAACGTTTTACAAATTTTCATTTGCGACTAATCTGAAAAAGTAGATGGCCGCCAAGCGACCATTTTGGATTTGTATGAATTTTTCAACAAAAGTTACCGCAATATGCGTTAACTATTGGCGAGACTATCAATCAAACAGGTAAGAGAAAAGAAGAGATGTCAGAGGCACAACAAACGGGTTTTCAATGTGTAAGCCCAACGATGAAGCACCCCGAAGCGCGTAGCGCGAGGAGGGGGAGGGTATGGGAGGGGGTTTCCCGCCTCCCATTGGTGGGGGTCTGGGAGAATTTTGTTTTCTAGAACACATGAGACGCGTTCTCCCTTGTTCTGGCGTCAGTTTTAATGGCCATTTTAAAGCAAGAAAATATCGTTTTCCCCTATTATTTTACAAATATTTCGCTACTTTTTGGGTACGAAGGGATTGGTACTCATCTACGCCAGTTCTATTGTGGAGTTCGGTAACATTATTCCACGAAAAAGAAAATTCTAAATTCATGTGGATTTTGGGATACTTGTTGTAAGAGTGTGACGTTTCTCCTCGCGACTGTGACTCCGGTTGCGCAGAGATATGAGAATTGTATCACAAGCTAGCACTAGGAATAGTTTAACATTATGTACATAAGAACCGATATACTTGTTACCATGCCGAACGAATATGCTACCCTCAGTGCTACATTTGTTAGAGACTTTGATTACAACGAAGCATTTTAGTTGGCGGTCTTTATAGCAGATACATAGCATCTGTCATTGCTTTTTAATATTTTATATCATATAGTCTATGTTGCGTTTATTTTATTTTTATTTTGTCAAAAATGATGTGTAAGCCCGGGCTTTTTTGCTACATAGGTTGTTACGCGCCTGGATGTCAGATCAAATTTACAAAGATCTAATGAAGATCTTATGATGGTAGGCGCTAGGATCCCTCCGGGATCTCTTTTTCAAACATCAAATTATATACTATGGATTCCGGTTATTGTTATGTTGTAATTAAGATATATATCTATATAGTATATGTCGTATAATTACGACGCACTTATCTCATAGTTACAACCTATTTAAAGGTGTGAATGTGTGTGTGTGTGTGTGTGTGTGTGAAATATAACCATCTACTATACGAATTGTATTTCACGGGATATTACATGAACCTAAGTTGATGTTTGTGTACGTAAGCCACCAGGTAACAGTTCAAGGGAGATAACACCCATCATACAATAGAACACTTTTTCAACTATGTGTGTTCTTCGATATAGCGAAAATCAAACGCCCCTTTGAAATATCAAAATATCGATTGGAATTATATTCAAGTTATTCACCAAGAAGTATTTAACTTGCAGTGCAGTAGTTTACAAACAAATGGCACCAACTTGACACAACTGTTCTTCAAGACAAATGTCATCAACTTTCTTCAAATGTGGGTCAAGATAAATGTCATCAAAGAACTGCCCGTATTTCCCTAAGTCGGCATTTTTGAAACGGGAAAAAAATATTGATGAGTAAATAATTTTTAGTAGCTAAAATGCAAGGAATAGATATATAACCAATTGGATATGAATTTATGAATTGTTTAGATATTCGGTTTCGTTAATATAATACTGCAAATATAGCCATATTCACTATATCTATGAAAGTAACGTGGATTCCCAGACTTAAAAAAACACCTTTCAATACTTTCTCATCAGAGGACCAACTTTTGAATAAACTTTTTGATTCTGTGATGTAATAGTCAAAAATAAATCGTAGGGCGGAAAAGTGGTCCTCCTTTGGGAAAGTGCCCAAAAAAATTAAAAGCAGGGTTGATCATTTTTTTTCAAAACTGCGACAGATGTTTCTTGGGTTAAAACAGTTTATATTTCCATATTCGTCTATGTCCGATGTAGCCTAATGTATAACGCAGTTAGCTTGTGACCAGAAGAAGTGAAAAGTGTAGGTACGAACCCACATTCAGATACACTTTAAAAAAAAAATAGGCATGTGACCATTTTCCATAATTAAGTGACAAATATTTTTCAAATCAATGGAACATTTTATTGATATGGAATCATTTCAACAAATCAATATACACGTGTACAGTACAGCTACGCTTTGTAATTAAGTCATCATTTCAAATAATATTTATGAATTGTTTTACCCTCCAATCGGCACTAGTAATTTTTTTATCATTTAAAGACAAATAAATGATTCCGAAATACAAAATATATGGGATTGTTGCGTCAGGAGAAAAAAAGCTCAAAGCAAAAATAAAATAAAATGTTATTATCGCAAAGATATTACCGAACATGCGGGGAAATTCATTGACGAGGACAGTCTATTTTTTTTAATGCAGGAAGACTGCAGCACAAAGTAAGTAGCGGTATACACGTGTAAGACATGCTATTCGAAAACTATATGTACTTTTACTATTCCAAGATGTAGGATAAACAAAATCAAGATGTGTGCCTTAAATTTGTCTGGGGGGTTTTCTGAGGACGCGTCATAACAGTGCACGGTTGGACCCGCACGCTAGCGGATCATAGCTTTGGGCCGCCATAGCTCTCTTTAGTAATTTTTACCATGAAAAATGTCATCAATCGACTAAAATATTAATGTTAGTTCTCGGAGGTAGGAATACTTTTTTCAACATTCAGGGTTTGAGTTGTTACAGTTGAGATCGTGTACTCTTGATAAAAACCAGGGTCGCATTAGATAAACGCAGTCATGTCGAAAATCCAAATATTTGAGGGTTGCTTTACTAGGCCATCTCGATTAGGAGGCTTTATAGATAACACTTTGTATTAACTGAAAACGACAGTTAGTTCATGCTATAAGCATTCAGTTTTAATTACACGTCAGCTATTTAACGCTTATATTTGATATAAAATAATATTTTCAAGGAATTTCCTTTCTGTATGCAATGTATTAACGTAAAGGGTATACCTGCATGAGTTCCACAAAGAGTTTTTTTTTGTAATTTTGTTTGAATTAGAAGATAAAGCTATCCAAAAATATTTTTTTTCTGGCGAAGAGTTAATACCCCTGTTAAGATTCTCATATGTGACGCCGGGCTCGTGACCGAAGGGAGGCACGGTAGTCTAGAGGTAGGACGCCGGGCTCGTGACCGAAGGGAGGCAGGGTAGTCTAGTGGTAGGACGCCGGGCTCGTGACCGAAGGGTTGCGGATATTTCTTTAAACAAGATACTTAACTCCGCTTGTTCCAGTCTACCCAGCTGTAAATGAGTACGTGGTTGGGCAGTGCTAGAATTGTTGAATGCTAGATGTGAGCACCGAAATGGCAGCACCGGTTGTATGCTCTCCAGGGAGTTGAGAAAGATATTGGCTAGTTGTAAAGGTCCTATATATAAATACGGATACTAATTTGTGAACCGCTTTGAGACGACCTACAAACTAAGTTGTGATAAAGCAGTGTATATGCTTTAAGGCAATACAAAGAAGGTGAAGCTATCCAAAGAATCATTTTTCTGGCGAAGAGTTAATTCCCATGTAAAAATTATCATATGCTTTGTGGCCCAAAAATTGGAAAATTTCCATACATACAAGTTGAATCTATGCAAAGAGTTTTTTTCTGGCGAAGATGTATACCCCTGTTTAGTTTTTCATATGCCTTGTGGCCCAAAAATTGGACATTCATTCTGGTGCTGTGCTTGTATAATTCCCATGTGGCAACATTGGTTTGATGTAGGTTTTGCAATGTTAACGTACTACAATTTCTTGTTTTTCTTTTTATTTCTGTTTTCGAACATTAATATTTCTTACAACTTCAATACTGTAAAATGTGGCAACATGTATGTGTTTTCATGGAATATATCTTTTGAAAAGGACTTAAACAATTATATCACAGCAGTGACAACGGTTATACCCTTCATTACATGTGAAAGAAATAAAAAAAAAAAGTTGTATATATGAATGTCTAACGCTTGGAAATTTCGTGAAATGCAGAAAAAAATCTTACTGTGTGTGTCCTTGTAAAGCCTTAGCCCTGTTAACGTTCATGTTCGCTGCTGCTCTTCAAAAAAGTATATTTTACCGCCAATTTTAATACCAGCTTGTATGACACCGAATGACACCAGTGACTTGTTTTTCAGTTCGACGTTAATAAATCAGTAGTCGGAAATTCCCGATAATTAACTCGTATTTAATGTGAAGATGATGTCGGGGAAAATGCACTTTAAAAAATGTAAGGTGCACCCTGTATGTTTTACAAAAGAACTGTACGAGTTATCTGCCTTTAGTTTACACTACAAACCTGTTCCGATACAATGTACACAGTTGTGTCACTTAGATGCAAGTAGACGATCGCGAACGTACAGCGGACTGACATGCATGACCTACTATGATCTGATCAGTAGTGACTAGTAGGCTAACTTCTATACATCAGCAGCATTAGAACGTTCAGTCATGGAGGAATACTGCAATGGTACATTTTGGGTAAGTACTGTACTGTTTGTTCTTTTACACAAATCTAGTCTATAGTAAATGTTACTGACAGTACAGACTACTAGTGCTGTACTGACGAAAAGGACTTCTGATAGCCAGCGGTGACTTTACAGTGATACCCATGCAACACAAAATATCTGTTAGTGTACCTACTGAATTAATATAACACAAAACATGTATAATATTATGAGGCAAGACATTTGTCGCTACTTTCGTTCCATATAATGACCCGTTTTATACAAATATCTGGTCGGCTAACCGGTAAAAGATCGTAAAACGCGTATACAAACTTACTAGTATATGACCTTTATAGAGACCGGGAACCGATTCAGAAAAGAAATGCACAATAAACGAAATGTGGAAATTAATTCATTGTTAATAACAGGGAATATTCTCATTAATGGAGTAACTTCTGTTATTTAATATTTTGAAGCACTTAATTAGTGCAACATTTCCTTTAATAGCCAATGATAATATAGGCTATGTACTGCTCTACCTGTAGAGGAACACCTACTGTACTCATCATATCATGGTTAAGGTAAGAACAGTTACAATAAACTGATTCTATACATCAGATCTTCTCTTCACCTTCAGAGCAAAGCTAACCATACTTTGCTATGTGCCTGTTTTGCAAAATATATAATGCATACTGTAGGCTGTTGTGAAATACTTTGTACAAGTTACACTATCAGTGACCTATATATTACCCTTTATTAAGGTTGATCAGTGAGCCTTTTTGTTCATGTAAAAAACCCAGGGAAAAACCCATTGTTGGCACAAGGTGCTGACTTATAAGTTATTTCTGTCTGTGACCACCAGTATAACCACTCCCATCTTTATAGAGTTTGAAAATTGCCTAGTCAAAAAAGTGTGATAACCAGCGTCCATCAACCACTCCTTGGAAAACCTTTTTATTACCCAAATCTCAAGTTGCTGGTCTATTGGAATTGTAAACTTAATATTTTTTTATTAATTTTTTTTTAATTTTGTGCTTCTCATCATCACATGATGTATTGAATGCAGAAACATGTACTTACTTATTTGCTATTTTTTTAAAAAAAAATGACTAAAATTAAAACAAGTTTTATTATTTCTGCAACATTTTGTATTAATGTGAAGTGTAACATCAAAGAATTTATGGTCATGTGATGCATCAATATGTGTTATAGTCCCTGACACTCTGAAACTCTCTCAGTATATTTAGAAAAGTCATCAATCATAACATTCAAACCTGAATCAACTACATTCAGTGTAATTTTAAGCTGACAAAGTTTTGAGACAGTTTACACAGCTATAACAGGTATCATGATGGATGGGCTTATGGGAAATGTTGATGGAAGAATGTGGTGTTGAAGGGATTTAAGTCATTTTAAATCAGTTGATCTGATTTTGCATATGTTTTTACCTGAGGCTAGTTACCTGAATCAAAAACTGATGATGTTTATAAGGTAAAAATGTCTATGTATCATATACGTACGGTATAAGGATTTTTAAACAATTTCTTCATTTGAAAGTTTCATTATTTTTGTAGTAATGGTGGTGCTGATATGACATTATATGACATTTGCTGAATTTGTTTGAAACATAAACATGAAAACTGTTATTTAGTTTCTAGTTTTACAAAAATAATTCCATTTCTTATTTATTAACATTGAACAAACACAAAACGCATGGTGTATTGCTTAATTGTATTGAAAATCACCAACTAAAGTGAGGAGGGGTTCTTTTCTTTTCGAGTTTGAACATCACATATAATTTCAAGTTATAGCAATGAGTGGAGGTTGGGAACCTGTTTCTTTCCAGAAAATATGTTGTGAAATCTGTTTTTGCTTGAGTTTGGGGTATACAGTACTTATAAGTAACAATTAACTGAGTCAGCATACTTGCCAACTCCGCCCCTGCAGGTAGGGTTCGAGAAAAGAATACACCTGCTGTTACCAACTGCATTTATTGTAAGAGTAATGCGGACCCCGCTGCAGAATTGGGGATTTGCTTTGATGTCCTCGATTTGGGGACACAAAAGTGACCAAAATAAATCTGCTGCACCCATTGCAGTATTTTGGATCTTTTGATTTCTTTCTACTTCTAACTATCTTTTGTTTCCTAGCGCCTTGATTGGCAATACCCAACTTTTGGCTTTAATGTTGAGCGTTCGCCCAGGTGAGGAAGGCAATGGGTTTTGTCTCGAGGCTAGGACATACCAAAGTCCTTAAAAATGGTAGTTGAATTTTTGCCTACTTAACGTTCAGCATTTGGGTAATGGCAACAACTGGTTAACCTGTTGTCAGTATAATGTGACCAGTCTTTAAAATTTGACATAGTATTTTAGTCAGATAGCAATTACCTATACCATACCGTGTTTTTACCTTACCGGGTACATGAGAGTTATATCCACAAATATGATGTAATATTTATCTAATAAATTGATCCATTTCCATATGCCCTTATTCTACCCGGTACATCTAACTCAGAATCTAAAGTCATGTTGTAAAAATTTAACCTTTAGACATTGAGATATAGAGTATGTGGTATGTATATGTTATAATTAACAGGTATGAAGTAGGAATACAAGTGATTTGTCAGCAATTTCCTCCCAAGAACATCACAGAAGATTACATTTCAGATACACACTCTGACTCTTAAAAGTAACATCATTGAGCTGGCTTTTACATCATGCTTGTAATTGTGATTTAAATCCAGTAATATAGAATGGTTTGATCTCTGTTAACACTGTTCCTCCGCGTATCATATACGTCCCTCTCATATACCCGAATCGTTCTCCGATGTTAGATAACGGGACACATCTGAATGCTTGTTGATGGACCTCTCAGGATGTTTTGAACTATATTATATAATTTTCCAATTTACAGAGAGAAAACAAATCTTGGCCAAAATAGGTTAATCCTTCAAATCCTGAATTTAATAATCTCCATGGTTAGACCAACCACAAGTGCTATTGATTGTGTTTGTAATGTCAAGACCACATGTAAGGATACATTGAAAAAAACATATTATATATGTTATATGTACATGTGTAACATTTGGATGACTAGTATGATACGTACGCTATACTATGTTTACTAAAAACAACCTTAGTAGCTCACCTTTTGGTTTTATGCAGGTATATGGCCGATAAATTATCCATTTAGATTTCATGTTCATCTTGCCAACCTATATATGTTATACTGAAAAACTCTTATAAATAATGAAAACTATATTACATTACCAATTTAAAATCCATATGTGAAAAATGTGAACCTGAAAATTGAGTGCCTAATTTTTGTTACCAGAAGACAATTGTGGTCTGTTGGAGTTAACACTAGTCACAGATGTTTTTATATTCACTGCCGGTTTGTTTATATTTACTGCCTAGGATCATGATTTAGAAATCAAAGCTGAGTAATTTAATTAACCAGTTCATTTAAAGATTGAATCCTGTTTTGTTGAGGTTTATGTGGTATAAACCTCAATGGGTCTTGAGACAAATTTTATGAACTGAGAAGCAGTTCATTTTGAATTTGTCTCAAGACCCATTGAGGTTTATACCACATAAACCTCAACAAAATGGGATTCTATCCTTATATTTACATTCAGAGTGATATTGATACTTGTTCGGATAATTTCTAAAATATCGGTCTTGTGCAAGTCTAACACCATGGAAGGTATCAAAACTTATGACGTCATAACTCACTGTGAGACGTCGTCCTGGTAAGATGAATAAGCAAATTAAGATGAAAATTATTTTTGAATTCAATTGAATACTTCTGACAAAAAAAATAGATATATAAAACAATCTAAGAATGGAACTACTTCCCGCGCTCCGCGGAATAACAGAGTAATCAGGTTGATAATATGCTGATGTATTCATACGCCAACTGAAATGTTCATTGAAAAATAACCTTTAAAATGTTAAGTAGGTATATTGAGTCCAAGTTCAGTAGAAATGTAAATAAATTTTGTTTCACAGTGACTATATTATAGCAGTGATAACCTCCAACTAGTGTCTGGGAGCTCAGACTGCCCTCACAGACTAGCCAATACATATCCCAGCTGTCTCCACTATCTGTGACATGAACAAATATGTAATATATCAACCTGTTATACACTATAATTTATTGCCCTTGCGAAGCCCTCATGAACCATGATTTATCTGGGAGGAAAACGAACTGTGTTTCCCTACCACAAGGACAATATTTTATTATGTGATATATAGTATAATCCAGTCATATACAATGTTATAGACGAGGTATGGTAACGACCCTTCGATAGTCTGAGTTTCTTATTGATACACATTTAGTACACAGATTGTGGATAAGTGTCCGTAGACACTCACTTTTACACTTTGTTATACCCATGCGACAAAGCTATTGTTTTCCCTCTCCCACATTATTGGTCTATTTATCTGCACAACTTAAACAGTTTTCATCTGTATTTTGTAAAACTCCCCTGATGTAATTACCATTTTCTGAAGTTGCGCACCTGCTTTTACATGTTTGATTCTGTTATTTTGGATAGATGTTTTATTCAACTTAATTAGTACCTAGTAAACAGAGTTTGTTGTATAATGTAAATCAAAGTCAAAAATTGTAATGCCCAAGTTTTCTGGGTACTATATCAAAATCCCACCTTTTCAAAGTGTTCATGTCATGTTCATAAAAATTACATATTGAAGGAGCAGATAAAAGACGTACAATCCCCAGAAGGCAGAATAATGCAATACATAACTTGTTTCTTTTGCTGAAATGTCCATGATTAATTATTGGTGAAGAAAATATCTTATTATATATTAGGTATCTTATGCTAGTACATAACTTATTCTCACTTTACCAAGAGAAGACATTGTCAGATAAACATATGGCTACCCCCGGTATATCAAACTTTTTCATGTGTGAAAATGTTTCTGGTCACCTGCCTGACCACGTGGGTTTTCTCTAGGTACTCCAGTTTCCTCCTACATTATGACCCCATACACTGTAACATCTGGGCCAGCAAGATTGATCAATATATCGTTATAACTCATTTCATAATTATTATAAATAAATAATTTGTTTTTTCAAAAATAACCTGATCGATATACAGTATCTCATTAATTCTAAGTCATTTACAAACAATTTCTCAATTTGCTTTTTATTTTTCAGGATATTAATGAGACTTGGAATAGCAGCTGGCCACAATTCACTGAGTGTTTCCAAAATACGGTGTTGGTGTGGGTGCCATGTGGCTTTGTGTGGCTCGCCCTACCATTCTACTTATGGTACCTCCTGTCTGTCGCAGGGACAACTCTAAAGTGCTCCTGGAAACATAGAATTAAGCTGGTAAACTGTTTTCTCTGTCAAAGTATTTAAAAACAAAACACACAGTAACTGTTAAAGATTTAGTCTAACTTTCCTATCATATATAGTCTGTGTATAACCAAGATTATTATGGCTTTGAAAAATGATTGGCCAAATTATATGGCTATAAATTCAAATGACCTGAAAATCTTAAATGATCATTCTATACAAATTATATGAGTAAGGTAAAAACAAACAGTAATGGGCTGTACGAAATTTAGGGAGCATTTAAACCTTTTTTTGCTCCTCCTTCAATGATCACTGCCATAAAAGGCCAATGTTGAAATAACATCATAATGACCATGTAGTTCTTAGTCCATCAACTTTTCTTTCCTTTAAATCACTTGTATGGCACATTCAAGTATAAAGAGTCATCATATTTTCTGTAGCTTAAAAACTTCATTGTTGAATGTCTACTGATCAATCAGACTCAGATCCATGATATTTATCATTTGACATGCTGGGATACAAGACTATCTACTAGTCTGTTTAAAGATATGACCTTGACCCACTTGAAAGTTCAAAGACTCCTTCTAGAACCCTGAAACATAGAATCATGATTTTTGTAGAGTTAATTGGAAGGGTTTACTACTGAATGACTTAGAACTACTCTCAAAGTCACAGGGTTAAACTATTGTTGTAATTGATTAAGATCCTTAGGCCTTTTAAGGTTTTTTTGGCAGGATATGTCCAAACTGATACAAAATTTCTCACTATTTTTTGACACTAAAAATACTCATCAACACCTGAGGTCAGAAATGCAAAAGTACCATCATATGTCCATGTTCTCTATTTATAATGCAGCAAGATAACCTGTGATCTAACCAAAATCGTTTTATTTTTCATAATTCCAGGCCATAGTGGTTATCCTGATGGCTTTTCTGGCGTATTGGATTGTTGAGGTTGTCAACGACCTCAAACCTGAAGAACAGTACTGGAGAGCCAAACTTGTGGGACCTATCATATATCTCATTACACTTGTGAGTCCAATACAAATATACACTGTATACCATATATAGGGACCTGTCTTATATCTCATTTCACTTGTGAGTACAATACAAATATACACTGAATACCATATATAGGGACCTGTCATATATCTCATTACATTTGTGAGTACAATACAAATATACACTGTATACCATATATAGGGACCTGTCATATATATCATTACACTTGTGAGTCCAATACAAATATACACTGTACACTATATATAGGGACCTATCATATATCTCATTACACTTGTGAGTCCAATACAAATATACACTGTACACTATATATAGGGACCTGTTATATCTCATTACACTTGTGAGTCCAATACAAATATACACTGTACACTATATATAGGGACCTGTTATATCTCATTACACTTGTGAGTCCAATACAAATATACACTATATACCATATATAGGGACCTGTCATATATCTCATTTAACTTGTGAATACAATACAAATATACACTGTTTACCATACATAGGGACCTGTCATATATCTCATTACACTTGTGAATACAATACAAATATACACTGTATACCATATATAGGGACCTGTCTTATATCTCATTACACTTGTGGGTACAATACAAATATACACTGTATACCATATATAGGGACCTGTCTTATATCTCATTCCACTTGTGAGTCCAATACAAATATACACTGTATACCATATATAGGGACCTGTCGTATATCTGATTACACTTGTGAGTACAATACAAATATACACTATATACCATATATAGGGACCTGTCATATATCTCATTACACGTGTGAGTACAATACAAATATACACTGTATACCATATAGAGGGACCTGTCTTATATCTCATTACACTTGTGAGTACAATACAAATATACACTGTTTACCATATATAGGGACCTGACATATATCTCATTACACTTGTGAGTCCAATACAAATATACACTATATACCATATATAGGGACCTGTCATATATCTCATTACACTTGTGAATACAATACAAATATACACTGTATACCATATATAGGGACCTGTCTTATATCTCATTCCACTTGTGAGTCCAATACAAATATACACTGTATACCATATATAGGGACCTGTCGTATATCTCATTACACTTGTGATTACAATACAATTATACACTGTATACCATATATAGGGACCTGTCTTATATCTCATTACACTTGTGAGTACAATACAAATATATACTGTATACCATATATAGGGACTAGTCATATATTTCATTACACTTGTGAGTCCAATACAAATATACACTGTATACCATAGATAGGGACCTGTCATATATCTCATTTAACTTGTGAATACAATACAAATATATACTGTATACCATATATAGGGACTAGGCATATATTTCATTACACTTGTGAGTACAATACAAAAATACACTGTATACCATATAAAGGGACCTGTCGTATATCTCATTTCACTTGTGAGTACAATACAAATATACCCTGTATACCATATATAGGGACCTGCCGTATATCTCATTACACTTGTGAGTACAATACAAATATACACTGTATACCATATATAGGGACCTGTCTTAGGAATTCAAGTCATTACACAACATACAGATGAACAATCTGGTGAGCCTGTGAGTACCTTATTGTGCATGTAGAGGGGTGAAATCCAACTACCCAGTGAAGGCTGCTACCCTTGTTAGTGGGGTATACACAGGCATTACCAAATATATGTGAAATGTATTCACTCGTGTAATCAAAGACGTCAGATGAGCACAAATGTGTGGTTTTGTATTTACCTTCTATGGTTCTTCATTTGCATATCATATTTTCTGTAAATCATTACTCACTTTTTAATGTTAAGTTAGCTCCGGGAAAACTTGATATGCAGAACAATAGCAGAATAGTACAATATCGACAGAGTGATGATGTTACACCACCGCCAGAAAGTGTTACTGCATTGGGAATTTGGTTTTTTTCTGGGTTGTCGACTCAAGCTTATATATATAAAAAAAAAAACCCCACTTCTGCCTATGTGTATTTAGATGGTGAGGCATATTTTAGTTATACAGTGTATTTAGATGGTGAGTGATTTTCTTATACAGTGAATTAAGATGGGGAGTGATTTTCTGTTACAGTGTAGTAAAATTGGGAGTGGTTTTCTATTACAGTGTATTTAGATGGGGAGTGATTTTCTGTTACAGTGTATTTAGATGGTGAGTGATTTTCTGTTACAGTGTATTATGATGGGGAGTGATTTTCTGTTACAGTGTATTTAGTTGGGGAGTGATTTTCTGTTACAGTGTATTTAGATGGGGAGTGATTTTCTGTAACAGTGTATTTAGATGAGGAGTAATTTTATGTAACAGTGTATTAAGATGGGGAATGATTTTCTGTTTCAGTGTATTAGATGGGGAGAGATTTTCTGTTTCAGTGTTTATAGATAAGGAATGATTTTCTGTTACAGTATATTAAGATTGGGAATGATTTTCTGTTTCAGTGTATTTAGATGGGGAGTGATTTTCTGTTATAGTGTATTAAGATGGGGAGTGATTTTCTGTTACAGTGTATTAAGATGGGGAGTGATTTTCTGTTACAGTGTATTAAGATGGGGAGTGATTTTCTGTTACAGTGTATTAAGATGGGAAGTGATTTTCTGTTACAGTGTTTTAAGATGGGGAGTGATGTTCTGTTACAGTGTATTTAGATGAGGAGTGATTTTCTGTTACAGTGTATTAAGATGGGGAGTGATTTTCTGTTACAGTGTATTTAGATGGGGAGTGATTTTCTGGTTCAGTGTATTAAGATGGGGAGAGATTTTCTGTTACAGTGTATTAAGATGGGGAGTGATTTTCTGTTACAGTGTATTAAGATGGGGAGAGATTTTCTGTTACAGTGTATTTAGATGGGGAGTGATTTTCTGTTTCAGTGTGTCGTGTTCCTGCTGATGTGCCTGGAGAGATGGAAGGCACTGGTCACTTCAGGAGTGCTGTTTGTATACTGGGTTCTGGTCGCTTTTACCCTAATTATTCCGCTTTACTCCATGATCATTCAAAAGGTAAGTAAAAGATGTAAATGTATTAAAAATCTTAATTACTAGTCCAACACTTGTACTAATACTCCATCTCTTAGTCAGTCCATCAGCAAGTCACTTTTCCTGGGCATATAGCACAAACAGTCTGTCACCTACAATTGCAATATTTTGTATATGGGTACGTCTTTGGATGGCAATGTGTCCAAATATATAGAGTTATGGCCATTTGTTCACTGTGTCACTTTGTCACAAACATTTTCATATACTTTGTCATATACTCATAATCACCAGATTTGTATGTGAGTGCTTCTGAGCTGACAGACTGTCATGCATTGAAATATGGGTCTTGTGCACCAATTCATTCATAGTTATAGCCCTTTGTTTATTTCTAACATGAAGTTTGTCTGGAGGTGGAAAACATTGTATAACTTGCAGTGCTTTAACCTGTTTTACTTGTACAGAATATAATATCTACTTAGGTGACTAGTGTGGCTAGCTGTGTTTCAGTTAGAGTGACTAGCTAGTATCTATAAGTTAACTCTGACTTTTGTTTTTGTTATTTTAGGCCTACAAAGATCATTTAAATGGATTTGTCATCTTCATGGTTTCCACTGGACTTGTTCTAATACAAGTGTTAGTTCATTGCGTGGCAGAGGAATTACCCCACACTGACAAGGTAAGTATCGAACACCACACTGTGGAAGGTTAGTGCCAAATATTCATTTGTCATTTCTAACCGAGTGCCAATCAGGCATTAGTATTTTTCATCTTTTGCCAAACAGTGTTTTATAATCTATGTTATTCTCTTCCTTTTTTCCAGCTCATTTCTCCAGAAATTAAAGCATCTTTTCTGTCGAGGATGTCCTTTACATGGCTAGACGGGTAAGAGTTAAGATGAGTTGTCAAAGAGTTATCATCAGTTACTTTCCGTCATATGTACATTTTAACACCTATGCCTAAAGAGATTACTATGACAACTAAGATGTTATAGTCTAAATAATTTATTATTATTACAAAACAATGATTTTGATCATATTGGATAACATTGAACACTGACCAAAGAACATTGTAAATCATTCGACCTGCTCCACGTCTTTGTCATCTTCAGTGACAGTAGTCTAGTTCTGGATGCTCAAGATATAAGAAGGAATGGTCATCTTTTTATCTTTAACCCTCCAAATGTTTTGAGCTGGACTAAAGTGACAGTGTCTTCATCATCATCATCATCATCATCATCATGTGGAGCAGGTGGCATTTTTACAATGGGTCACTGACCAGTGTTAGGAACAATGTCAATTATATCTCTATTTAGAAATAAAGAAAATGTTAAAAAGAAAATACATGTATAATGTAATTTTCTAGCTTGCCTATAGACTTAAAGTTATACAATTTTCCAGACATTCTTTATGTCTTAACTCACTTACTGCAGACTGGAGACTTTAAGAAAATATTTATTATAATTTACTGACAAAAATATTTCTGTTCTAGGCTAATGGTGACAGGGTACAGAAAGACTCTCACAGAGGAAGATGTTTTTAACCTGGGTCCTTCAGAGCTGTCACAGAACGTTGTACCAAGATTTGAGAGAAACTGGCAAAGGGAGTCTGCCAAACAGAAAATTAAGTAAGAATACTGTTATTTGATATACTTTCTTTGTGTTTTATAAAAATGCCATTTCATCGATTCATAACACAAATAATTTTGGAGGTCAAATGTCAAAATCTGTGAGTCTAAGTACTTGAAAAATTACGTTTTTAAAGCATCTTGCAGACATTGATGGCAATCTTAGATTTACCTATTGACAAAAAGTAGTGATTGAGGGTATTAGTTTAAATTACAGGGAAATTGGGTGTTAGTTTGAATACTTTTGTTGATGAAAACAAAAGATTAAGACACGTGAAACTTCATGTTTCACTACATATATTGCATGATAATTAAGATGTTTAACATTAATCATGCTATTTTAAATAACAGACAAAATAATCCATTTCTAGTCATGATGTGGTTTTCTCAAATCTAGAGCAATTTTATATGATTTTTAATTCATTCTACTGACATCTGTTGTAAATATCAATAATGTTTTTGTCTGACGGCGTAAATCTCACATTAGTTAATGATACTGCATCAACTTAGTTAAATTTTGTAATCAATTTCCTTTCTAGAGCTCAAACCTCAAGAATTACAGAAATACCTGCAAGTTCTTTTGAGAATTCCACTGAGAGAACACCATTGTTGGCGAGCAGTCCCCCAGACTCGAAAAAGGACTCACCCAAAAAACTGGTGGGAAAACCTAGCCTGACTAAAGTGCTTTTTAAGACGTTTGGATTGGAGCTATTGAATGCCCATATATTCAAATTATTTTATGATGCATTAAATTTTGCGAATCCTTTTCTTTTACGGTAAGTTTGTAGGTTGATATATGAAGCAGCTTTAAAATAGACTTGTTAAAATAATAGTTTACTAAATAAATCATTGTTTCCTATCCTAATGTATTGTTAAATCCACATTAGTATTACTCTTTCTGTAAGCAATGATACTTAACAGTGTGTCAGTAAAGGTATACTTAGTCCTGTAAAACTGTACCTAGTGTTTAGTTTTATAAGTTCATACTTGGTACCTGTAAGTTGAAATATTTTGGATGTATAGTTTCATTTAAGTTCATTTAACACATAACAACTGCCCATATAACCAATACTGTGTTACATATTTCCTGGTACATTTCTAATTTATGTTTTAAAAATCAAAAACGTGACTAAGGAATTTTTAATTCTGAAACTATGATGTATGTTTATTCTTTCCCTGCAGCTTTCTGATAGATTTCACTGTGCCTGGCCCAGACGGTGTTTATCAGCAGTCCTGGAGGGGTTATGTCCTGACTGCGGGATTCTTCCTCACCACCATCATGCAGTCCTTCCTGTTTCACCAGGTATTCCACATGAGTACCACCCTTGGCTTGAGAGTCCGCGCAGTAATTATATCCGCAGTCTACAAGAAGGTGAGCCAGTTTGTTAAATGTACAACACTTAAATCAAAATACCATCTAGAAAAGAATTTGTTGTCGGCCTGGGGTTACTGCTGTTCAATCGCATGCTGATTGTATGTAGAGACTGACAGGTACCAAAGACTGATTTTTACACGAAAAGATAAGCACATTTACAACTGGCCGGGCAGTCTTTATTGAAGTTTTTAAGCCCAAAAAATTGTTCTACTTTGTAAGATGTTTCCCGTTGACGTGCAAGATGATCGGAGATGTATATGCACGTGACAAATTATCCAAAAGTCGGGGTGGGGGGTGGGGGGTGATCGTTGAAAGCCCTGGACCCTCATCAGGACCCGATGAAAAATATGATATTCATGGCAGGGCAGCAATTTGGAAGTTTATATTTGTGCAGTGCTGAGTCTTTATTGCGTATCATGTAAATTGACATCATCTCAGCCGATACCAGCCATCTTTTTCAAACAGCATTAATCAGTATCTTCAAGTTACCGAAAATTAACTATCACAGCTAAGAAAAGCCATTTATTTCAATGTTTATCTTTGTTACACACACACATTAATAATTTGGAGCTGTTCGTATCAATACGACTTGTGTAACATAAACATACAAAAGTTTACATTTAAACACTTAGATTATTTGTAAATTAGTAAAATGTTTAAAGGTGACGAATCTGCCTGCACCTTTGAGCAAAACCACGGAAGGCCTGATGACGTCACGTGACGTCATTCATGCGTGTTAACAACAATGTTTATTTATAGGCATTTCAGTCAAATCTTCTTCTGTATTGGTGCTCGTCGGCATTTTGATACATGTGTTTTTGGACGAATAATTAACCGAAACCCTTACTAATGTGACGAATTTGCCTGCACTAACGTTAGTATTTGAGGTATAGGTATAATTACCTTAACTTTATGATGCACTTATAATTCTGTTATGAGCTTGGACTTACTACGGCCATAACTTAGACCCAGCTCAGATCATCCTGATGAAAAACACATTTGATCTCTCTTACATCTTTACCTGGAGGTATTTAGCTGATTACCATATGTGATGTAATCATTGTATTGTGTCAGTGCTAGTAACATGTTTACCTGGAGGTATTTAGCTGATTACCATATGTGATGTACTCATTGTGTTGTGTCAGCGTTAGGACTGTATGGTATATGTATTATTGATTTGATTATGCAATTAGAATATAAATCTGTTATATACCTGGTAACATTTGATTTGAAATAGCCATACCTTAAACCCACAGTACAGGTTTCTATTTCAGGTTGAGATTCTCTACCACAAATGGGTATGTTACTTTACATCATATTTCTTCTCTAACAGGCACTATCAATGAGCAGTGCATCCAGAAAGGAATCAACGACTGGTGAAATAGTGAATCTCATGTCTGTTGACACTGAACGCATAGTTTCAACACTGCAGTATCTGTGGGGCATCTGGTCCTCACCCCTTCAGATGGCTGTGGCACTCTACTTCCTATATGGGACCATGGGCCCTTCCATGTTTGCTGGATTTGGATCACTTATACTCATGTTCCCTCTCAATGGCTACCTCATGTACAAATTGCAAAAGTTACAGGAGCAACAAATGAAGCAGAAGGACATTAGGATCAAAGTCATTAACGAGGTTCTTAATGGAATAAAGGTGAGCCAAGGTCACAACAGCCAATTGCAAGGTCACAACAAAGGTCAAGGATTGGATAAAACAGAACTAAGGTCACAACAGAAGTTACAAATTGATTGAAACTGAGTCAAAATGACTGCAGATGACAAACATGAAAAAAAAATGAGCCAAGGTCACTGAAGAGGGCAACAATTAAATAAAAGTAAACTTTAAGGTCACAACAGAGGTCTACAACGATATTTTAAATGTATTGACTGCTTCATAGTAATTTTTTTACTTTATAGATTCTCAAACTCTATGCTTGGGAGATGTCATTTAAGGAAAAGATTGCTGCTGTGAGAAAACTGGAGCTGAAATATATCTGGAAGGCTGGCATATTTGGCTGTGGTTTCATGTTCTCCTGGTACATAGCTCCCTACCTTGTAAGCATTTCATGTGGTTTTTGAGCTACTGAATAACTTCATCTGTATATATAGGACTCGCACAACTAAATTCTTTTGTACCCAGCTAGTATTATCTTTCAGATTGTGTCTAGTCTTAATGTCATTACAAATATTAACACACATACTCAAGTTTTCAAGGACAATACCTCATTGACATTACCTAGCAAAATAAAAACATTGGGTCAATGGTAACTGTTATATTTCTGCATTTTAACCTTATACAATGTACATAAACAACCTATACCATCATAAATGGTCACTAACATCTTTTAAAGAATTCACACTAATGATGGCCCCAGTAACATGTATAATTAGACTAATCTCCTAAAAATGTAAATATTTCACTTAAATCTGAATTAATATTTATGTGGCATTTGATCCAATTTTGACTTGCTTTAATCAGGTGTCCCTGGCAACCTTTGCGACCTTCATCTTTGCATCAGATAATCATTTTCTGGACCCTCAGACAGCGTTTGTGGCCATTTCCCTATTCAACATACTGAGGTTTGCTGTTAACATTGCTCCGGCTGTCATCACAGAAGTGGTCACGGTAAGGACTACCTGATATGGTCGCCAGGTCAACGGATTATCATATTTTTGTGCTTGGAATATCTGTGCATGCTTGCATGTATGTGATCTTTGGTCCACTTTTACAGCTGTAGTGAAAACGTTTTTGTACAAGAAATCAACCTTGTCAAGGTTAAATAGTCAAAAATTACACTTGATATTTTGATACACAAATTAAAGCCATGTTTAAGATTCAAGTATAAATTTCATTGTGTGGATCATGTGATTGAATTTTATAATTCTAGGCCAATGTCTCGATGAAGCGGTTGAGTAAATTTCTGAACAGTGAGGATCTTGATGCAAAGTGTGTATCTCACAGCTCCTTGGAGCGTAAGTATTCCCGTATTTTTGGGACTGATTGAAAAACCAAGATGGCAGTCAGAGGGCCATTTTGAATTTCTGAGAGTTGAGGTTTGTTAGCACTATTTCTCAGAAAGTACTGGAGTGGTATTTCTAAAATTTCACATGTAGTTTGCGCATGGTCCGTCATTACGCATATCAAATTTTATAAGAGCAACATTAATACAATTGCTTTTTAATGGCAAACTACATGTACGCTGAGACATTTCACTTTGTTCTATGTGTACAAGCCATACTGTCTCCAGGTCATAGCCTGACACCTTCAATTATTAAATTTTGTTAGTGAGTACCTCTTGGAAAGGAGTATCAATTAGGTCAGGTCTCATTCTCAACTGTATACAGAATTGTCCTTTGTTCACCATACAGAGTTATTGTCCTTTGTTCACCAAACAGAGTTATTGTCCTTTGTTCACCATACAGAGTTATGGTCCTTTGTTCACCATACGGAGTTATGGACCTTAGTTCACCATACAGAGATATTGTCTTTTGTTCACCATACAGAGATATTGTCCTTTGTTCACCATACAGAGTTATTGTCCTTTGTTCACCATACAGAGTTATTGTCCTTTGTTCACCATACAGAGTTATTGTCCTTTTGTCACCATACAGAGTTATTGTCCTTTGTTCACCATACAGACTTATTGTCCTTTTTTCACCATACAGAGTTATTGTCATTAGTTCACCATACAGAGTTATTGTCCTTTGTTTACCATACAGAGTTATTGTCCTTTGTTCACCATACAGAGTTATTGTCCTTGGTCACCATACAGACTTATTGTCCTTTGTTCACCATACAGACTTATTGTCCTTTTTTCACCATACAGAGTTATTGTCCTTTGTTTACCATACAGAGTTATTGCCCTTTGTTTACCATACAGAGTTATTGTCCTTTGTTTACCATACAGAGTTATTGTCCTTTGTTCACCGTACAGAGTTATTGTCCTTTGTTCACCATACTGAGTTATTGTCCTTTGTTCACCATACAGACTTGTTGTCCTTTTTTCACCATACAGACTTATTGTCCTTTTTTCACCATACAGACTTATTGTCCTTTTTTCACCATACAGAGTTATTGTCATTAGTTCACCATACAGAGTTATTGTCCTTTGTTCTCCATACAGAGTTATTGTCCTTTGTTCACCGTACAGAGTTATTGTCCTTTGTTCACCATACTGAGTTATTGTCCTTTGTTCACCATACAGACTTATTGTCCTTTTTTCACCATACAGAGTTATTGTCATTAGTTCACCATACAGAGTTATTGTCCTTTGTTAACCATACAGAGTTATTGAATGTCATTAGTTCACCATACAGAGTTATTGTCCTTTGTTTACCATACAGAGTTATTGTTCTTTGTTCACCATACAGAGTTATTGTCCTTTGTTTACCATACAGAGTTATTGTCCTTTGTTTACCATACAGAGTTATTGTCCTTTGTTTACCATACAGAGTTATTGTCCTTTGTTTACCATACAGAGTTATTGTTCTTTGTTCACCATACAGAGTTATTGTCCTTGGTCACCACACAGACTTATTGTCCTTTGTTCACCATACAGAGTTACTGTCCTTTGTTCACCATACAGAGTTATTGTCCGTTGTTCACCATACAGAGTTATTGTCCTTTGTTTACCATACAGAGTTATTGTCCTTTGTTCACCATACTGAGTTATTGTCCTTTGTTCACCATACAGACTTGTTGTCCTTTTTTCACCATACAGACTTATTGTCCTTTTTTCACCATACAGACTTATTGTCCTTTTTTCACCATACAGACTTATTGTCCTTTTTTCACCATACAGACTTATTGTCCTTTTTTCACCATACAGAGTTATTGTCCTTTTTTCACCATACAGAGTTATTGTCATTAGTTCACCATACAGAGTTATTGTCCTTTGTTCACCATACAGAGTTATTGTCCTTTGTTCACCATACAGAAGTTTGTTTGTGGATACATTTTGGGATGGCGAAGTGTCGCAGACTTCGGATCTTATCCCCATTTATGCACCTAGCTATGGCCGTTGTTCTATTTAAGCAATGAAGTTTGTTCGTAGGTTTTGAGATTATGGATGACTTGCAGTGCTTTGATTGCCTTGTTAGGATTATAAGAAATTATCTGAGATATTTTTAAATATGTATCATATGTTCCTATAATTTATGTAAATCCAGGTGATGCAGTGGTGATCAGGGATGGAGAATTTTTGTGGGATGAAGAGGTTGGAACTACATTATCAGAGTAGGTTAACCACAGGCCTATAGGTTTCTTATAAGACTGATGACAAATTAATATAAATACAATGTACCGGGTACATTACCACTTTGTACTGCACTTATTAATGATATTTCATAGATTTAGGGGTTGAGACCATGAAGATAAAGATACATATACACTTTGAGTAAATCTCGGAAGATACTTTTAAATTAGTATTTTTCCATCCTTAAAAGGAGTAGTGAGTTTCAAAACTGTATGTATCAAATGAAATTGTTACACTTCAAATGCTATTTATTTCCAATATTTAGTACATTTACATGGTAATAGTAGTATCTTCCTGTTAATTCATTCAATAATATTTTTCTTTCAATTCCTGCAGTTGGTTTTGAAATCAATTAAACATATTTAAATTGTTTAAGAAAAGTCTCTTCCTCATATCCATTGGTATTTACTGACATTTATATTTCTCATATATATAACTTCGTACGGTTTCTAAAATCTTCTATTAAATCTGGATGATTCTTGTTAACACAGTCAATTGAGCTACATATTGAATTGTCAAAAGAAGGTGACTTAGATCAGTTGTCTGCTTTATGGCTGAAAAAAATACTTTAGATAGATAGATCATATGTACCTGTTAAAATCTATATTCAGTATCAATGTACGAGTCCCAGAGGGAGGCCTGGTGGCTGTCGTTGGACAGGTTGGAGCAGGGAAGTCCTCTTTGATATCAGCCATTTTAGGGGAGATGACGAAAGTGAAAGGTCAGGTCAATGTCAAGGTCAGTAATAATATATAAAGTCACTCTATATTCTGTAGTACTCTAAGGTGATTGACCGTGTTTTGTTTTAAATCTGACTGTAAGAGATACTTTAAAGATGGTGTTTTTTTTTTAATGTTTTAAAAGTGCTTTTGAATACTGTAACTATGGAGATCTGTATTTGATAAATTGTTGGTGTATCAATTGAATCATTTGAAGTTGACTATCCAAACAGCCTGATTATGATTATTTGAATTCTATACAGGGATCACTATCGTACATACCACAACAAGCATGGATCCAGAATGCAACACTTCAGGACAACATCCTGTTCGGTGAGAAACTACAACAGCAGCGTTACGACGAGATTTTGGATTCCTGTGCGCTCGTCTCTGATATGGACATGCTGCCAGCTGGAGACCAGACAGAAATCGGTGAAAAGGTCAGGGATATGAGGAAGACTGTCAAGTCCTTTTGTCTTTTACTTATATCAAATACACATGTAGAGTATACATGTATCTGTGGATAATGGGTTCAAATTCTTAGTACAAAGTTTTATTTGTTTTTGGCATAAGAAGTCTTTATTTGGTATATTTGAAATTGTAAATAAAACCTCATAAGATATCATTTAAATGTTGACAAGGAAAAGTTTTGACACACGTGTTTAGGTAAGGCATGTGTCTAGTTTCAGATTGACCTCACACTGAAAAAAAGATGGCTAGAGTTCTGTGACTGTCATATTAATAGTTTATCACTTGCAAAAGGTCTTAATAAAACATAGGAGAGAGAATTGCAAGATGAACTGACATTTGCAAAAAAAAGAATCAATTTTAATAGGTACCTAGTATGTATGAAATATTACAATCATAGAAGATAATGTGAGTAAGATTAAATTTAAAGTTTGAAGGAATACAAAAGATAGCTGTTGCGTATTACCCTCTTTGATTCAACATTCAATCAAACAAACAAATTTATATGAAAATGGTTTGTACCAACCAAAAAAAAGTATATATATGATATATATTAAAAAAACATCATTGTTCAAAATAATTATATAGATAAAATATAAGAAGTCAGAGTAAATCAAATAAAGATTTCATTTCATTTCAGGGTATCAATCTGAGTGGAGGTCAGAAACAAAGGGTCAGTTTGGCTCGAGCAGTGCACTTTAACTCGGACATCTATCTACTGGACGACCCTCTCAGTGCTGTTGACTCCCATGTAGGCAAGCATATCTTTGATCGGGTCATAGGTCGTAAAGGACTGTTAAAGGACAAGGTATGTACATTTGTGACCTATATCTAGATGTTTCAGGGATACAAGGTACTGTATACCATGAAACATCAGTGGATAATTACATCTTTATCCTTTCATATTTACAAATAATTGTTTTGATGCTTGTAGATTTCATTCATTGAAGTTTTACACTATAATTCACTGTTCTGATATTTACAGTACTGTTGTAACCATGGAAACCTCACTTAAAAGTGCTTTTGTTAGGTTTGTTTGTGTTTTAAGCCCTATTAACAGCTATGGTCATTTAAGGACGTACCAGGTTTTGGGGGTGGAGGAAAGCCGGAGTTCCCGGAGAAAAAACACAGACTTAAGGCCAGTACCTTGGGACTGCCCCACATAGGCCTCGAACTTGCGACATAGTTTTGGAGGGCTATTGGTAGCAGAATGTCAGATGCCTTAACCACTTGGCCACTGCGGCCCCCAATTAAAAGTGCACAGACAATGTATTGTGTTACACAATATAAGACATACCTAAGGGTTTACATAAATATTAGAAACATTTCTTGACAAACTGGCCAAGAAACCTATGTTTTGACATTTTTTTGAAAATATATTCTGTGTTATAGACCAGAGTGCTGATAACACATGGAGTCCAGTGGCTGCCCCATGTTGACACCATTGTGGTGATGGATAACGGCCGAGTCACAGAGATCGGATCTTATGATGAGTTACTCAGTCACGCAGGGGCATTTGCCAAGTTTCTCCAAACATACTTTGTCCAGAATGAAGAAGATTCTGATGAGGAAGAAGATCCTGAAAGTAAGGGAGACAATTAAGATTATCAAGTTAGCAAAACAATGAAAATTCCTGATCATAGAGCAGCAGAAGATAGTTTTCTTGATCTTCATCAGATCAATTTTGTTGAAAGGTTTTAAAGGCATGTACTGAATCAAGTCAAATCATAGAAAGATGCCAGATAATTAAGAATTATTAATGTTATTAAGGTCAAACTGTTATATGCTCAGGTGTTATGTGTTCAGGTGTTATTAAGGTCAATGTGTTATATGCTCAGGTGTTATTAAGGTCAAACTGTTATAAGCTCAGGTGTTATTAAGGTTAATGTGTTATATGTTCAGGTGTTATTAAGGTCAATGTGTTATATGCTCACGTGTTATTAAGGTCAATGTGTTATATGATCAGGTGTTATTAAGGTTAATGTGTTAAGAGCTCAGGGGTTATTACGGTCAAACTGTTATATGCTCAGGTGTTTTTAAGGTCAAACTGTTATATGCTCAGGTTTTATTAAGGTCAAACTGTTATATGCTCAGGTTTTATTAAGGTCAAACTGTTATATGCTCAGGTTTTATTAAGGTCAAACTGTTATATGCTCAGGTTTTATTAAGGTCAAACTGTTATATGCTCAGGTGTTTTTAAGGTCAAACTGTTATATGCTCAGGTGTTTTTAAGGTCAAACTGTTATATGCTCAGGTGTTATTAAGGTCAAACTGTTATATACTCAGGTGTTATTAAGGTCAAACTATTATATGCTCAGTTGTTATTAAGGTCAAACTGTTATATGCTCAGGTGTTATTAAGGTTAATGTGTTAAGTGCTCAGGAGTTATTACGGTCAAACTGTTATATGCTCAGGTGTTATTAAGGTAAAACTGTTATATGCCCAGGTGTTTTTAAGGTCAAACTGTTATATACTCAGGTGTTATTACGGTCAAACTATTATATGCTCAGTTGTTATTAAGGTCAAACTGTTATATGCTCAGGAGTTATTAAGGTCAAACTGTTATATGCTCAGGCGTTATTAAGGTTAATGTGTTAAGTGCTCAGGTGTTATTATGGTCAAACTGTTATCTGCTCTGGTGTTATTAAGGTCAAACGGTTATATGCTCAGGTGTTATTAAGGTCAAACTGTTATATACTCAGGTGTTATTACGGTCAAACTATTATATGCTCAGTTGTTATTAAGGTCAAACTGTTATCTGCTCAGGTGTTATTAAGGTCAAACTGTTATATACTCAGGTGTTATTAAGGTCAAACTGTTATATGCTCAGGTGTTATTAAGGTTAATGTGTTAAGTGCTCAGGTGTTATTATGGTCAAACTGTTATCTGCTCTGGTGTTATTAAGGTCAAACTGTTATATGCTCAGGTGTTATTAAGGTCAATGTGTTAAGTGCTCAGGTGTTATTAAGGTTAATGTGTTAAGTGTTCAGGTGTATTTAGGTTAAAGTCATGTCTTACTTGTTTTGCCACATTCAACCTACACTTGACAGGGTTAGGTAGCATCATGTCACAGGTACAGTTGTGGGATTGTACAACGTTACACACAATATTGTGCAATTAAGACCTTCCTAATATCTTCCAGTTGCGGCAACCAAAGCAAGGATTTTGCAGAGACTCACTTCAATCAATTCAGAAGAGGGAGGTGAACTTTTAAGGTACCAGTACAACTTGTAATAAAACAATGTTCAAGTCCTGGTGTAGATTGAAAAACTGTTTTGAATTCCTTACCCTATATAACCTTAGAGTGCCTTAAGGTTATGTGTGTATTAATATTGAAAAGTCCATAATAGAAAGACATATCTATGCCTTGTTTTGAAGATTATACGTGTACAAACACAATAAGGGAAATGTAGCTATAGGTGTAAAAAGGTTTAAACGCTTGAACTTGTAGGGCCTCCGAGTCAGAGAGTGGAACAGATGACAAGACACTCAGGAGAAGGAAGTCTAAAGGGCTGGATAGGGGAATGTCTCGAGATGACGGTGAGAAGAAAAAAGGGCTGGATAGGGCTCTGTCTAAGGAAGCAGCAGTGGAGAAAAAGACAGACGACAAACTGATAGAGGAAGAACAGTCAGAAACAGGCAGTGTATGTATTTACTGATGTAAATAAAGTGACATTAGTGGCCATGGATGTACCCTAGTATTTACTGGTGATAACACAAAGAAAGAGGGTAAATGTTTAGCCAAAAAGACTGAAATAAAATTCTGAAAATTGATAGAATTGAAAATGCATTTCTGTGGACCGAAGTTGTGAATTTCTAACATGGTTTCTATTATGAAGTTAATAGTTAATCCCCTAACATGTAGAGATGATATTTGACTGCAGTTTAAACGTTGGTGTCTATATTTGGTGTGTACTATCTTTTGATGAGCTTGTATCTTCCCTAGGTTAAACTTGCTGTGTTTTTTGCCTACGCTCGATCATTGGGCCTACCATATGCAATCGCGCTTGTATTGCTAAGTGCAGGCTTCCAGGCTATGGGCGTTCTCAGCAACATGTGGCTCAGTAATTGGACTGGTGATGCCACCCTCAATAACCGTACCTTAGGACCACCAGACAGCTCTATTTACATGGATAAAAACAAGTATTACCTGGGCATCTATGGAGCACTTGGAGCGGGACAATGTAAGAAAGGATGATATATATATATAGGTCTTTACTTTGTCATAATTTTAGCAAACCAGGCCCAAGGAAATGTTGCATGTCATATTAAGTTCTTCACCAACCATTTCTGCAAGAGAATATATTTCTGAACAGCTTCAGACATTTTGACAAAATTTTATATAGAGCATCTTTGGGTCAATGTATGTTATTTATTATTGCAAGGTGGGGCCTCCCTTGGGTAAGAATTGCAGGTTCTAAACCAGAGATTGTTCTTTTAACACCATTCCTAGTTTAGGGCCCTGCATTGGAGATGTGGGTACGCTGTAGTAATCACAGTGTCTATATTATTAAGTCTGTCTTTCTACCTAGCTGTGCTAACATTCGATATTCAATAAAATTTAATGGAGTTAATTATCTATTTGAATGCAGCAAATTTAACTCTTAAAAGATCAAATTTCAGCATGTCTGTTCACACTTTTGTTTCGAGGGATTAATTCAGAATCTGAACAATTACTGTTTATTTTTTAAATTTGAAATGTTGATATACTGTGATATGAAGATATTCAATAAGGGTTTTTAGTTTTGAAGGTAAAGGTCAACTGTTGCTAAAAATAAACTAAGCTGACCTGTCAGTGTACCTGTTTCTCAATATGGAAGTGGACTGCATTGGATGCCTGTAGCTTAGAGTAACTGTTCTAATTTCAAATGATGATATCATTTCAGCTATCTTTATCACAGTGTTTTCACTTGTGCTGGTATTTAGAACAGTGAAAGCTTCTAAAGTGCTACATGGTCAGATGCTCCACGGCATACTACGATCACCTATGTCCTTCTTTGATACCACACCTATTGGCCGAATTGTCAATCGCTTCTCCCAGGATATGGATATCATTGACCGGGAACTACCAATGACAGTTCAGATGTTCCTTGATTGCTTATTCATGGTGATTGGTTCACTGTTTGTCATATCCTACAGCACACCTTTCTTTATGGTCATCATCCTCCCAGTAGGGTTCCTCTACTTCCTCGTACAGGTAAGTTATCCTAACCTACTGCACACCTTTCTTTATGTTCATCATCCTCCCAGTAGGGTTCCTCTACTTCCTCGTACAGGTAAGTTATCATATCCTACAGCACACCTTTCTTTATGATCATCATCCTCCCAGTAGGGTTCCTCTACTTCCTCATACAGTTATATTGAAGTGTTCATATTGTAGAGAACATGTGTTTATGGAGATCACCTTTTTCGAGTAGGGTTCCTCTACTCCATTGTACAGGTAAGTGATCATGTCATTGTAAAAGAAGTGATTTTTCTCATTGTTCTCATTTATCCTTCAAAATAGTAATTCAGAAATCATGTAACCATTCATAATATTTATAAAAGATAATTTTACTAGGTGCTACTTTTCAAAATTCTCATTGTTCTGGAATCTGAAAGACTGGTTTAAAGAGGAACAGTCCAACCTTTCAAAAACCTTGATAATTGTGATAGATGATTCTATATATAATCTAATCTTTCATAGGAACGCCCAAGGATAGTTAAACCTCATGTATACAAATAGGATCTTAAATGAGTTTTCATTTCATATGAGATTTTATGAAACGAGTCTTAGGAGTTTTTATTTTTGCGAGCCAATGAAAAATGCTCCAGGGTATATTACACTAGTGACATATGTAAAAATATTACACAGGCGAATTTACTGGATAACAGGCCGATTATGTGATAAAAATAAATATCATTATTATATCAACAGAGATTTTACATCCCATCATCACGCCAGCTAAAGAGGGTGGAGTCTAAGACACGTTCACCTATATATAATCACTTCAGTGAAACTCTGGCAGGAGCTAGTGTCATCCGCGCCTACAGCGTCCAGCACAAGTTCATCACTCAGTCAGAGGAGAGGGTCGACTTGAACCAAAAATACTCTTTTGCTAGTTTTTCGTCAAACAGGTAATCAGACAGAAATGTTAACCTTTAAACCAGTACAGATGTAAATAGATAGGCTTATTCAGTAAGAACTTAGCTTTGAGGTCATTATAATCGAAAATGAATGCAGATATATATATACATAAAAACAAATTAAAGGATGTTCAGGAAGGTACCTTTTAATTATATCTTACTTACAACATACATGTATATTATCTGTAATATGAATAATACAAATGCATAGGTGTCAACCTCTGAAATCTCCAGATCTCCCTCATTAAACATTTCCAATGAGGGAGAAAGTGCATGAAATGAGACTAAAACTGCTTTGGTCAATTTATCATTCCCTTTTATGTATCAAAATAACTCCAAAGATCATTCATTTGATTCAGACACACCTGTTGTGATCATTACACACACCCTGGAGTAACTAGGAGATCATTTGGCCACAATATGTAGATTTTGAGTTTGTGTGTGTTTAGACTTGAATGAGGGAGTTTCGAGGGAGATTGGTAAATTTTGGTCAAAATGAGAGAGTTTCGAGGGAGTCTCGAGCTCCCTCCAAAAAGATAAGGGATATAAGCACAAGAGTCCATTACCTGTTCGTAACTATGAACTTTCTAACATCATGTGATAAACCATGGAGATTATTGTATCATGAACAGACAGCATGTTGCATACCACAGAATCACACAGAAATGTTTTTACCAGGATTAGGTCAAAGCAACATGTAAAGGGTCTCTACATGCATATATTATACCTAGGCAGTCTGTCGCATGTATTACTCTCAAAGTAAGATGCTATGTCATGGGAGTGGAGGGGAGAGGGGTGGATATATCTGTGTCGGCCCCACAACAATTTGTTTTATTCGGCAAATTTTCTGTCTAAATCCAACACCACATTGATGAACATGACTTTGAGTGATGCTGTGTAATATGAAACTTTGGCTGTGTATTAATGTTCAAGGTTGCCTTGTTTACAGTGGAAGCACAAATAAATGTACAGCTTATTTACACCAACCTGCTGACCACACTGTATTTTATGAAACTGTGCTGCAGTTATCTTAAATAGATCAAAATAGCATTTCTAAAATGATAATGATACTTTGAGGTTCTTTTATACCTCTTTATCACAACCCTTAAGTTCGAAGGTCGTCTCAAAGTGATTCACAAATTACTATCTGTGGTTATTGGGCCTTTGCAACCAGCCAACACAGTGCTGTGACGTGACTTGACAACTCTTTGGTCATGAGCCCGGCGTCCTACCACTAGACTACCATGCCTCCTGTAGCCCGGTGTCCTACCACTAGACTACTGTGCCTCCTGTAGCCCGGCGTCCTACCACTAGACTACCGTGCCTCCTGCAGCCCGGCGTCCTACCANATTTCTCTGGGTAACAGACTGTTTGTATTACAGGTGGCTTGGTTTCCGATTAGAGTTCCTGGGAAATTTAATCATTGTGGCAGCTGCGCTGTTGACAGTAATTAGTAGAGATGGGAGTGGCATTACAGGTTCCATTGTCGGCCTGTCCGTCACATACGCTTTACAGGTTTGTATGGCGCTTAGTTATCAAAATCTCCATCAGAGATGGAACTTTTTCAGGAGCATTTTTTTTTTTTATTACAGTAAGAAAATTTAGGCATTAAAGGAAACACTAGCAGATCTTTTTGTGAAAAGATTTCGCAACATGTTTTAGAAAAAGAAAGTCAACTTGTTTTCTGATTCTTGTTGTAACTTTTCTGTCATTTAAAACAGTTAAATTAACCTTGATTTCCAAGTAATCAAACAACATTTTGATGTTAAAAGTATTGTGCATGTTAATAATGATGTATAATACATGTGAAAACTTGGTTTACAGATCACAGAGAATTTGAACTGGATGGTGCGTATGTCCAGTGAACTTGAGACCAAAGTGGTCTCCGTCGAGAGAGTCAAAGAGTATGCAGAAATACCACATGAGGTAACAGTCAACTTCCTGTTATTATCATTCTAACTCTTTTATATAATAACTGTCTTAGGAACTATTATTACGTATAGATATTCAAGTGATTCATGTATATTTTGTATGAATAGTGTTCCTTTTTTTTTTTAAACCTTCATCAATAAAAAGCAGTTATTTGTAAGTTCAGATGTTACATCTTTGCAATGGCTACATTTTAAAGACATGATGATGGTGTCTACAGATAATGTAGTCACTTTATATATAGTGCTGTCATACTGAAATGTCAAAACTAGGATAAATGATATGTATGATACTTGACCCAGTCACATTTATAATTATTCTTACAAGAAACTAACTATAAACATCATGGTATGATCACTGGCTATATATGTATATCTTTGATTCTTTATACAGTATGTGTGATGATGCTTTCATGTCATTTCCTACTTCATCTTTACCACTATACTTGTAAAAAATGCCAGGCATTTAATAGATTGATTATTCTCTGCATAATGACTGAGTGGAACAAATGATATTTTCTGATTAACTGAGTGAGAGTAATATTTCTATTGTAAATTGTTTGTCTGGATGTGCTAGCAGCTTTACTTCCTTGACAAACCGGTCTGCGTTCAGCCAAGGAACTGGTGATATTTATAGTTACTTGACAATTGGTTAGAGTTTCTTTATATAATTATATTCCATAGGATAAATTGGTGTACAAGAGTCATCGTCCACCTTCCCTCTGGCCAGAGAACGGAGAGGTCAAGTTTAAGAACTACTCCACCCGCTACAGGACAGGACTCGATCTTGTCCTCAAGAACATTGATGTCACAATCCAACCTGGTGAAAAGGTAGGAAGTTTTGATCAATTACAGAATTGTGTTTTTCCTGTACAGGATTCCTCTATCAACCATTTTTATTTGACAGATAGCATGTGTAAAGAAATTATTCTACGATGTAACAGGAACAATAAAATATAGCATTATAAACAGCTTCCGACAAGAGAGGTGCAAATAAGAATGAAAAAGAAATATTACAAATGCTGAAAACCATGGTATTCATCTAGTATTGAAGCGATTGGGAGTAAAAGAATTATCCCTTACGGTATGCAAGAATCTCAACCCTCCAGGAGAGTTTCTTGAATGTCTAGCTCTCGACTTTTAGGAAATCTCAGGTTAGAAAATTAAGAATATCAGTCCAGGGTTGAGATTTCTACATTATACAATTAGGGTAGAAGAAGATTTTATTACCAGGTAGTCATCTCAAAGCTCAACTTCGACGTGCCTTTCAACAAAGTCCAAATTATGCTGAAATGAGTGACAAGCCACCTGCAATAGAGATGTTATTTGTATTGATTGACAGATATGATGTTCCATATATTACTAGGATGAAGTAAAGTGTTCCTGTACCAGACACACTACATATACATGTGAATTGAAAACACTTGAATCTATTTCTGGCTGTTGTTTTATCAGCTCAATTGCGATAGCCGGGAATTATGGTAAGCAATAGGTACTGATAATTGTCTTTCATTGGTAGGTGGGGATTGTTGGAAGGACAGGGGCAGGAAAGTCTTCCCTAACCTTAGCTTTGTTCCGCTTGATTGAACCAGCCAGTGGCAGCATCATCATCGACGGGGAAAATCTGAATCGCATGGGACTCCATGACAGTCGCTCCAGACTGACAATCCTACCACAGGTAAGATGTATGTCAGTTAACAGTGAGGCCAAGCATTTCAGAGTGTTTGATCAGGTGTGCTGGTTGGCTTGGGTTTGACTCTCTGCTTTTTGACACTTATGCTATCATAGAATTTATCTTTTTATATATTAAGTGATAAATTTCATTGTGTCATTTCGTTGCAGGATCCTGTGATATTTTCTGGGTCTTTGAGGATGAACCTTGACCCCTTAGATGAGTATATGGACAATGACCTTTGGGATGCCCTTGAGCATGCACATCTGAAAACATTTGCCCAGTCATTGGCAACAGGTCTTGAATATGACTGTGGGGAAGGAGGACAAAACTTGAGGTAAATGTACATGACAAGAGGTAATACTAATATTGTCCACCATTGCGGTAGGTATGCATATATGCAGGGCACTCATTGACTTTTGTGTTTTCTGCCACTGAAGTAGGTATGTATATGTGTTTGGGGCACATAGTCTGCCATTCGGTAAAGGTAGGTATACGTATACATAGTGGGGTGCTCAGTGATTGTATACAGGCAAGGGGCACTCAGTCTGCCAAGTGTCGAGTTTAGTTAAACATGGTCAGGGTACTCTGAGTGATGTGCCATCTCCCAACCAATATCACTGATTAAGCTAGGTATTCATGTCATGTCAACCTTCCAATAAAAAAAGTAATGTCAGACATTGACTTCGTTTTTTCTTATAAAAGAATATAAGAAAATACAAATTCATTCATGAACCACCAATGTGTCAAGAGCTATTCTATTCATCAAGTATTTCAACATATCAAACACAATATTAGAATTTGTTCCAGACAGGAAAGCGTTACATTTTGTTATACCTTATTAGCTCGCCTATTCGGAGAATAGAGGGACTAATTATATATAATGTAGTCACCCCGGCTTCGGTGTCAGTGTCGGCGTCCCACCTTCTGAGGTTAACGTTTTTGGCCAAGTTTTCCAGACAGTGTTGGATCATCACACTCAATACACAGTTGTCTATTATGAGATTAAGGCATTTATATTGAGTTTTAGCAATGTTCTGGACCATATCTTCATATTTTAGAGGCCAAAAACAGCTTAATTTGACTTGAAGTTAAAGTTTTTTGGTAAGCTTGAGGTTAAAGTTTTTGGGCAAGGTCTTTTGTGAAGTGTTGGATCACCACCATCAATAGGCTGTTGTCTATTTTAAGGTTGAAGTATTTATTTGGAGTGTAAGCAATATGCTGAACCTGTTTTTTGGCAATGTTTTTGTGAAGTGTTGGATAACCCACCATCAATATAGGCTGTTGCATTGCCTATTATAAGGTTGGAGTATTTATATGGAGAGTAAGCAATGTTCTGAATTATAATTTCATTATTTTAGGGGCCAAAATTAGTTTAAAAGTTGGACTTGGTTAAAGTTTTTGAGCAAGTTATTTTGTGTAGTGTTGGATCAGTCGTCACCATCAATAGGCTGTTGACTATTTCACGTTGGCTGGTCATCTATTCTTACATGTTTAAGTACAGCAAAACCTTTGTTATATTGCCATCATATGTTCAAAGAAATGTTGGCCTTATAAATGGGTTTTGCAATAAATTGAGGGAAATGTATAAGGAATTCTTCAGAAAAACACAATTAAGGGACCTGAAAATATGTTGGCGGTAAGCGAGGTGGCAAATGAAATAATGGGCATTATATCAAGGTTTTACTGTACATTTGTTTCTATTGATATTTGCTATCTTACAACATATATCATCAATAGGCGAGCTACGCTGTTCTCCAACAGCTCTTGTATAATGATGTTGTTGCAGTGTTGGACAAAGACAACTGGTATGTCTGGCTCGGAGTCTCTTGCGTAAAACTAAGATTCTGGTTCTGGACGAAGCCACCGCTGCAGTTGACATGGAAACGGATGACCTTATACAGCAGACAATCCGTACAGAATTCAAGGATAGTACCGTCCTGACCATCGCTCACCGTCTCAACACAATAATGGATTATGACAGGTATGTTACTGCTAGGTACTCTGCTTCAAAGTATTAGTTACTGGATATTAATAAATGGTATATCTATTCTCCTCATAGCCTTTCCACTTCTTTTTTTTGCTCATCCTATATTATCTTTTGTACAATATATTGTTAAGGTTTATGTTTATATTTAATTTACTGTTTACAATATTGATTTTGGGTAGTGTTATAACATTTTACATGTTCATGTACATAGAAAATTACAATTCACTAATTTTAGATTTATACGCCCTACTTAATTACAAATGACCTTATTATCCTTTTTATTTGGTATTTTAGAATCATGGTACTGGACAAAGGAGAAATCTGTGAGTTTGACTCTCCTAACAGTCTCCTTAAAAACACCAGCAGTGTCTTCTACCAACTCGCAAAGGATGCTGGGATTGTGTGATCCTGGCATATAATGCCAAATGACTTGTGTGAAAGTAAGTGCAGCTATAGGTACAAAAGTTGGAGATGGGTCCCTGTATACAGACCCCGTAAGGGGGATACTCATGTAGACCATTAAGTAGATTCAAATGAATGCATTTAACTGTTGCAAATAAATGGCAAATAAAAAAAGTGTTTAAAAATAGAAGGATTATCTTTGGGATATGTCTATTAGTGTGGAGATGTCTTATCTAGGCCGCATTTGTTTATCACAATCCAAATGGTTGAACCGGTTAGACCAGACTTGTTCCTTTATGATATTAGGTCAGATCTAGTAATCTGATGTTACTTTCAGGTGAGCCTTGACAAATTAAAGCCTTGCAAGGCCTGCATAGACATTTGCAGGTCCACCAGGATTTATACACGTAAACTTCACATTTAAATGTAAAATGGGGGCCTATACAAATATTTTGTGTACATCAGTGGAGTGGTACATGTACATGTGTGTTGTGGTACATGTACAAACGTGGAGTGGTACATGCACATGTGTAGAGTGGTACAATTACAAACATGGAGTGGTACATGCACATATGTGTTACATGTACATGTGTGGAGATGTACATGTATGTAGTGTTACATGTACATGTGTGGAGATGTACATGTGTGTAGTGTTACATGTACATGCGTGTAGTGTTACATGTACATATGTATAGTGTTAAATGTACATTTGTGTAGTATTACATGTACATGTGTGGAGATGTACATACGTGTAGTATTACATGTACATGTTTGGAGTGGTTCATGTACATATGTGTTACATGTACTTGTGTGTACGTGAAATAACAGTAACTTAAGAGCAGGGATAGGGATACTTTTGAGAAGATGAAATTGTTCTCTTCAAAAAAGAAAAAAAAAAGTGTATCAAATGTCTTATCAAAAGAGACAATTACCTCATAAACAATCTTGCATGTTTTTAAGAGTGCATAATAATAAAAAAAAAATTCAACCAAAATATTATGATTGGATCACAAACGATTGTTATAATTTCAGTAAGAATATTGGTTTAATTTAAAAGCTGTTTGCTTTTTTCTGTAGCTGTTTTGTCCTCTTTTTAAAACCTGTATAAAAAATTATCATTTCGAAAGAAAAAAAAATGAAATAGTTGACTGTTTTCATTTTCTGCAATTAAAACAGTTCAACACAATGTTAAGATATTAAAATCAAAGAGAGGCTGCGAAAATGACTGCAGATCAGGACATTCTAGATGAAAGATGTTAAAACTCAATTTGTAAATCCACTGACACTAGTTCAGCCATCCTTTTGTAAGCTTGATGTGTTGATCTGTCAGGGAATAGTTGTTCATATCAATTTGTATTAAAATGCCTTTTACCACCAAAATAGCCATAAAATCCAGGGAAAGATTGCAGGGTATTCTTTGCATACAAAAATCGGTTCCTTTAAATTAATGGTTTCATATTATTTATGGTCCTCAATAATTTACTCCCTTTTGCGGTCCTTTTTTAATGTCTTTTTTTGTTGATGTAAATTTTTTTTTTTTTGCTTTGTTTTCTCTCTCCATTTTGTTCTTTTTTAGTTTGAATTAACCTTTGTTTTTTTACATCAAATCATTCCCATAACAGTTGCCCATGACAATACAAATTCATGGGATTTGTCTTTCTGTAATTATGGCATCAATGTAATATTGTATATATAATTATTACAAGATCATCCACTACTATAAGCATATGTAATATTATGACTGTTTTAATACAAAAGCAAGTTCCGGTGAGTGATTATTTATATTTTTATACCAGGGTTAATTTCAGTATCCAGTTGAAACGGTCCAGATAGCATGCGCAGTAGAACAGGAATTCTGTGTGCCCCTGTGTATTGTAACAATAGAATCAGTCATTGTCCCTATGTGTGTTGTTATCTTTTTAATTTCAACAGGTTAAAATGGTTGAACTTGATAAACAATTGCCGCTCTTGGAAATTAAAATATACCTGATATATGGAATAAGCAATTGTTAAACTGCTATTTTGTGTAACAATATATGTCTTTGCATATGATATGTATATAAGATATATGTATATAAAAAACAAATACAAAGAGTTTCTTAGTACCTCCCTAGCACTTCACCTCTTTAGAGGTTCATGGATACATGTATACAATATTATGACTTTTTTTTATACAAAAGCATATTGATCCTCATTAATTCTGAACCACCACGCACTAAGCTGATTGTCCCACTATCCCAACACCACTAACCTGATTGTCCCACTAACCTTATTGTCCCACTATCCCAACACCACTAACTTGATTGTCCCACTATCCCAACACCACTAACCTGATTGTCCCCCTATCCCAACACCACTAACCTGATTGTCCCACTGTCCCAACACCACTAACCTGATTGTACCACTATCCCAACACCACTAACCTGATTGTACCACTATCCCAACACCACTAACCTGATTGTACCACTATCCCAACACCACTAACCGGATTGTCCCACTATCCCAACACCTCTAACCTTATTGTCCCACTATCCCAATACCACTAACTTGATTGTCCCACTATCCCAACCCCACTAGCCTGATTGTCCCACTATCCCACAACCACTAACCTGATTGTCCCACTGTCCCAACACCACTAACCTGATTGTCCCGCTATCCCAACACCACTAACCTGATTGTCCCCCTATCCCAACACCACTAACCTGATTGTACCACTATCCCAACACCACTAACCTGATTGTCCCGCTATCCCAACACCACTAACCTGATTGTCCCACTACCCCAACACCACTAATCTGATTGTCCCACTATCCCAACACCACTAGCCTGATTGTCCCACTATCCCAACACCACTAACCTGATTGTCCGACTATCCCAACACCACTAATATTGTTGTCCCACTTTCCTACCACCACTAATTTGGTTGTCCCACTAAACGCGTGACGCCAGTGTTTTTTAGAACAATTAGATTTTTGTCTCAGTAATATAGTCACTAGCTTTTCACTAAGACAGCCAGGGTTTGGGTATTGGGTCACCTGACTGACCATGTGAGTAACATCAAGTACTCCAGTTTCCTCCCGCACTACCACCTGCGTACTACTATGCGGACTAATGAGTGATTAACCTTATTTACAAAATGTAAATCAGATCTGTGACTTAGCAACCAATATGGTTATGTATGTTTTCCTATATTACTGTTTTCAAAAAAGTGCAAAGGTATGTTGATTGGTGTATTGTTGACTAAAAATACATATAAAATATAAACTTAAATATGCAACCGTTTTTGTTTGTTTGTCCCTTTTTTCCGTACCTGGATGAGTAGTTGAGAAGTATAAATATCATGTTATCAGAATGTTGTATGTTATTGATTTCTCAGTCAACCCCTAATGTATAACTACTGGTGATGACATGTTTTAGTCTATTCATAACTTTTTGTTGGATTTATTTCAGAACTATATTTTGTTGCATATCTAATAGACAGTGATAGTTATATTTATTCACATGTAACCCACGTATTTCTGTTTAAAGAGATAATGGGAATTTTCAATTTAGCAATAAAATGTGAGAAAAAAAGTTTTTGGAATGACACAGAAATCTCAACCCTTGGGTACTATTCTTGTATGGTAATCTGTGGCGATCCTTCGGTATGGACATTCAAGGATCTTACCCCTCGAGTTCAGGCTTTTTACGTCAACTCTCTAGGAAGAGAATGGAGGCACGGTAGTCTAGTGGTAGGACGCCATACGCATGACTGAAGGGTTGCAGGTTCGAGTCACGTCACGGCACTGCACTGTGTTGTATCTTTGAGCAAGGTACTTCACTCCGCTTGTTCCAGTCTACTCAGCTGTAAATGAGTATGTGGTTGGGCAGTGCTAGAATTGTTGACTGCTAGCTGTGAGCGCTGAAATGGCAGCACTGGCTGTATGCTCCCCAGGGAGTTGAGAAAGATATATATTGGCAGGTTGCAAAGGCCCTATAACCACAGATAATAATTTGTGAACCGCTTTAAGACGACCTACGAACTAGGTTATGATAAAGCGATATATAAGAACCTGAAATTATTATTTTAATATTATAGGAAGAAAAAGATCATTTAAGTTCACCTGTATGTCTTAGAATAATGATGAGGCCTCAGAATGATTCAGTGAACATCATAATCTGGTGTTATAATGTATAATTTTAAACACCAGGTTTGGCTATATTTCAATGGGTATCAACTTGATCGAAATATGTGAAATTACTGTAAATCTACAACCTTTTCATAATCTCAGATCCTGTTTATCACATTTGTACATACATTTAGCTCATTCATCCCTGAACATTTTAATAATGAACTGTATATTCCAAACTTTGAATTGGAAGAGTTCAAATGTGTCTTTCAGAGATGAATGAGTTTAGGATTGTATTAAACAGATGTTGTCTATAACAGATTATTTACACAGAATTTATCTCTAATCCGAACTTATAATGACCAATTTACAGGTTTGTTGGGCGGAAAATATTAACCAAGACCTAATTTTTGTATTTATGTTTGTAGTTTATATGTTTTTGTGTGTGTGCTGTACATGTGTATCGATGCCATTTATGCTTGACCTTCAGTTTATATTATTTTGCAAATTTCTGTGATTTAGCTTTGTTGATGGTTTGTTGTAAAATGATTCCTAAAACTGTTATTTGTAACAGCTATCGGCTTTGGCTTATATTGCCCTTCTCTTCATCGATTGAAAAGGTAGATGTGTCTATACATATAGCTTGATTCTCTAAAGCTTATGGTGTAATGTTTTTACATAGAACAAAACGTGCAGTCTCTTCCGGTGCCAATGGCATAATACATGTACATAACATATACTCAACAAGACTGGAACAAAATAATATATTTTTGATTCCACAAATTATATTGAAGATCTATGATAAGTTGTTGATTCATTGACTGAAAACACAAATCCAAGTGAATTTATACTAGAATTGTCTGCCTTTTAAAGCAATTTTTCTGTTAATGACATGTTAGCTATTAAATTAAGCTACGAGAACCTGGGGCTGACTAAATGACAATCGCAATTTTATTTATTTTCCGGACATTTCATATTTGGGACATCTGTATTTGCTACTCAGTAGTATGTAAGCTAAAGAGCTTCTCACTAATTTTATGTTGGCTCAATATGTGTAGCAACCACCTACATGTATATAAAATAACTTGCACTCAGTCAAAATTAGCCCAAATGATTATGATAATGGCATGATGCACAGAAAATAAGTTTTAATTGTCAAAGTTTCGCGAACAATCCAACTGCAATTATCATTAAGCAGTAATTCAATGTTGAGTAAGAATCTGTAGAGACATTTTACGAGATAATTAAAGTCTGAAAGAACGAGCTGCACTTAACCACCATTGAGACTGATGTTGTGAGTGTATTTGTTATAATACACAGCAAGGTCATTTTTAAGTTGTAATTTTATTAGTATTTTCAGTAAGACATAGTTTTATTGCTATATTAACAGGCTGATATAAAGGAGAACCGGTATTGACTGTAAACATACTTATATCAATACACAAGTTTTTCCATGTATTTTCAAATTACATCAGTCAAGAATGTCAGGCTGTAGCTAGCCCCTGTTTTGAGTGGATTCATTTAGGAGTGGGTCCAGGACAGGGCCTTGAGTTGTGGACCATGGGGTGCAAAAAGCAGTATTATTTTGAAAATTTGTTGGATTTACATGTGTACCAGCGTTGGCAGATTATAGCAGGCAGGAATTAGTGATAATATAGTTACCATATGACATGTAGGTATGTTTACAGTACATAATTGTCATGGTGTATATTTGTTTGTAACCATTGATATATATATACACTTTGTTAACTACTATACCATGTAGGATGTACATGATCAATAAAGTCCTCATTATCTTTTAATATCCTATGGTTTGTTGTATTGTGTTAATAATAGGTTGAAAATCAAAACCATTGCTTGTTACTGAAATTATTGATACTGACTTCAAACTTTTATTTCTTCTATCTCTTGTGATATAAGGGATATGAGGACATATCATGGGGCCAGTATTATAACCATACTCAAAAGATTTCAATTTGTGATATAAACTGACTTTACAGCAGAGTTTAAAGTTAGTTCATGTTGGAGAAAATAGCATACATGTATGTGCTATGGTCATGGAGACAGATACATACAGATTGACATAGATAACTTGGTACATGGTACACCATATTCTCAAACAAAGGTATCAGGATTAAGTGTGTTTCTGTCACTCCTAGGACAGACTGTGAAGTGACTCACATGTACACTAATTATAACTTATTCATTGAGGATATATGTCGGTAATATCAGAGGTCATCCCAAACATTGGAGTGTTTGTTAATGAGGACAATTATCAAATAAATGGACTCTACAAACGAGATGGCATACACCTCAAAAAATAGGACACATAAGTTTTCCTGGAAAAATACCAGAACTTTGAAGAAAAACATGAACTTATGTTGGTATTTTTCATTTCATGGTGAAAATGGTCTTATATCCTATGCAGGCACAGCAAAAGTATACAGCGCTACTCTTGTGAAGGGTATGGTCAAAAACATAAATGCTGTGAGTAAAAACCCAAGGACTCACAAAAGAGATGTGACAAAAACATGATCACAATTATAATCAAATGTGTCAATCAGTTTAATACTATAATTTGTTAAAAAATATATGTGAAACAACAAAATGAAACACGCTTCTGTAATGGAACTATATATTTGTTCATGAGTTTGTGTACTCGTAAGAGAAAGATCCCAAACAGGAAACTGGTTAACTGTTTATCTAGTAATGTAACCAATACAACCATTAGGTAAAAATGCCTGATGTTCCAGCTGCCAATATTTGTATCCCTTTCAAGTCTACCCATATATTTAACATTGCTAGTATGACTGAATGTATACCTGTATCTGAATTCATCTGATCTGTATCTTTGCCTTTTATAGAAAAAGGTATCCTTCTAATGTGTATAACAACTCAAAACTTTATATATTATAGCTTTAAAATATGCACATACATGTCTATTTCTAGAAGCGATTTGAACTCTCTTTCCAATTATACTTAGAAGTGTGGAATGTTTGCCTCCGGGAGAGGCCGAGAACGCAAAAGAGTATGGACAGCCGTTTGACGATAAAATACCAAAACTACTTAGGTGAAAAAACCGTAAAGGTCGTTATGTGCTTTTTTTAACTTTAGTGTAAAAGTTTTGCACATAAATGTAAAAAACATTATTTGCACTTAAGTGCAGTAAACAGGAAGAGACTTCCAACAAGAAATTCCCCCACCAAAGTATTTTTCGACTGTTCAAACGTGAAGCTCTAGGATTGATTAACCCATGAGTGATGTAGTATCGGCAATCCAATCACGCATAACGCCACTGAACCAAAAACGGGACACTTGTGGGAAAACGGCCTAAGAAACTGTCATGCAATACAATGAAGTATTTGTATGTATGCAGTTTTCACTTGGCGATACTTTTATGACAATTCAACTGTATATAAGCTTTATTGGCTGCTGATTATCGTTACATTAACATATTCAAAGGTAATAATAATTACGAAAACAAAACTTTCCTGATTTACGTGCCGCGCTATTTGGATTTCAATTTCAAAAATCTATTTTTTCAAAACCAATGCTAGTTTGGAAAAAAATATTAATCAGAACCCTCGTTGAAATATTTCAACAATGCATATTTTTCGGCCGATATTGATCATTAGATATTATATACAAAAAGTGTCCCGATTTGGGTACAGTGTCGTTACTATTGTGGTGTGCCCTAGCGATGCAGTAAAGTAAAATTCAAATTATTTAAACTTTGATATTTGAATTTCATAACTGAAATGCAAAAGTGTTTGAGGTAAAGATATTAATACATAATTTAATCAGCATTTTCATTGGCTTAAAAATGATGTTATCAGCCAATAACATAAAAAATGACGTCGCCGTTTGTAACGTCGCTTTTGATTGGCCAATACAGCGGCGTAGTAATTTCTAAGACAAAAGAGTCCATCAATGAAATAGGATTTCCGCATGGATTGTGTATAGTAGATTAAATTATAAGGTTTGACCTGAATATATTTCTCGTTATGGAGTGTACTCTAAATAAACAGCGAAGCGGTTTATGATGAGAGTACACTCCGGTTTTTTGTGTTATAGCTCCATAACATGAAAAATATATTCAAGTTAATCCTTAAATAATGACACAAAGTGCTCACCATTATGTAAATTTGTTTTTGTACTTAGGTGCAACTTAACATAATTGCAAATATTTTTGTCATTATGCAGTAATCTTAAACTATTTGTTCTTTTGCACCTACGTGTAAAATACGTTTTTTTAACACAGAAGTGTAAAACGACTTGACATAATGGCAACATTTTTTTTCATTACGTTTAAATCTTTCACTATTTGTTCTTTTGCACTTAGCGTAAAAATCGTTTTTAACACTAAAGTGAAAATGTCGTTTTTGCTCTTAAAACTTGACATAATGACAAAAACTTGTCATTATGTACATGTAGTTACCTTTTAATAATTTCTAACTAATTTGTTCTTTTGCACTTAAGTACAAAAAAGTGCAAAACCATTTTCCGTTAAGTGTTTACAACGTTTCAAAATAGGTACTGGAGCCATCCATTTTGTTGAAAGGGGTTTGAGGATTTTTTTGAGCTGAAGTGCAAAGGTACATAATGTAGAAATATTACTACATAATGACAATGAAACGTTTTTGGTATTATATGTTTTTTGCACTTAAGTGAAAAGTTTTTGCTATTATGTGAGATTTTACCATTAAGACAAGTTTATTTTCTTAAGCGTAAATATTTTGCACATTTGCACTTAAGTTGTTCTGGTATTTCTTTCTTATTTACAAAATATTAAAAAAATGATATAACCGAGGCGTTTTAGCACTGATTTCTCGACATGAAACATTTTCTTCTGAAAGCAAAAAACTGTCATTTTCAATAGTACCAAGCTTTGGTAGTGTGCTGTTCTAACGGGAGTTCCAGTCGCTGTTGATGTTTTTGTTCTTTGTTTATAGTAATAAACCTCCGTTTGGTCTGCCATAGCTCCGAACTATGTCCATGACACATATTCTCGAAGCGATCTAAATTCTTTCTCCAATTATACTCAGAATAATGAGGTTTCGCCTTCCAAGGAAGTTTGGTTGGGTTGGGTTACTTTGTGTTTTACGTCCTATCATTTAACTCATTCACCCCTGACATTTCATAATGAACTATTCCAACCTTTGAATTGGAAGAGTTTAAATGTGTCTTCAGGGGTGAATGAGTTAAGGACGAGCTAGGTTCGGAGAAAAACCACCTACCTGCCGTCAGTACCTGTTGACTGCGTAGGTCTCGAACCTACAACCCAGTGGTGGAGAGCCTACAACCCAGTGGTGGAGAACCTAAAACCCAGTGGTGGAGAGCCTACAACCCAGTGGTGGAGAGCCTACAACCCAGTGGTGGAGAACCTATAACCCAGTGGTGGAGAACCTACAACCCAGTGGTGGAGAACCTACAACCCGGTGGTGGAGAACCTACAACCCGGTGGTGGAGAGCCTACAACCCGGTGGTGGAGAGCCTACAACCCAGTGGTGGAGAACCTACAACCCAGTGGTGGAGAGCCTACTACCCAGTGGTGGAGAGCGAGTGGTCATAGAGGGCGAGGCGCCTTAACCGCACGGCTGTGTGATTGTCAACCTTTCCAATGCTGAGAAGGGGCCGTGCTGAGAACGCACTTCTTTCTAACCAAAACAACAACAAAGGCGGTGTTTCGTAGACGGTTAAAATCGGCCAGCGATATAAATATACTGATTAAACAAAACTTTAACAAGTATGATTGCAGCCCCTCCTACACAGGTGTTAAATAATATCTTCACCCCATATTCCTTTCATGCGATCTGTTATGCAATGTCAAGAGTAAAACTGGGATCTGCTTGAATTTCGAAATAACATTTACAGTAACATTTAAAATAATATATAGCATTTGACACTGTATAGCGAAACTACCCCCCCCCCCCCCCCCCCCTTTCATGTGTATTTGGCGTATATTTTTTTATGCTTTGATCAAGTATCAAGACTCAGCAATATAAATGGCGCGTTCAAGCATTCTAACACTTATAAGAATAAAGTTGAGGATTCATTGGATATGTTCACTTTAGGGAACCTCTTTTTTACTATCTACTGACATCCGTTCATTTGTGGAGAACACATTTTATGATTACTAAACATGGACATTGGTTAGATCAAATCGTAAATAGTCAAAGTTTAACAATGTCCACTTATTGACATTTTAGCCCGTATATATAGAACACACATGTAGCATACAAAAACTGTAACTATCATAGTCATAATAAGGAAATATGTATATATACTCGATAGTGAAGCAACCTAACTGTTTATTTCCATGGGCAAATATAGTCACGCTTTTATAGGAAATCCATTTCTGATGATGAGTACACTTTACTTCCATCTTGTCATGTGGAATGTATCAAAGAATATTCTGTTGACTTTGAAAATATAAATCTGGAAACTGATTACGATGTTATCTTAAGGTTTTCCTTCGTGTACGTTTTTAAATCTGACGCGTAAAGGTATTAAATTCTTTGAATATGCTTTATTCATCATTTATTTACATGTTTGATTTCACACAACGGCAGATAGGAAACAGAGCAAGCTTGGGGGTGAAGATAGGAGCTAGCTGTCGCTGAACTGTGGCTTGAGTGGGGGACTACGGTTATAAAACCACAGTACGTAAAACGACTGTAATTGTTGTGTTGTAAGGTGGACGAGGCCACATGTCCGGTAGTGGTCCATTGCCATGCATTATGCACTAGTTTACCAGCCACCCAAACATGGACACCATCTGCAAAGAGTATTTCAGGAATCAATTTTACGTTGGCTAAAAGGACAATCAAGAAGCGTTCATATCTAAATCATAGAACGTGTTATATTCTTTCTGTTTGTTGTACCTACTACTATACGTTGTTTACTCATCTTATTTATCTCTCTCATTGGATCGATCACATTAGTCTCTCATGTTTACAATTAATAAATGAGTTTATAAATCAACACACTTAATCCGTTACAATATTCCTGTTAGCTCATATAGAGTGATAATGTGCCCCTTGATGAGGTAGGACTGTGTTATTAATTCTAAGTCACCAACATTTGGTCTTTTTGTACAGGCTGTGGATTACTTTGTCTTTGTATTCCGAATCTTTCAAATAAGTATGGATCACGTGGCTATGTTAAGAGCATACAAACTATTGGAATGAACGTAGCGTTACCGGAATTTGAAAGTCCAGAGTAGTATTTCCCCAGGTCCAGAGCGACGTTATGGAGGTCCGAGGAGGAGTCAAAGTCAGCAAGCTGGCCACAATTTTTCTCGCATTGAGCCTTAAACCAATGTAATGAATATACAGAGGATATTCAATGGTTTCCTCAGTAATAACAAATATATTTCGTGAGCTTATCTTGTACTTCGTACATTTGTATATGTTATCGTGGAATCTGATACATGATTTACATTTTCTTGTCCCATGTTCATGTATATAACTTAACATTATAGAGAAGATGGTTTTTCAGTTCATGGCTTTTATTTGGTCTCCTGTTGTGCTGTGACGATTGCGACAGTTGTTTAAGGTTCAGGAAAGCACATTAACAGTTATTACGGATATCAAACACGGAAAGAAATCCTTATATTATTCGTTATGTTCATAATTCTTGTTCTTATTACTATTCCGATCATTCTTTTCCGCAGATCGAGTAAACATTTTATTTTATGAACGAATACGGGAACTAAGTTCAAATTCCAGCATGTTATAGAGGACATATAGCTCGTGCTATTCGAACAAGTTTATGTTTATGTTTAGTATTGTTTAACGTTCTATCAACAGCGGAACTGATGCCGACTTTATAGTGCTACCTCACTAAAACATACTGCCGAAGACACCCAGCAGGACACCCCACCCTGTCACATTAAACTGACAACGGGCGAGCCAGTCGACCTATTTCTAAATTGCTGAACGTTAAGCAGGAGTAGAAACTACCATTTTACAGACTCTGGTATATCTCGACCAGGGAACAAAACCCAAAGCCTTCCTCACAGGGGCGAACGCTCAACTAAAGGCCAAAAGTGAGGCATTGTCAAGTGAGACATTAGGAAGAAGTAAATTGTTTAGAAAGAAGAGAAAAGATCAGATCCCAAATTTAGTCGCCCCCTACGATCATGCAATGGGGGCAGCAGGTACAATTCGTACGCCCTACCTGCAGGGATTTATCAAAACAAGGTCAAGGACACAATATCAAAGGTTATGGTCACGCATCGATAAATATTAAAATAAAGATGTTCGGACTTTTTCTTACGACAATAACTCCAAAAGCGTTCGTCGCACAGTTTGGACGGGGGTTACTTTTGTAAATCTTGGTCAGGGATATCTTTCCCATGCCATGGTATTGAAAATGTCAAGTTAAAGCTCCAGATATGGAGTCAAACATAGGTCAAAATAAAAATATCAAAAATAGTTCATTTCACCCCACATGACACCACATTTTGAAGGGCACGATGAAAGTAAGGGATTTGAAAAATGTTTATTTTTCCGATTAAATCTAGAAATATTATTACAATCATAAAATTGTACTAAAACCCTTTTCCTGCAGAATTGATATTTGACACATAAATAAGATGGAGGATAGGCTGCAACAAATGTTCTTATAATTGACATTGACCTTCATGCAAGGTTTAGTTATTAGATTATCAAAAAATGAAATCTACAAAGAGCCTGTCAATTACCACTGCCTCAAGACCATCATTACTTTCTGTACCAAACTGTTCCCACATTGGGGAAGGGCAGGGGAGGGGTGTCTGTAATCAAAAACTTTCAATCATAACAAGATGCTAACCAATCATTATCTTATTGCTGGAGGGACCTCCTCATACAGTCTCAAAGCAATGGTTAAGGCATAAGGGGAATAACTCGAGCAGTGTGGTGAAAATGATGTGCAAGGTTGGTCAAAGAAGAGAAACGAAGATAAATGTATAACGGCGGCCGTAAGTTCAAGAACACATCAAGATCATTTCTTGGAAGGAAATTCCGTGTTTTGATCTTGATCAAATCTAATTTAGGTATATTTGCTATGAGCAACATCAGAAATAAAAAAGTATCAAGTATGCATTACCCTCTGTCCTTTATTTAGAGTTGCATCTTTGTTGTGATCTTTGTTTCCATGTACACACTTTTCATGATGTGGTGATATTGGCTTAATTACTAGGTGAATACGATAAAGGAATCGTTTTGTTTCATTTTGTTTGTTTTAAACCAATGCACAAAGCAAAATCCCCAAATACTGGTTTGAGTAGGTATATAAACCTGCGGTGATGACTCTAGGACCGTTTTCGTGTAAACGGACCACAGTTGCTCGTTTATTAAACAAAATGAGACCTAGTAATCTGATGTTGCTTTCAGTCGAGCCTTGACAAAGCCTTGCAAGGCCTGCATAAACAAAGATTTATACCCGAAATTGTTATTTTTATAAATAGTCAAACCGGTTGTTCCGCATAAACGAACAGGCCCCTGGTCTTACCTTAGCGCTGTCCTGTGTAGTTATATAAACCTGCGATGATGACACCTGGCCTTACCTAAGTGCTGTCCTGAGTAGGTATATAAACCTGCGGTGATGACACCTGGCCTTACCTTAGCGCTGTCCTGAGTAGTTATATAAACCTGCGTGATAACACCTGGTCCTACCTTAGCGCTGTCCTGAGTAGGTATATAAACCTGCGGTGATTACACCTGGCCTTAACTTAGCGCTGTCCTGAGTAGGTATATAAACCTGCGGTGATTACACCTGGTCTTACCTTAGCGCTGTCCCGAGTAGGTATATAAACCTGCAGTGATGACACCTGGCCTTACCTTAGTGCTGTCCTGAGTAAGTATATAATCCTGCGGTGATTACACCTGGTCCTACCTTTGCGCTGTCCTGAGTAGGTATATAAACCTGCGGGGATTACACCTGGTCTTACGTTAGCGCTGTCCCGAGTAGGTATATAAACCTGCGGTGATGACACCTGGTCCTACCTTAGCGCTGTCCTGAGTAGTTATATAAACCTGCGGTGACGACACCTGGTCTTAACTTAGCGCTGTCCTGAGTAGGTATATAAACCTGCGGTGATGACACCTGGTCTTAACTTAGCGCTGTCCTGAGTAGGTATATAAACCTGCACTGATGACACCTGGCCTTACCTTAGCGCTGTCCTGAGTAGTTATATAAACCTGCGGTGACGACACCTGGCCTTACCTTAGCGCTGTCCTTAGTAGGTATATAAACCTGCGGTGATTACACCTGGTCTTACCTTAGCGCTGTCCTGAGTAGGTATATAAACCTGCACTGATGACACCTGGCCTTACCTTAGCGCTGTCCTGAGTAGTTCTATAAACCTGCGGTGATGACACCTGGTCTTACCTTAGTGCTGTCCTGAGTAAGTATATAAACCTGCGGTGATTACACCTGGTCCTACCTTAGCGCTGTCCTGAGTAGTTATATAAACCTGCGGTGACGACACCTGGCCTTACCTTAGCGCTGTCCTGTGTAGGTATATACACCTGCGGTGATGACACCTGGTCTTACCTTAGCGCTGTCCTGAGTAGGTATATAAACCTGCGGTGATTACACCTGGTCCTACCTTTGCGCTGTCCTGAGTAGGTATATAAACCTGCGGTGATTACACCTGGTCCTTCCTTAGCGCTGTCATGAGTAGTTATATAAACCTGCGATGATGCCACCTGGTCTTACCTTAGCGCCGTCCTGTGTAGGTATATAAACCTGCGGTGATGACCCCTGGCCTTACCTTAGCGCTGTCCTGAGTAGTTATATAAACCTGCGGTGATTACACCTGGTCCTTCCTTAGCGCTGTCCTGAGTAGGTATATAAACCTGCGGTGATGACACCTGGCCTTACCTTAGCGCTGTTCTGAGTAGGTATATAAACATACGGTGATGACTCCTCGTCTTACCTTAGCGCTGTCCCAGTTCATCGCTGGTGTCCCGATAGCATAGCATGAACTCTGATGGTGGAGCCAGCCAGGTGGACAAGTCGAATGGTGCGTAGGGCAACCTGAAAAAGAAAGTCGTTGCTTTTTGCATTCTGATGGGATTGTATATTTATTAGTTGATTTTTTTCTTATATTTTTTTTTTTATGATTCATGGAAAACATCTTACAGAAATAAGTAATAAATCATTAGATATTGTTAACCTGCAGTCTGTGTTGTAGTTGTAGTTTGTGCAGTGCTAGTGCTGGCTGTCGGTGGTACAGTGGATGTCGGCAGTAGGGCGTGGTGGTTACAGAACTCTCCTGTACAACATCCTCCGTGAAGGGACAACTCAAATCCCTGACGTTTTCCGAAAATTCCTGGAGCGGCATGGCCAAACGTTGAGCAAAGCTTAAAAACAAATACATCAATAAACAGTAAATGTATAATTGCATCAGGAAGTAATACAATGTTCATTATACAAATAACAGAGTATTATCTTACCCTCTCGTCCATGCATCCAAGTCTAAATCCCTGTTCAAAACTTGCTGATATCGTCTCCACCGAAAAACATTTCTGAAAGTGAAACAGTGAGTTAAATAATACTATTCGAGTATCTAACAAACAAGTGAATGCCTTTAGGGATGTAGCTGATTTAACTTGTAAATGACCTACAATGTTTAAGCATTGATCTATAATACAAAATTTTTTGGAAGATCCATAAAAGAAAAATGTCAGTAATGTTATGTTATCATATTTTTTCATGATTCTACTTTTTGTATCATCATTATGTGTTGACATCTAAATTTACGTCATATTAAAATTATATATCAAGTTGATCTAAACAAATTGTGTTACCTCTCCTCTACCACAGATTGTTTTTTGTGTACACGTTTCTGGATTGGTCACGTGATTGCATTGGTAACATCCCACTACATAGAAAAAGTATATTATGTAGGTGCGGATATGTACAGACATTGATTACGTCATGTGTATTGTACATGCTTGTCAATGATATCTTTGATTTTGAATCTTTCTTTATTACCAGTGTGACTATATATTGCTTCTAAAATTTTAAATGAAATATCTGATTTTTGCTGTTATTGTTTTTATAATTTTTGGATTCTTACACAAAACTATAACATAGAATACTTACTGCATTTGCCACATTTTCTTGGACACACCTCGTTAGCAATACAGTCAATGCTACACATGCTGGGGAAATGAGTTTCAAGGCGGGTACAGATATCACCATCGATATCATCACAAAGGCCGGATGTCACAGAAGGAACTGACGTCATTGTTAGGTTTTGCCTGACTGTCGATAGAATTTCGGGAAGATCACGTGGTATATCAGGGAAAACTGAAACAGGCGACATAGTTGTCGGCATCATTGTGGGCTGTTGTGTTGAAGGAGGACCGGATGTATGGATTGCAGTTGTTGGCATTATTGTGGGCTGTTGTGTTGAAGGAGGACCGGATGTATGGATTGCAGTTGTCGGCATTATTGTGGGCTGTTGTGTTGAAGGAGGACCTGCTGTTGTTGCTATCCGTGGCTTCACGTTGCATAAATCTGTACTGCAACATGATCCTTGAGGTCCGCTGCGCTCTGACGGACTACCATCTCTGCGACCTAATCCTGGACCAAAGTGTGCTGTGCATACCTAACAGAAGTAAGGGAACTCTTACTTAATGTGTTGTCTGAAAAGAGCTTTCAATCAAAATGTAATATGAAAGAGACAAAAAAATCGTTACAAGATATACCTTCATAAATATATAACGTCTACATAAAGACGAGCGTTGGGTTTTTGATATATTGGGGTTTTTTTTCGTTTGAAAACGGAGATTCTATTTTGTTGCAATATGAAACTTCAACAAAGTAATTATAAACCATAGGCAATGCACTTATATATTTTTTTATTATTATTAAATCGATATATACATACTGAATTTAAGGCACATCCGAGTTTGTACACGTCCTTGAAATCATCATTAAAACCCTGTGTCACGATGCAGAACTTTGAAAAGAACAAAAGAATATAATGATAAGAATAAGATTGTTTTGTATGCTACTACAATTGTATGAGATTGCGTACTATTACAGTTATTTGAATACCAATACAAATATATAGTTGTGTACATGTTCATATAAAAACAAAATATCATTGTATACTTATACAAACATATGTTCCTACAGATAATTGTGTACGTGTACCTATAAACACGTATAATATTACATAGTATACTCATAAAACATAAAAGTGTGTACATATTCTTAAACAAACATATAGTATCATTGTTTATTACATTTTTGCCAGTGAAATATCGGATTCCATCAACTTGATAAAACTGATATCTTTCACACTGTAACAAATATCAAAAGTGATATCGGAATTGCGTTGAGTATCCCATTCAAAATAGCGTGCAGTCTTGTTGTCAAGCGTGCCGGCGCTAATTATAACGCTTCTGATTCCCGCTCTTATTTAATGCATTACATTTTTCATGTTTTATGCTTTAAAAATGTAATAAATAGAAAATGTAATGGTGTCTCTTCAGTAATAACAAATATATTTCATCCGTGTGGCTAATATTTTGATATTTTTCACTCGTGCAGCGCACTCGTGAAAAATATCAATATAATAGCCACACTCGTAAAATATGTTTGTTATTGCTGAAGACATCATTAAATATCCTCTATATACTTATACCAACATAAAACCTTGTATATATTCATATATAGATTATAATGGTATACTCATGCGAACATGTCATTGTATACGAACACATACATATATAAGGATACCAATGTAATCCTATACAAACATATAATTTTATAGCTGTACGCATATTTAATTGTTTACTTATGTAAACTTATACATGTATACCTTTACAAACATATAATTTTATAGCTGTACGCATATTTAATTGTTTACCTGTTTAAACTTGTACATGTATACCTTTACAAACATATAATTTTATAGCTGTACGCATATTTAATTGTTTACCTGTGTAAACTTATACATGTATACCTTTACAAACATATAATTCTAATCCTATACAAATATTTAGTTGTGTACACCTATAAACGTATAATTCCTTACCTATACAAAAAATATAATTGTATACCATAAAAGCGTATACTTGTGTACCTATACAGACATAATACCAGTACTAGTACAAAAAAAATGGTAGGCGTGTTTACAGTAACATTGTTTTACTCTATAAAGGATGGTCACTTGTTAAACAATCTCTCGTTCTGTTATATATTTACAAATTTCCAGCAGTCCTTACCAATAGAAAGTGATTATATAAAATTAGCATACCACACTGTAAATTATGTAAAACTAAATCAGCAGTCAGCTACCTGAATCGATTTACAAAAGTACTCATAATGTACAATATACATATTGTAAATGCCCCCTTTTCTATAGTTCCGCACTAATGTCTGTGGATCCAAAACGGGACACTTGAGGGGAAACAGACCAAGAAATTGACATGTAATGAATAGAAGTATTTGTATGTATGCATCTTTCATTTAATGATACTATTATGTCGAATAACCAGAATATCTACTTTATTGGCTGCTAATTATGGTTACACGGTCAGTTTAAAGTTGAAAATAATAACGAAAACAAAACTTTCTTAATTTTCCTGCTGTGCAACGTTTTATTTGGATATCATTTTCAGAAGTATTATTTTTCCAAAGTTATGCTAGTTTGTAAACAAATTTCATCCTCTGACTGTAAAGGTTTTGAACTATGTAGACTATTCTGTTTTTATTGGCAGTTAATTTCCCAATAATAGCCAAAATACCAGACTGTCCCTTTCTCGATACAGTTACAGCTCTTCAAGGACATACGTGACCTGATAGTATTTTGCGTTTTATATTTAAAAGCACGTGTAGGAAATATCAAATCATAATAAGAAAAAAAGTGGATGGTATATATTAATGAAAAATAAACATTACTTTGAATTGAAACTATGGTATAAAAATCCTTGATATTTAACTAAAAGCTGTCCCGTTTTTGGTAAACTGACGGTAGAACAATATGGATTATTGATTATCATATCTTCCCGACTATTAATAATTGTTGTCAAATTGAATCACCACCTTTGCTATACATGCATGGAATCATATTAAAACAAGTTCTATATTGAAATGGTCCTCTACCTACTTATATAGGCATAGGGATATTCCAAATGTTTTAATGATAATACCTCACAGTGATCTAAATCTTTCTCTCCACAAACGTTTATTAAGATCAGATCATATAGTTCTTTTCTTACGAAAATTGTTAAAAAAGAACATTTCAATGTGTATTCTGTGCTTTTCAAATTGAGGGGTTAACGCAATGTAGATGAGAAAACTATTTGTCTTCTAAAGACTGTCCTTTCATATAAAATTAGGTTATAAAAAGAAATGAGCTAAATCAACAATATACAAGGACGACCATCATACCTTGGAAAAGCAAATTTATCTTTAGAGATGGAAAATTTAATATTTTCTTTAATATGATCAATAAAAATGATCCTCTATAAAAAATGGGTCATAATTTTTAATATATCGCCCATAACACTGTTTCTAATTTGTTTGTAACGTAGTGACCGAAATTTTGGTCTTTCTTAAAAAAAAATCAGAGCAAAGTTATGATTTTTATATGCATATTATCAAATCAAACATTCTGAGGAACTTAGTATTAACTTAGTACTTCTGTGTACCACAGACAAAATTAGCCTACGTGCTGCATTTTATTCAGGAACGTTAAAACCGATGGGTGCTTAAGAATTGCACTATACATTACTCAAGTAGTCAGCAACTGAGTGTTAACGTTAGTGCAGGCAAATTCTCCATGCACCCAATTTCGCCACCCTGTGACGAAAATGCCATAGACGTCACAAAACATAAGATGTGACGTAATTAACGTCACGGTAAGCTTCAAAACAGTTAAAGCCCTCACACGTTTTGACATGAAGAGGTATAAGAAGGGAAAAGTTAAATCATTAATTAAAACAGTTATGAAATATCTTGTAACGTAACGAATCTTAAAACTTTGGTCTGTGCGACGGACATCTCGTCAACTAGACTAGATGAGGCCTGTTGGTTGTGATTTAGTGCAAATGCATTGCATACATATTGAAAATACCCATATATCAACGCTAATTGCAGTTTTGTGGTCGACTGAGCCGTCAATGCAAGTGAATTATTTTTCTACAAGTGAACTTTTGGTACATAGAATGTACTGACGACCTGGAGTGCTTGTTTATGGAAATGACGCTCGGAAGATATCAAATTCATTTACCATTTCCATTCAATGTGTATTTAGAACACAATCAACTACTATCTTGCGTTATGTTTGCGTGTAACATTCAGCCATCTAACAACACTTTAGTTGATATATCATCTAGAAATTTTCTAGATTTATGTTGGAAAAGAGTTTGTTGACGGCCTGAAAGTTCTGCTGTACAATAATGATGCATGTTGATTGTAAGCAGCCAAAGACTGACAACTATAACTAGCATTGTTACCAAAGACTTATTGATACATGAAAAAGTAAGCCTTGTACATTTACTAAACCTGGGTCAGTCTCTGTTGAATAAGTTTTCAAGCCCAAATAATCGTTTTAATTTGTCAGATGTTTTCCGTTAACGTGAAGACGATCGGAGATGTACATGTGATAAATCATCTAAAAGTAAGGAGGAAAGACGACCATTGAAAGCCCTGGACCCTCTCATCTGGACCCAATTAAAAGATAATAATTGGACACCGATTTGGAAGTTTATATTTGATCAAGACTGAGTCTTTATTGTGATGCATGTGAATTGACCTCATCTCAGCCGATCAGCCATCTTATTTAAACAGCATTAATCAGTTTCTTCAAGTTACCGAAAATTAACAACTGAAACTAAGAATAGCCATTTATTTCAATGTTAATCATTGTTACACACACAAACACACACACACACACCTCATTCAGGCGTGGAGGCAAAAACGTTTATCTACAGGCATTTCAGTCAAATCTTCTTCTGTACTGGTGCTTGTCGGCATTTTGATACATGTGTAAATGGACAAATTATTAACCGAAACCCTTACTATTGTAATGGATTTTTCTGCACTAACGTTAGGTTTACAGGATGGATCTACCAGTTGTATGCAATACTGTACCCCCATTATTAGAAAGCAGGCTTTTACTTGTAACACAGCGCGGTACTCACGTGATCCGCGGAAGGACATTGCGTGGTTGTTTTACAGAGATCTGGGCTGTCTACCTCGTGACAGGAGTAGCACTTCAATGCTGTTGGCAAAGATAAATTTCGATGTCAGGAATGACATTGGCCTTCACAACACAGATCAGGTGTGTTTATGCGAGTGATCATTGGTTATATATTAACTGTTGCAGTATAACGTAATATAAGAACGGACAGCGTAATTTTCTTTGTAAAATTGCAAGGGGATTTTTACTGATATATTCAGTTGTAATATTATAGTGACATTTTTAAACCATGTACAGTGTATCTGTTTTGAATATAATAGCGATATTTTTGCTAAAAGAATATAAGCAAGTTAACGTTATAACGTTAATACATACGACATTTTCCACAGAAACGGGGACAGAGAGCCACGGAGTAGCATGTACTGGAACAAATGTCGGGATTAATGGCGTACATATCCTGGCAGATAGCGGAATCCACATCCTCACAAGTCTGGGCGTGGCATAATGCCACCAGCACGGACGTTACTACAATATAAGTAACGTTAATTTATTGTTAATGATACCAGTACTGTAAACCACATTTGTAAACGTTAAAACATCGTATATAGCACAGCGCAATCACACATCGGGACAACACCCGGCAATATCAACTGAACATTACATATGCTATTTTGCATTACCCTTTAGAAGAGTAAAATCTCTCAGTTTATACAAACATACGTCTTTACATGTTGGGTTGGGTTTCATACTTGTTCACTTAAAGAGCAGGAACTGTATTCTTTGGAATCGGGCTAAGTACTTTCGACGTATTTTCGATGTATTTTATATTAATTGTGAAGTGCGCTAAAGCTGCTATATTCAAAAGGATATGGCGCTATATAAATTGCTATTATTATTATCATTCATCAGTGTGTTCATAAAATATATTCCACGTTTAATATGACCATATCCGTATGGCGTTATATTTGACATTTACAAGTTTATGTTATGGTGCGTCATAGTAATTGATGACGTCCCGTCATTATTGCAAGCCATTTAGTTTAGCAATCAATGCACCTTGTCTATATGTTAAGGTATGGACAAAATATTCTCTAACGCTGGACAGGTGTTTCGACACTTCGGACTGAGTGTTTAGACAAGAGGACTTTCCAAGTTAACTTGACTTCAACACTGCATTGGTCAGGCATTGCATTACATACAGGACACAATCAATAGGATAAGAGAAAAAGAATCACCCACATTTGTTTTGGGGGCAAAGTGGGATCGCAGTAACCGGGAAAGATTTATTAAGTTGAAAAACTCCCAGCATGCATTGTTTCTGTCAACTTAAAAAAAAATCCTTTCGATTTAAGATCTCCCTCTCTTACCCACAAGTAGCTGAAAGATTCCATTATTCCCATACGGCAGAAAGATCGTCACATACCTGTCTATGGTTAGAGGACATTTTAGTCACTCATCCAAATGTAAACTCAAGAGCTTGACCGGCAATAAGGATATGCTGAGATTAAAATACAATTGTAAAATTTACCTGCAAGAAGTAAAATCATTTCCCTGTATATGTCTTAAGTGAGGTCATCCAACATATGTGGTCCTTAATATATTACCAGATGGACAACTGTTATCGGTGTTGGGGCAAAGGATTCGTGTCAGTAGGTTATCAGTAGAACTTAACTACCATGATAGCCATTTCGTCAACTTATGGTACAGTAACGTGCCACAAACTGACTTACAATATTCCTGCGAGAGTTTTGTTCGCAATATTTTAATATGATTATCTAAGCATTGAGTATTGTGATCAGAAATAAAAAAGAAATGAACAGTGTAAACTATTTCCTTTAAGATAAATTATAGTTAAACCAGATTTACCGATATCGTACTGAAAGCAAACAAGCATGTATTACCAAGTTGTTTCGCAATTACCATGCAGTGAAGTGCACACTTCCAAACTTTTCCAAATTGTCTAACCTTGACCTCCTTTATATAATTAACATTAAAGTGTTTTTTTTTATTTTTGTGCGAGTATAACCTCATTCTGTAGTTAGAATGATGATCTATGTGTAAACGTACATTACAATTACAATGACGTAATTACAAAACTAGAGGTTCGCCGGAAAAACTCAACTAAACTATTTTGTAAAATTTTTGGTAGACGTGATGCCAGTGTACATACCTAACATGTGTTACATATCTACATATGTTAAATAATTGACTGGTTATTCGCGTTATTACGTCATCCATCGAATATATTTAATTGACCTCATAACATAGTTATAGTATGACTGATACTCATTCTACTCAAACGTTGTATTTATTTACATAATCTAATTAATATTATAATATATATAAATGCATTCGTTGTTGTCTTGGATTGTTAGAATGTCATAATTGATGATATTGTCCTAAAAAAAGCAGCAAAATGCCGAAACAAGAACAAAACTGTAATTCAAGCTTGAAAACGTTAAATCTAGGACAGAATGTGAGCAAAGGGAATATTTACAAGGAGTTCCTTATTAATCACAATGAGATAAAAGCCATGTGGGCTGAATACATAAGCATCTTCTACATCATTGGCGACTCTCGGCATATACATCCAGGTCATATACAACACATTCACGTTCTGAAAGTGAAAACTGGAGCATTGACTCATACTAAAATAAATCGACTATTATACCGCACAAGAAAATTGAATGTTCCCTCAATTTATCGTAATGGCGACCATAAAACCATCAACCTGCATCCATCGACTGTGTTATTTCTCTCCGTCATAAGTGGACATTGCTATCGGAAACCCTGCTCTCCGGTACAGCAGCAACAACAACAACAAAAGGGATACTGAAGTGTCAACAAAAACATAATTCGAACTCGAAATTAGACCAGGTGTTCCGGAAGTGTAAGCTTATTCTGATTCATCCCTGTTGGTCAGGTAATAAGTAAAGATCGAGGTAAGATGATGTAAATCTGTAACGACCTTGATTCCATGTTAAAGAGTTGACATGACATCGGGCTGTTGACCACTAATAATCGAAACTTTTTTTTAATAAGGTGAGTTTTTGTTGTGGTAGAAGCTACGGATATTTCTAGGCAAAGCGATTGGTTGCAGTAGTTCATGAGTTCGTAGCCCACATAGTCAGAACACGAGACATGCAATCGTTTTCATTCGGCAATTATCTACGTGGATGTATCATTGCTTGGCTTTGACCTAGATTTACAAGGCGGGTGTCGTCAATGAAGTGGGAACACCTTCCTTTTCGAAACATCTGGTATTCTTGCTCTTGTAATATTGTGAAAGTTCCCCATATTAATCCCTCCTTTGTAAAAGCTTTCTCCTTATTCAATCGATCTCGAGTTCGAATTACGGTCATGATGACACTGTCCCTTTCTTGATAGTAACATGTCTGTTACCATGTTTAAGGTGTTCACATATCGTAGTTGATTCGGTATTCAAATAGTTTCTATAGATATCAGGAGTTTCAATATTGAAATCAAGTAACGGTGGGAAAACCTGTATGCACAACTAGATTTCGGGAGATGCAGATTAATGAAAATTATGGGCGAGTTTCTTGTTCGCCATTATGATCTCAAAATGGAAAAGAATATTCCCTTGTGCGGTATGTTTTGTTATAATGTTCATTAGCGTCCTTTTTATTCCGTTGTCACTCCGCCATAGCTCACTTTGACGACGTATTAATGGCTTGACCAATACTAAGTTTTGGCTTGACCAGTACTAAGTTGTGCTTGACCAATACTAAGTTTAAGAACAACTATCACTCATATTATTACTATATAAGAAGGTCATCTAAACATACAGCTCCGATGAATGACGTATATACGCAAATATCCTGTTGATTCTTTAACATGTACTCTATGTACACTAACATTACGCCAACCAGAGAAAAATACAAGACCGTTAAGTTTATCCTGCGAGTTATTCCCAGTTTGTATTGATTTGACTGTAACCGTTATGATTGTTTATGCAAAGATTGCTTCTATTCTTATTTTATAAATTTTCAGAGTATACTCGCACAAAATATATGAAGCTATTATGTAAATTATATATATGAGGCCAAAGTAGGACAATTCGGATAGGTATGGAAGTGTGCAGTTTACAGCATGGTTACAAGCGGAGCAGTCAATACTTTTATGCAATTATTTGGAACCGGTTTTTTTGTACAACGTCGGTAAATCAAGTTTTACTATCACTAAGAGTTAAAGAAACTTAGACCGAACATTTTTTTTATATTTCTTATCACAATACTTACATAGGACTTGGACCAAAATTAAATTTACAATGTTTCATTCATAAAAAAATTCCTTATATTCAATCAAACCTGGTCAAGAGCCTGGTCATCCAAGAAAAAAAAAACCTGGAGATAATCGTCTGCATATGTCATCCACGTCAAATGTATACTTTCGGGTCAGGGAAGAGGGAAACACAGGATTCTCAGCACAACATCCTGCAGAAAAAATCCCGAAAAGAAACATAAACAAAAACAAAAACATGCACACTATAGATAATTGAAAAAAAGTGAGACTTTTTGTATATTTTCACCACAAATGTAGACAAGAACCAAGTTCTAGGGAAGTATTGCAAATTTTTAAATACAATACTTTCATTTCTACCGAATTTCTAAGTGGCCTGGACACAGAGGTATTTAACTGTGATCTCAATCCTCATAGTACTGAATACTTACATACTTATAATGACCTATTGGAAAACAGGTGTAATTAATCAAATAAACTTACATTTCAGTAAGATAAAATGAATTAAAAGGACACGTTTTATAGGTGACGCTTAAGGAACGATTAGTCGGTGACATGTAGCAGTATTATATGTGTCTAAATGGATCAGATAACCAGATAGTTCTACAGATAACCTGCTGACTCGAATCCATTACCTCAAACACCGATAGCTATTAGATGTCCATCTGGTGACATTTTACAACCACATCTGTTGGATGAACACGCTTACGACATAATATTGAGAGATGGTTATACTTCTTGCAGGTAAATTTTACTATTGTGGATATGATATCAGCAAGTGTTTGATGCAAATCCTTAATTGTCGGTCGAGCTGCTGGGTTTACCGTTGGTTGGGTGATTTATACGTTCTTCATCCGTAGACAGTGTGTGTCCATCTGCCCGAAGGGAATAACGGAATCAAGCATTGACTTGGGGATAAGAGCGGGAGATCTAGTGTTTGATAACTTATGTAACTTTCCTCGTTCTCTCCCAAACGTGAAGAGTGATTATTTTTTTCTAAGTAATGCAATGCTTACGCTAAGTGATCAATGCATTGTTGTCGTTACGTCAATCTGTTTTGATGTGACGTCAAACAATTGTTAATGAATCCCTATCATCTCAACCTTCTGTTGAAACTTGGATATTGCACACAGGAAAAATGTTGATAAATCTTTCCGGCGTAAGCGAATATCTTTGTCCATACCTTAGGGGAAAAATGCTTTGGCTTTCATAACAAAATGCGTTTATTAGTTCAAACTACCGAATGACGGCAAGCCATCAATTATTATCACGTCACCACAGTATGACTTGAAAGAAATATATCTTTGAATAACTAGAAAATCATTTAATCAATGAATTTGCTATTGTATTTTAGGTAAGGTAAAGATAGCTATTCGCTTTTTTTTGGGTGAGACAGAAAAATGTTAAACTTTCTCGTTCGCATAAATGACGTAAATATGAAACATTGGCCTAGACTTTTAACAAATCCTACCCTAAAGGTTGAAACGATTCCATTAAACCGCAAGGGGAAAATTGTTGTTAAACATGGGTGTTTGAATATTCCATCAACTTGTGTAACATGAATGTGGATGTTTGTAATGATGCCTATATGTGTTCAATTTGTTATCACTAGTTCGTTTTTATGTATTGTAAAGCGCCTTAGAGTTATTCTGCTGCCACTAGCTCTCCACCATTGTGAAGCGAGTTCGAGGCCTTCGGTGGGTAGTCATCAGGTACTGGTCGTAGGTCGGTGGGTTATCCCTTGGAACTCCGGCTTTCCTTCACCACCAAAACCTGGCACATCCTTAAATGGCCATAGCTGTTAATGGGACGTCAAACACAAACCAAACAAACCGTAGAGATATTTTGCATATTATATAGGGCGCTTTATAACCCTTGTATATCATAGTTATTAATAACCCGCCTCTCAATTTGTGGACGAGACGTTACCAGGATTTGACTTATAAACAGAACACGATTACCATTCCGCAACAACTGCTCTAGCTTCATCGAGTTTATATTCAAATTTAGCTTTTCTTCACGTTTTGCTATTCACTCTATTTGTTCTTGTCAAATGTGACGTCGTAGGGATGTGGTCATATTGTAAAGCTATTTCAATAAATCACAAATCAACATACACAGACGTGTGTTTGTAACGAACATACTTGTTAGAGGTTTCCTTGATATATGTGCCAGAGAGACTTTGTTTCGATATTGTCCTTTAATGCAGTTGCTGTGGTATATATTTCCGTTATTGGATTGTTAAACATTCATGTAATATATCAAGTGATATTTATATTACATCGTACCCTTTAAGTGCTGTCCTTGTGTGTTTACGCTGAAAGATTAAACCTTTAAACTCTACTGAACAGTAAACATAAGTACGATATTAAAGTTTAATTGATTTTGTTGTCCCGATGTGTGATCGCGCTTTGCTATATACATTTTTGTTTTAATTATAATTACAAAGATGAACTAAAGAAACACTTATGGAACCGCACATTTAAAATTTGGTAATATATATATAAATGTATTATACTGCACCATACAGTTGTTTCTACCTTTGGGACAAATCGATGAACCTAGGGTCGAAAAGTTGGAAATCAAAATTGGTTTGAGCTACTGTTGAAACAGAAAGGGAGATGCGTAAAGCCCATTTTTTTATGAATTCAAACATAAGAGAACTGATTGATTTCAAATTCATAAAATGAGTATTTGGAACCGTGCCACTACTCAAATGTGATAACAGTGGCCACCAAGGTCATGGTGAACCTCGAGGATAAGGAAACCAACCAACAAGGTCACGGTAAATTTTGAGGATTAGGAAACCAACCACCAAAGTCGTGGTGACCTTCGAGGATTAGTAAACCAACCACCAATGTCACGGTGGCCTTCGATGATTAGGAAACCAACCACCAAGGTCACGGTGAACTTCGAGGATTAGGAAACCAACAAGCACCGTCTACCACCTTTTTTTATCTTTGAAAGATTAGCTCTAAACGCACAGTAATTGCACCTTCTAGTACATTAAATAATAAACACAGCATGCCAAAAATAATTAAAACTTCACTATACAGCTTCAGGACTCGTCGATGATGCTAAGTGACGAACATGTTGAAATCTTTATTGGCCTAAAGTAACAAAAAGGAGGTGTTTCAATTATACGAATTTTACAATTAAAAATAGTTTACAGGATTGTATTTATCAACATTTTGACATTACTTGTATTGTAGTAACGTCCGTGCTGGTGGCGTTATGCCACGCCCAGACTTGTGAGGATGTGAATTCCGCTATCTGCCAGGATATGTACGCCATTAATCCCGCCATTTGTTCCAGTGCATGCTACTCCGTGGCTCTCTGTCCCCGTTTCTGTGGAAAATGTCGTATGTATATTACTACGCTTTAATGAAATTTTACTTGTATATTTTATGTCACTTCAATGTTACGACTGAATATATCAATAAAAAAACCACATGTAATTCCATATGATTGTTTTAAAAGAAAATTACGTCATTTTTTATGAAAAACAATATTCATACACTAAGTAGACGAAGACGAGCGCGCTATCCACTGCGCCATCCATCCCAACCTATAAGTTACGCACAAGAACAAATATATACTTGTAAAATGTATTTTTTTTTACTAAATTTTCAAAATTTCAGGATTTTTGAAGTTTAGTTAGCTGGGCATTCTTACGAAAAAAAGGCAAGAAAAAACTCAAATATATAATTTCCACTTTTGGGAGAGTAGAAAAAACCCAGCATCAAATGATATACATAAAAGCCCAGTCTAGCACTTTCTATCGTATTGCTGTACTATAAGAATTTATTGAAATATCAATTTGGGCCCGGACAGGTTAGGCCAATGATACCGGGGGTAAGTTCGGCCTTTATAACATATACATACTGCTTGTCCGAACTTTCTCCGGTCTCCCTTAATTGGTATGTCAGTCTTAAAATCTTATTAGAGCTTGTGTTTTTGTTATTCCTCGACTACACGACATTAAATAAAGCTTATTTTATCTCATTCTGAGTCAGTGTTATCCCATTCTGAATCAGTAAATCTCATTCAGAATCAGTTAATATCAGAGATTAACAAAAGCTACGCTCTTTTTAGGCATTGCCTTTTCACATTATGAAATGAAAACGAGTGAAATATATTCAAGACTTGTGGCATATGTTCGTGTAAAACGACAATTTTCATGCAACCTTGAAATGTAAAAAGCCGCCATTTTGACCCAAGTGCGTGAGTATGTGAAGTCATGTACTTATCCTAGACGTGACGTCAAAATTGAAACAATTGAAACTTACAACCAATCCAAGGGCTGATAGGTCATATAACATGGGTTAATAGTAAAAACAAATTGACATCGGTATATACACTGGATAACACAGTACATTATGTGATAAACATATTTTTGCCAACAGCATTGAAGTGCTACTCCTGTCACGAGGTAGACAGCCCAGATCTCTGTTACACAACCACACAATGTCCATCCGCGGATCATGTGAGTAGCTAACTGTGTAACAAGTAAATGTTTGTAAGCATGATAATGCCCGGCCACATGTAGCTAGAGTTTGTCAAGACTTTCTAGGAAACCATAGCATTAACCCTCTGTGGGACGAACTGCACAGGAAGGTATACGTAATTAAGGGGGCGTCGGAATATCACTTTTTCTCTTGCCAAATGTGCTTCAATTACTCAAGAATTATCGGTCGAAATCTTATGAAATTGTGGTAATTTGTTAATTAAAGATGTCTTTTTACACTTATATAATGTTATACTTATATAATGATATTGTATATAACATTCAAATACATAAAATAAAATCACCTCAAATTTCTATATCCTTTCAGTATTAATGTTCGAATTTGAATAGCACAGGTTATAAATTAGCGTTTTGTTTAAAAATAATCATTTTTCATATATTTTTTCAAATCCAGACAAATAGATTATCTTAGCGTCAACAGGCCGGTTGTTGAGTCAAAGCAATAGATCGAGTTTTTCACTTTAATATTTGGAACATCCTGAATGTTTTAGTGGAGTAAAGGTAAACAATTATATGTTTGTATCGGTAAACAATTATATGTTTGTATAGGTAAACAATAACATGTTTGTATCGGTAAACAATAATATGTTTGTATCGGTAAACAATTATATGTTTGTATTGGTAAACAATTATATGTTTGTATCGGTAAACAATTATATGTTTGTATACGTAAACAATTATATGTTTGTAAAGGTAAACAATTATATGTTTGTTTCGGTAAACAATTATATGTTTGCATCGGTAAACAATTATATGTTTGTATCGGTAAACAATTATATGTTTGGATCGGTAAACAATTATATGTTTGTATCGATAAACAATTATATGTTTGTATCGGTAAGCAATTATATGTTTGTATCGGTAAACAATTATATGTCTGTATAGGTAAACAATTATGTGTTTGTATAGGTAAATAATTATATGTTTGTATCGGTAAACAAGTATATGTTTGTATAGGTAAACAATTATGTGTTTGTATAGGTAAATAATTATATGTTTGTATCGGTAAACAAGTATATGTTTGTATTGGTAAACAATTATATGTTTTTATAGGTAAACAATTATATGTTTGTATAGGTAAACAATTATGTGTTTGTATAGGTAAATAATTATATGTTTGTATCGGTAAACAAGTATATGTTTGTATAGGTAAACAATTATGAATTTGTATCGGTAAATAATTATAAGTTTATATCGGTAAACAATAACATGTTTGTATCGGTAAACAAGTATATGTTTGTATCGGTAAACAATTATGTGTTTGTATCGGTAAAAAATTACATGTTTGTAAAGGTAAACAATTATATGTTTTTATAGTTAAACTATTATGTGTTTGTATAGGTAAACAATTACATGTTTGTATCGGTAAACAATTATATGATTGTATAGGTCAACAATTATATGTTTTTATCGGTAAACAATTATATGTTTTTTATCGGTAAACAATGATATGTTTGTATCGTTAAACAAGTATGTGTTTGTATAGGTAAACAATTATATGTTTTTATAGGTAAACAATTATATGTTTGCATCGGTAAACAATTATATGTTTGTATCGATAAACAATTATATGTTTTTATCGGTAAACAATTATATGTTTTTTATCGGTAAACAATGATATGTTTGTATCGTTAAACAAGTATGTGTTTGTATAGGTAAACAATTATATGTTTTTATAGGTAAACAATTATGAGTTTGTATCGGTAAACAATTATATGATTTTATCGGTAAACAATTATATGTTTTTTATCGGTAAACAATGATATGTTTGTATCGTTAAACAAGTATGTGTTTGTATAGGTAAACAATTATATGTTTGTATCGGTTAACAATTATATGTTTGTATCGGAAAACAATTATATGTTTTTACCGGTAAACAATTATATGTTTGTTTCGGTAAACAAGTATATGTTTGTATAGGTAAACAATTATATGTTTGTATCGGTTAACAATTATATGTTTGTATCGGTAAACAATTACATGTTTTTATCGGTAAACAATTATATGTTTGTTTCGGTAAACAATTATATGTTTTTATAGGTAAACAATTATATGTTTGTATCGGTAAACAATTATATGTTTTTATAGTTAAACTATTATGTGTTTGTATAGGTAAACAATTACATGTTTGTATCGGTAAACAATTATATGTTTGTATCGGTAAACAATTATATGTTTGTAAAGGTAAACAATTATATGTTTTTATAGTTAAACAATTATGTGTTTGTACCGGTAAACAATTACATGTTTGTAAAGGTAAACAATTATATGTTTTTATAGGTAAACAATTATATGTTTGTATCGGTAAACAATTATATGTTTGTATCGGTAAACAATTATATGTTTGTATCGGTTAACAATTATGTGTTTTTATAGGTAAACAATTATATGTTTGTTTCGGTAAACTATTATGTGTTTGTATCGGTAAACAATTATACGTTTGTATCGGTAAACAATAACATGTTTGTATAGGGAAACAATTATGTGTTTGTATAGGTAAACAATTATAGGTTTGTTTAGGTAAACAATATCATGTTTGTATCGGTAAACAATCATAAAGTTGTAGTTATACGCTGACATATGTTTGTGCTAGTTAGGACACAAACATAACATTATCCTGAAGTTGAAACTTGTTGAAATGTTGTCTTTTCCTTTTTCGTTCTTTTTCAAAGTTTTGCATCGTGACGCAGGGTTTCAATGATGATTTTAAGGACGTGTACAAACTCGGATGCGCCTTAAGTTCAGTATGTATATATCGAAAGTATTAAAACGCAGGCTGTAAGCACATTGCGTATGACGTTTAGATGCATTTTTTAAGATTCAAATTACAAAAAGTGTAAAATCTCGGCCACAATAAAAATCAAATTATTAAATGCTTGTCTTCTGTAGAACAAATCTTTATGGGTATTTTCTTCGTCTATTTCATGTTACATTTTTATTGAAAGGTTGTTCCAACATCAAATCAATTAAACACGTACATGTCGTTTTTTTTCTATTAGGTGTGCACGGCACACTTTGGTCCAGGATTAGGTCGCAGAGATGGTAGTCTGTCAGAGCGCAGCGGACCTCAAGGATCATGTTGCAGTACAGATCTATGCAACGTGAAGTCGCGGAATATAACAATAGCAGGTCATCCTCCAACACAACAATCCACAATGATGTCGACAACAGGCCAGTCATCTTTTTCAAATTTCCCTGATGTACCACGTGATCTTCTTGATATTCTATCGACTGCCCGACCAAGCCAAACAATGACATCAGTTCCTGCTGTGACATCCGGTCTGTGTGATGATATCGATGGTGATATTTGTACCCGCCTTGAAACTCATTTCCCAAGCATGTGTAGCATTGACTGTATTGCTAACGAGGTGTGTCCAAGAAAATGTGGCAAATGCAGTAAGTTTTTGTTTGTTTATGTATTAAAACACGTTTTTATGAATCAAAATTGGGGAAAATGAGCTTCATAAAAAAAGATACTATCATCTTGCATATTGTTCACGATATTATTGATTTGTTGATGAAACAAAAGTCTGTATAAATACCTGAAATATTCCTCATCGACTTAATTGACTTTTGTACTATAGTGGGCTGCTACCAATGCAATCACGTGACCAATCCAGAAACTTGTACACAAAAAACAATCTGTGGTAGAGGAGAGGTAATACTTTTTGTTTCAATCAACTTGATATCTAATTCTGATTTGAAGATGACGTTATATATCATGTCAATGCACAATGAAGATAATAAAGAAAACGTTTGAGGCCATTTTGGAGAACGTTTTACCTGTACTTGTCAGCGATGTCCTTGATACACTTAATTTATTTGTCTTTTTTGGATACATCGGCGCTTAAAGACTGTAGGCTAGTTAAAAGAAGATGTTCACTTAAACGACGTGTCGGTCACGTCTTTGATTCATTTATGTCTATGTTCGATACGCGAATGTTATTATTATCCTTAAATATTTATTAGATTTGTTGTGTCACTTTCAGCAATGCTTTTCGGTGGAGACGATATCAACAAATTTTGAACAGGGATTTAAACTTGGATGCATGGACGAGAGGGTAAGATAACATTCTGATATTTGCATAATGATAATTATATTAGTTAATGAACTGTTTTGAAGCTTTCTATTGTATTCAAAGTCTGTGAAAGCAGTTTTCTATTTCCATGATACATACTATATAAAGTGTTTTGTATATTAACAGATGAACTGCAAACATATGTATAAACTCAAATTCTCCACTTATTACATAATATCGATGTATTTGTTTTTAAGCTTTGCTCAACGTTTGGCCATGCCGCCCCAGGAATTTTCGGAAAACGTCAGGGATTTGAGTTGTCCCTCCACGGAGGATGTTGTACAGGAGAGTTCTGTAACCACCACGCCCTACTGCCGACATCTACTGTACCACCGACAACCAGCACTACAACTGTACCGACTACAACACAGACAGGTTTTCATGTCACTTACTTGATAATTAATTGTATGTTTCTGAATGATGTTTTCCCATAGATAATGAAAGAGCAATGATGAAAATTAATCTTGAGGGAAAAAAAAACAAATTGTGGTGAAGTTACATCAAAATCGAAAGATCTGTGTTTAGGTTGTCCTACTCACCTTTCGACGTGTCCACAAGGCTGGCTTCACCATCACAGTTCGTGTTATAGCATCGGGACTCCAGCGACAAACTGGGGCAACGCCACGGTAAGTTAGGATATATCACAGTAAGGTGACATACAACTTGTCTAAACCAATATTTACTTTCTTTTTCTACCTATACCGATCTAATGATTTTTATTTTAGAACTAGCCTACCTTGCTTTGCATTCTAGTGATCAAATTTTGACAAGACCTTAAATTACTGTCGCATTTATCAAAGCGAAACCAGTGACCAATTTAAAAGTATTAAACCCATATTTATCTTTTGTAATGAATTTAATATTACATAACGTTGAAAGTGCTTCGAAGAACGGTATATGTATTTGTATCCTCTGTGCTTCGAACTAGAAATGGTGAATAATGTATCCGATTCGGCTATATAATTTACCAAGTACATGGTAAGTTCAATAAATATGTTCATTGTATTGGTTTTAGGCTCTGTGCGAGAAACATTGTGCCGAGCTTGCCGATTTTGATTCCTCATCAGATCTTCAAAGTGTCGTTCTGGACCTAGGATATCATTTTGCTGGACTATCAAGTTCCGGTAACGCTACATTCAATTAAGTGAAAAGGAGTGACTTACCGTCTTTGAACTTTATTATACAATCCTAGGTTCATGACGGACCCATATGCTTGTATGTGTTGACAGACTTGAATTGTAGAATTATTTTTGGTGTACAAAACTCATTCTATCCGATTGTCCATTTGATTTGTGTAGAAAGACTTATTCTATCAGATTGTTCACTGAAAATGTGTAAACAAACTTATTATATCAAATTGTTCACTCATTTTGTGCAAACAAATTTATTCTATCAGATTGTACACGGAAATTGTGTTAACAGATTTTTTCTATCAGATTGTTTACTCATTTTGTGTAGATAGTTTTATTCTATCAGAATGTTCACTCAATTTGTGTAAACAGATTTATTCTTTCAGATTGTTCCCTCATTTTATGTAAACAGACTTATTATATCAGATTATACACGGAATTTGTGTTAACAGATTGTTTCTATCAGATTGTTTACTCAATTTGTGTAGATAGTTTTATTCTATCAGATTGTTCACTCAATTTGTATAAACAGATATATTATTTCATATTGTTTATCTCTTCAATTTCTGAATATATTTTTTTTCTATCGAAAATTTCAAACAATACGCATTTGAATTGACCATAAAGGACTTTAAAGTTAAGTTAATATTCCTACAAGATGCGCCATTATACATATTTATTACATACTTACTAACAAATACGTTTTTTTTTGTATATGCGATACGACACAATTGCTCTAACCCATATCAGCCCTCGCCGTATCACACTCCAAAACCCGTGTCAGCCCCCGCCGTATCACACCCAAAAACCCGTATCAGCCCGCAAAACCCATAACACACCCCTTTTGAAAAATAAATAGTTTTTCAACATTTCAAAAATACAAAAATAAATCATAAGATAGTAGTTTTTATTAGTAAGTATGCTATAAACAGAATAAAACACGCCTTTTTCCATATCACCCCCAGTATCAATCCTCGACCAATATCTGCCCTCGGGCCTTCGGCCCTTGGGCTGATATTGCAGTCTCGGGTTGATACTGGGTTTGATATGGAAAAAGGCATGTATTATTCTCTATATATTTGAATTCTATCAATATTTGAAAAATTGTAACATCAATTTTTTATATGAGAGCATTGTATTTACCGAAAATGGATTCACCCACGTAGTTAACGTTTGCTACGATTTGCTAATAAAGACTTTGTTTTTCAAAAAAAATATCAGTTAAACATATTCAACTCTAATGTATTCATTTAAATCAATTATTTATTGTGAAACATTGGAGACTGATGACATTAAAACATATATTTATAGAAATAAAAAACAAGAATGAACATCCTACATTAGTAGGTAGAACAAACAGACGATTGTACTCATTCTATAATAGTGATAAGGGGTTCTCGTAACAATGGAAGAACAAAGAGAATAAAGCATGTTCCGTGTATCAAATATGAACGTTTCTTGATCTTCCTATTAACTAATGCATAATGACTTGTGGAATACTCTTTGTAGGTGGTGTCCATGTTTGGGTAGCCGGTAAATTAGTTCATGGTGTATGGCAATGGACCACAACCGGACATGCCGCTCATTCCACCCTACAACACAATACCCACTATCACAACACGTACTGTGGTTATATAACCATTGTCCCTCACACGGGCGGCCACACTGTGTTAGCATTACCCAGCACCTCACTACACCGCCAATCGTGTAGTGTTGATTTTCTGCCTTTGTGTGAAATCAAACATGTCAACAATTGATGAATAAAACTTATTGAGAAAAAAATGAATATATTTCTGCGTTAGAATTACGGAATACGTAAAATGTAGGGATGTTTCTGCGTCTACCAATGTGTCTATACGCCTGTAATAAGCAAAGTGATCTTGATCATTTAGTTATTAAATTAGGCTGCTCTCTTTCAACGTCAGGTGGTGCCTATGTGTTTTCATTTTACATCTAGGTTACGTTGTTTTAGAGGCATTAAGATATACACGAAAATACATTTAGTTACATAAGAGTGAATGTTATCAACCCGCTGTATATAGTGGTGGATGAATAGGAATTTGATTATACTGGGAACATAATTAACTCGGGACGAGTGATTTTTCTCATTATATCCTCATCGGTGTATATTCCGTAATAATACGCTCACATGCGTTGATTTTTTTTATTTGAATGATTAATTTGCTTATTCGCAGGTAATATAACATCGGTAAAAAAATGTCCAGTTAGAATTGATAGTTTATTGGACGTTATACGTGTGTGTGTTAAAGTCACAACAGCCTAATTCCATATTTACCAAAACAAAACAAAACAAACAAACCCAGCGCTAAACCATAATTCTTCTCCATATTCTTACGCTTCAAATACGAAGCAACTTCACGGCCTTTCACATTTCATATGTATTCAACAACAGAAACTGATTGAATGGTCTCCGAGGTAAAAAATAAATAAATGATTTGGTCTTTTTCATGTCGTGAGTATCGTCCATGTGATTTCAGTATGAGGACTTTTAATTTTATCTTTGAAAAGTTACCTTTTGAAACATGTTTATAGTGGTACATTTTCCTGGACAAGGCAAGACAAACTAGATGGAGGATGCTGAATGTGATCCAGCAAACGTCCTGTACGAGAATATAGAGGCTGCGTAAACGAACCTGAATGTGATGCTGAATGTGGTCCAACAAATGTCCTGGAGAAGACAACGGAGGCGGTGAGGAAGAAGCTGAATGTGCTCCAGCAAAACGTCTTTGACTAGACAATAGATGATGTGTTGAGATGCTGAATGTGGTCCAGCCAACGTCCTGGAGTAGACATAGGAGGCTGTGTGGAAGAAACTGAATGTGCACCAGCAAACGTCCTAAACTGGACAGAAGAGGCTTTGTGGAAGAAGCTAATTGTGCTCCAGCAAACGTTATGGACTAGACAAAGGAGGCTGTATTGAAGAAGCTGAATGTGCTCCAGCACAAGACCTTGACTTGACAAAGGAGGCCGTGTGGAAGAGGCTGTATGTGCTCCAGCAAACGTCCTTGACTTGACAAGAGATGACATGTGGAAGAAGTTGAATGTGGTACAACCAACATCCTGGACTGGACAAAGGAGGCTGTGTTGAAGAATTTGAATGTGGTCCAGCAAACGTCCTGGATTAGATAACGGAGGTTGTATGGAAGAAGCTGAATTGCACCAAACGTCCTGGACTTGACAGTGGAAGTTATGTTGAAGAAGCTGAGTGTGCTCCAGCAAACGTCCTAAACTGGACAATGGAGGCTGTGTAGAAGAAACGTAATATGCTCCAGCAAACGTCCTGGAGTAGACATAGGATGCTGTGTGGAAGAAGCTAAACGTGGTACGGCCAACGTCCTGGACCTGACAAAAGAAGTTGTGTTGAAGTGCTGAATGTGGTCCAGCCAACGTCCTAGACTTGTCTCTACCTGTTTGTCTCATTAAGTTTTAAATGTTGGACTTAACAAAACAGTTTGCCAATGTTATACGCTAAAATGTAGTAAAGATAGCTTTGTTTTACTCAAATCTGTTAAAAACTGACATAAATGATTTGGCACATTTTTGCAGATCCAATGTAGTGTGTATACAAATTCTATTGATTATATAGGTCAAAATGAGAAAATTTGTAACTCTCAAATCCTTATCAAATTTCATACATTTCTTGTAAAATAAATACTAAGCTTATTGATCCTACTGAACTTGTACTTCGAATGCATGTTTAAACTCAAGCATCAACCTCTTTAATCAAGCATTCCGTTAAGAAAACAATGATACCTTTTCATTTCCAGACCTGTCATTTACATGTTAATATTATAACAAAAACCCTATTTCGATCTATGACACATTTCCAATCACGTTTCTATAGCAGAATCGAAGGTGTCAGTGTACATGTGACTCTACATAATGGACCGACAATTTCTTGATAACGAATTCAACACATGACCCCCTTTTTATCTATTGTCACATTCAAACCGGATTCCATTTGATACGTTAGCATACACTCTAGGATGTTGGTGTCGATTACAGGTAAATATAGAAACAACTGAACGATTTATCTAAAACACATCACGATTGCCTTTCGTCACTGTTCTACAAGTAAACTATAGTAGTGTGTTTACGTCCTAAACATAATAAATATGCTACAACATAAGAAGAAATAAATAAAAAAAATTGAATCAATGCATGTCACCTGGTTGCATTGCTTATTAATTTATTTAAGATATTAATATGCTGAGTAAATAATTGTATGGTTACCTATACTAAATTGTACAAGTTATTGACCAATACATCCAAAACAAAAAGAAGGCAAAAGAACTCTTCATATTTGATGCTATCATACATATGGATGGTATCCAAACGTTCTAGTTGTCCTATCTTGGTGAGGTTTAAAAATACCGACATATTTATGTTTTATTCCAGTTTTCCTCGTTTGTCTGGCACTGGGCAGTGCTCAGTCAAGTGTGACTTGCGACGATGTTAATTCTATGGTGTGCCAGGACTTGTATAACCTCAACCCTAACATGTGTGAAAATGCGTGTTACTCTGTGGCGCTCTGTCCACGCTTCTGTGGGAAATGCCGTACGTATTTCTACGTCGTATCATTCTAAAATCTAACAAATGATGAGGCGTATATCAATGATTTTATCAACACTTAACATCTAATGATGAATATTTACGTTCTGAATGCCTGGACTCATTGACAAAAATGCCATTTATATTGTACATTACAAAGGTAACCTGTTCATACTGCGTATTGATACAATGTCAAGCCGTATTACGTAACGTATGTGTAGTTCGTGTATAATCCACTGCGAAGCCGGTCTTAGAATTTAAATGATCATTAGCATCTAAACATATACGTTAAATGCAAAATAAGTTTTTAAAACAAATAATAATAATAATTCATGATACCCTTCTGTACCATTACGGATGTGAGGATTTGAGTGTACTTAAGGTTTTGATTTTTCTTAATGGATCGTTAATTTCCAATGGCTCAATTATAGTGCTGTGAAATGTGAAAAGCATCTCTCCATGATTGTAATTATCAACCGTGACCACAGTATACACCATCGACAAGCGGAGTCGTGCAGCAAGGGTAAAGTTTTTTGCACATGGGCACAAACATATCCCGCTGTCCACGATTATCAAACATACGACCTTACAGGTATTGTCAAGCTACGTGTGTATTGGTTTCCATGACTAAAGCATTTAATGCGCTTATTTTTTTCCTGCTGTAGCACTAACTAATACTTACTTATGCCGTGTATACAGCAAGAAAAATTGCCGTTTCGTTTGCTACTTAACTGAACTTTTGGTAATGCTAATCGTCGGTATATAAGGTGGTAGTGCTATTTACTCTATGCATAATGACACTGAGGTCCTCTGTATACAAAATGTTTCGTTGTTTGAGACTTTCTGTTTTCTCTCTCTCAAAATGAGTCATTAGTTCCCTTTGGCCACCACTGGCTTATCACATGTGGAAGATGTTTGCTTCATACACAACTGGTACGTTATGTCTGTAAGTTCATTCATTGCTGTATTATTTACATGTGATAAGTATATGTTTATTGCTACAGCACTGAAATGTTATCAATGTCATGAGGTTGCTAGTCCAGACCTGTGTTACACATCAACGCAATGTCCTTCAGTAGATCACGTGAGTATGGTGGTATCCTAGTTTACCAAGTCAGCTATTAAGAAACTAAGGTGACATTAAATTTGAACCTTTATAAAAGCCGTTTTCCTTTCTCTGTGGTTTATTTTGAAATTTATTTTAGAGCTATTTATTTCAAATAGAATATCTATATTCCTTTAATCTAAAAATTATTAAGAGTTAAATTTTAAACGAATTTGTTTGTGTTATTTTGGAAAATAAATGAATAAATACACAATATCATCCAATACCTATTTCTGGTCAGTTCAGGAGAATGACTGGCTGTGTTGTCTGAGTGTTTATAAATCGATATTGTCTCACCGATAGGTAATATGTTTATAACCATTCAGTTATCTACTGTTGAAGGTAAACATTTAGTCTTATCTTTGACTATGACTGCCCAGAGACTTGCCGTTGTCTCGTAGATGGAACTTATTCTGGCACGATTGAACATGAAATACGAGTTAAGGGATAATATGTCAGCTGTAATTACAGGTTAATAATTTTGATATACTTAAAGGTTAAATGATGAAAATTCACGATAAAGTTAAAATGTTTACCATGTTTCCTTAACGATTGACTTTGTACGCTAATTTGCTATTTTATCATTATATCAAAAGTTTTGCATCACTACCCAATCCTTCACTGACGATTTCAAGGAGGTGTACAAACTTGGTTGTGCCCTTAACGCGGTAAGTCCAGTGTTCTTTATCTTAGATGGAAAATTTAACAATTGCTGAGTTTAATGCCGTTTGTGACCATTAACTTTTTCTAGATTAAGATTTTAAAAACCCGGCATAGTACATATTTTGAGTGGATGCGATTACTGTAGAACATGCTTTGTACTTGATAACTATTAGTGTTATGTCCTATTTGGACATTCATATCATTTCATATCGATTGGGCTAATGTTTGTCATTTCGGACCTCTTATTCAAAAGTTTATTTTTTATTAATTTAAGTGTTGAAATTAAATTTCACATGAACTTCATTTTCATGATTGAGTTTCACTGCTGATTTTCAAGTAACGCGATATGTTAAGGGGATTTTGCATTACAGCGTCCATCCGATGTTTACATTTTTTCATATTCTACAGGGCAAATTATTTACATGTACCTACCATAAACCAAAAATTATTTACATCTTTTATTAGGTATGCGCATCACATTTCGGTGCACCCATAGGGCGAAGAGAAGACGACAACATGTCTAAGCGAGGGCAATTGCAAGGGTTTTGTTGTAGTACCGACTTATGCAACGTGAAATCTCGTAACGTAACGACATTTGATTCCGGTCCTATAAATATGCAGCCCAACATTCTGCAACAGAAGATACTAGTCCGTGAACCTTCTGCTGTAGTTCGTGACGCTTCCGATGCCACTAATACATCCACATCTGCATATCAATCTACTCAATCAAATGTACCGACAACGAACCCGGCTCCTGTAGCTAATGTATCTACGACGCCTCCAGTTGTCACGGCCTATCATACTAGTGCAACTACTACACCTCCAGTTGTGACAACAGTTCCTGTTGTGACGTCTAATCTGTGTGCTGACGTCGATGCCGGTATTTGTTCCCGCCTAGCAACACATTTCCCTGATATGTGTACAGTTGACTGTATTGCAAATGAAGTCTGTCCTAGAAAATGTGGCAGATGCAGTAAGTTTGTATAAATGTTTTTTCACTAGCTATTTGCTCTGTCAATGTTGTTTTTAAACAGCGTGTGCGTTTAAAATTCGAAATAAGAAATTGGTTCTTTGCTTTTTGTTCCCAATTTTTACTGCATGCAGCTGTACTTACAAATGTTATTTTGATAAATTGACACAAAATTATGGACAAGCACTTGTTTGGTGCAACTTCCTGTTTCATATGAAGATAGTATAAACCATTTTTGTACAAATGTATTTGCATTACTGAGACGTTTCAGTACAATGCGCAATTTACTTTATCAATTAAATTGAAATTAGATTAAAACAAAAACAGATACAAATAAACAAAATTCCTTTGAAAACAATTGCTAAGAATAATCTTTACCAATTTTACTCAATATCAAGCAAACGTCATCGTTCCGGTGGTTTAAATATAAATAGTTTAAAATTTTCATTCAATTATGAATCTCTGATTGTTCGCCTGGTAATTGTATTTCTTCAGTGGGATGTTACCAGTGTAATCACGTGTTAGCCCCAGAAAACTGCACACACAAAACTGTTTGTGAGAATGGAGAGGTAACGTATGTTAATCAACTGCTTTGTTGTTGATGTTTGAAACAACACATATATCACATTATATCGTGTTAATAATTGTTTCGGTCTCGAAGATATCAAGATTAACCAAGGTGAACCTAATGAAAGAGAAACATGTCAAAGGTAAAATATGAACATTTTACTTAGCAAAAACTTTCACAGCCATTATTATTATCTTATTGTCCATTGCTGTTTATGCATACAATTTGCTTCCTTTTCGTTTTCTTTGTAACCAAGCACAAACATTTGCTACACATGTTTTTTATGACAATGCAAGATAAATGGGAAGAGCATGTGTGTTGACACAAAATTAGGGAAACACAGAAGAGATCTTCGAGAATGTCAGTCTGATGCTTTCAGATGTTTAGAATATATTTTAGCTAAAAATAACAAAAATAAACAGTTTGAATGAAGAATATCTACACAGCTAATATAATAATAAAGCATTATGACATATGGTGTTATAAAACACTTTCATTGGATGAAATATATTTTTTGTTCAAGAAATATAGTACTTATTGTGTACCGATCTGTCATAATGGTGTGTTTGATCGCCTTTCTGAGCAACCTCTCTTTTCTCGCTCTTTAACTTATCAGTACGGGTTAAAATAACCTTGCAATGTTCTCCAATTTCAATATTCAGATACATTCCAACTCTTTGAATAAAATTATATGTATGGATTAAGTTTATTAATCTTTTATATACTCTTCTGAACTTGAAATCAAAGACACTATATACCTCTGCCGCTTACTGATATCTTAACATAAACATGACCGACATGTACGGCTTATTACTAAGATTAACTTTAATAATAACGATTTCAATTATCTGATCATGAACTATTCCTTTCTTGATAATTACTTCCCTGCGTCCCCACCTACGGTGTGCATATGTTGTCTTTATTATATATCTCATTCGGTTTCGAATGATGTAGATTGATGAAGAATATGGGCAAGTTTAAAGGTGGCTATCATGTTCTCTTTTTGACATATTCAATGTCCGTGTTCAATATTGAAGTTATTTGTGCCTTTGGTTTCGATGTCCTTATCCATGTTCTTATTTTGAGGACGTAGTATTACCCACTTTGGACTTAAATATACATTGCACGTTATCAATGAAGCAGAAAACGTTTATCCTTTAGTTATATGCAGTTTTCTTCTTTCTGTACATTAAAAGGTATTCATTAATTTATTTTTGTTCCAAGTTTTATTTCAGGATTTGTTTATGATCGGTATTCTTTTCTTATAGCAATGTTACTCCGTGGAGACTATATCACCTTCACTTGGACGGGGATACAGACTCGGATGTTTAAACGAAAAGGTAGCAACAATGATTTTAATTATCAAAATCATCAAACACATCCCGTGGATTAAAATGTATATCAATAGGATAGTATGGTTGACCAAGCGTACATCAAATAACTTTCCGTATATACGGGTGTGTTTGTGATTGTTACTTGACCGGGTGTGTATCCGGTAGAGTCAGTTGTGTTCTTTCTGTGTGTCGGCAATAACAAGTTTCTGTAGATGTACGTATGTAATAAATATAACATAGTTTTAAGGGCAGAGAATGCTTCATATTGGGTAGGTTTGGAATGAGAAAACGCATGCCTACATATTTCTTTATTAATGTGGTCAAAGTATTTTCAACCAAAGCAGTGTCCTATATCAGATTAACGTTGGTACTTACTAAATGTAGCTTACTATACATTTCTCGGTAACTAATACATGATACAAGTCTATTTATCTTTATGGAGTTTTAAAGGATTTTTATTTCAAAAATGTTTGCTATACCGTATCAATTGAGAAGTTGGTGATAAAAAATAACATGGTTTAAATGGTATCCAACATATAACATCAGTGCACCCACAACGGGATATATTCTACTGAATTAATAACGTATTTTATACTATAGTATGAATTCCAAAACCGTTTGATCTTTTTCATAAATGAACATCATCCAATTTTCATTTCTATTACATGAAGATATATACTCGGCGCGTGGTTCTATAGATAGAACGCGAAATATCGGAGTTAATTAGACATTTGAAAAGATGCAACTGTACCCTGGAAATCATATTTGAGGATAAATGATAAGTCAAGACAGGTTCCGATTTACTCTTCTCTCCAAACTAGCAATGGGTTCGAAAAAATAGGTTTTCTGAAAATGACATAAAACGTTGCGAAAAGTACATTTGCAAAATCATTTCAAGTCCATGTTACCATAATAAACAGAAAATGCACAGATGCTATATCAGTTAAAGTACATTAAACATATAATTTTGTATAAATGACTTACATAAACATACATCTTTGCATGGCCTGCAAGTTTCTGGCAACGCATCCCAAAAGTGTCTCGTTTTGGGTTTACTGACGGTATCGAGCAAATGAAAGTATTCAAACACAACCGATCGGAAATCGTTCATAATGTGTCTACTCGTTTCCGAAGATGTGTTCAACCTTTGGTGAAGCCGCTCCCGCCATCTTTGGAAAGCGTCAAGAATTTGAGCTGTCTCTCCACGGTGGATGTTGTAGAGGGGAATATTGTAATGACCATGCCCTTCTGCCTACGACTTTTGTACCACCGACAGCTACGACAGTTCCAACGACTCCTGTACCACCGACAACTACGACTGTTCCAACGACAGTCGTCCCGACAACAGCCCACAACGGTTTGTAAACAAGTAATTGTTGTCTACATGTCATTAAGATAAACAATAGTCAAATAATTCAATCATAACTCTTAAAACACATATCTACGTTACTTCAAGGAACTTAATTAGTTCTCTTTGTATATGTCATAATAAATGTACTTTTTCTGCATTTGCTTTTAAAAATAACTATATATGTCTTTTATCTTTTAATCATTTTCCCTTTCTATATTATATTCTTTGTTGTCCGGATTACGGTGTGGCATACACAATCATCGATGTGCTAATTGTTGATAAAAGATATTTACTGACCACGTCGATCGTATATAATTATAATCTTGAACTTGAAATCAAAGACATGACAAACTCTCCTATATCAGCCGCTTACCTTAATATGTTAACATAACAAGTAAGGGTGGCTTAAAGTAAAGCTGTATGAGTAGCATGTTCGATTTTGCGATCGTAAACCTTTCTTACTTGACTGTAAAATTTTCGCTTCTCAGGCCATCGTGTTTGTAAACATGTCACAATTGTTTCAGTATTCAAGAGCTATTTTCATGACTTCATTGACATATTTCGACTCCTGATGGACAAACTTAAAACATAGTTTCAAGAGGACCCCGTGGAAGATAAGCTTTGCTTAACAGGTTTTATCCTCAGACAATAAAGTTGATTATTATTATATAACATAGGATTTCGCAAGTTAAAGCTTGATGGACACTATCATGGTCGAAATCATGCTTTCATTGGGAAACGTTTTATTTTTATGATACTGTCTCTGCTTATGATTATTCAAATTAGTATGTGTTGTTGTTTCGTTTTCACCACCCGGTTTTCTTCCGGTTTTCGACTCGTTGACGTGGCGTTACTCTAATTAGACCTATATTTACATGACGGATGGCGTCGATGAAGAAAACAATGACCACTCCAGATTTTCAATGGTCTCAGTATAAAACATCCCTTTTTGTTCATATTTAGTCTACATTTCATAGACATTGAGCTGTTCGAATTATGTTTTTGTTGCGATATCATTATTGCTTCAGTGTATTTCATGTTGAATAGCATTAAGATTAAATCATGTTCATATAAAAGTTTAACATGCCGTTTTGAGGAGAGCAGTGTTTGATGTAAAATACTTGATTGTGACTGATTAGAATACATATTTTCATTGATAAAAGAATAGTGAATATTTCTTTTTATTTAAGAAGAATAGTATCGAAGCCGGAGAATTAATGTGTATTTATAGAATTCTATTATTATTAGCTTGTCCTAGTCGATACAGTAGATGTCCGTCAGGCTGGATCCATCACAAAAGTTCATGCTTTGCTTTGTCACTAACGCATTTAAGCTGGGCCGATGCTAAGGTAAGGCTTTGCCATTATATAACCAGTCCAAACACAAAACCTCTTTTTTTTAAAGTGATAAAACTTTTAAAAAACACATACAATATTAACAACCGCTTGCGTGTATCTAAATGTAAATCACGATTCTATTTTCTTTCCTTTTCTTTCATTTGTTTTCTTGATTTTATTGACCCACAAAACGTTTTGGGATAACTCCAGGGTTTGGGCCCTGGTTTCAGTTTCCTTATGATAATTGTCCTCATGCAAGAGGGGTCTCATTCATTCATTCATTTTCATTTATTCATTCAATCTGACAATCGCTTCACTTAAAATTCTAATAATAATAATAATGGAAATAAAGGTCAATGCTCAGAACTAACATCGACCACTCCTACCTTTTGTCTTTATTATGTTTCCTAAAATAATGAAGACATCAGCTTTATTTAACAAACACAATTTTATTGTATTGTAAAAGATCTGTTTATACCAATCCAATGATAAAAATGATACAGTGTATTTTTCACTTGAGATTTCATTTTGGGAAATAACGAGACTTTTTCTTAATATTATAATGTTAAATGTTGAATTAACATTATTTTTTTTTTAATTTATGTGCTATTGATTAAAATCAATTTTCAGACACCTGTTGTTTTGTAAAACCAAAGCAAGCTTAGAGAAGAAATTAAATCAGAACATATTTTGACTCTAAAATATTTGATATATAAATGTAATCTTCTGCTTATATTGATCGCTGATCCCTCAGCAATAGCAACTATATTGTCCGGTTCAGGGTAACTTCATATCTTCTATTGATAGAGCCAACGTCGAAATTTTTAATTTTAACAAATTTTATGGACAATGGTAACATATCAAATAGATTGGACAACAGGCTTAAAGCCTATATAAGGCTTCTTCTTTTTGGTGGTATATGGTATACACATCGTGACAGGTTGTAGAAATATCATCTTGTTATAGGAAATAAGCGTGAATGATTTCTATAAAATACTGTCCAGTTTTGTGAACACTGGCGGTAGTTACAGTTTTCGGCACTGGTAGGGGCAGGGTTAAATAGATTGATATAAAACACATATTCTGTGAATTGTTTAATTGTAACTTAATCCATGGGTTTATTTTCCCAACTTTATCGCATCAAAAATCCTACTACTCAGATAACTACATTCTCTGTCTAGCTGATATATCATTAGTATGGTCTACCAGATTATTTACTAAATGATCCATTATATGATTTTCATCCAATATCGTCACTGCTGTTAATATAAGTTACCAGAAGGCTATTTGCATGCTATATACAACATGTGTCCCACTTTAATAAACTATGTTGTTTACAAATCTACACGTAGGCCAAGTGTGAACAACTCTGCGCCGGATTGGCCGACTTCAGTACTTCTTCAAGCTTACATAGCAGTCTACAAAGTGTCGCCCCTGCAGCCGGAAATGCCGGTCTAAGTACATATGGATAACGCATAATAATTTCCTTCTGTGAACTATTTGATGCATTTATATGCTAATCTGTACCAGAAGTGTTAAAATCCTTAAAAATGATATTTCAAACATTTTGATACAAAGAACAGCATGAAGATATGTGCACCATAAAGGAATTCTGGATATGAGAGCAGAATTAAGTGATAAAAAACGCTTAAATGATACATTTGATATAGCAAAAAATGACATATTGATGCATATAACATAATTGCTAAACAATTGTCAAACTTCATGTTTTATTTTCTAAAGTACGGATCCAAAAGATGAGATCATTGAAGCAACAACAAACTGATATCAGCATGTTTAATATTTGTCTTACGTTTACGACTTGCACTATTTACATCATATTGAACAAAACGGCCACTTTTACATTTGAATTTGACAGGAATAACGACGGCGTGGGTGGATGGTCGTGTGTCGTTGCATGGAGATTGGGAGTGGAGTGATGGACAAGAAGCAGACCACACCCTTCAACAGCATGTACATAATTATGATGCTTCTAAGTGTGGATTGGTTACCATACAGTCACAATGGACTAGTCATGGTCTCTCATCGAGTAGATACATGGACCCGACTGACTGTAGTGCCAAGCATCTGCCTTTGTGTGAAATAAAACATGTTTACTCATGAATGTAAATAAAATAAGATCATGGCACGTAACAGGTCGAATATTCTCTTGCTTATCATTTCATTATGTATTGGATAGGTGAACGCGAGAAAAACAATTAATACATCATCTACATAAGTTCTGGAGGTATCATATCAATCAGTGCATCTCGGTGAAGAATGTCTTGACTGTCACTTGTTACAAAAAGTTAACGAGGTGACCCTCTACGTTCATAATCAAAGTTGGTGGCAATTTTTACTTGGGGCTGATAAAATTAAGTATGCTTTTGTAAGTAAAATATCGGCCAACAATGTATCACCACCATCCCCTCCCTAAAATTTATAACTAACCGAATGTTACTGACCCTGGAAATTGTCATTAAGATATATAGGGGATTCTCAATAACGCCTTACTCCTTAACATTGTTCTGATCCTATGTAAAACAAAAAGTGAGATGAATAGGGGCTTGTGATACTCCCTTACGACTTTATCTGTTTACTGACCATTTGTAGAACATAAAAGTGTCAGTGAGTGGTCAGTACTACTCCCTTTTCTTTTAACCGTTTACTAACCCGTTGTAGAACAAAAATTGTCAGTGAGATATATAATGGCCTGTACTTCTCCTTTTCCTCTATCCTTTTACTGACCCTATATAGAACTAAAAATTGACATTCAGATATATGGGGCTTTGTACTACTCTCTTACTACTTTAACTTTGACAATGCATGGTTTATTAGAGAGTCAGTATAAGACTATATAATTAGTGTTGTCCTTACGATGGGAATAGTACGATGCTATAATTACGATAGACATATTGATTTCTACCTCAGAGCCTTGACCGCTTGACCGATTATCTCGATCGCTTGACATATTACTCGTACAAGTATGTGGCACGCATACTCTTCATCTAAGCATTAAAAATAAGTGTAGCCCTCGCGATATTATTTTGAACGCTCGGACAATACGTGAAAGAAGTAGGGTTCTTTGAAGTAGACAAAAATTGCATGTGTACACAATGATAGTATTGTCACGAGGTGTGGTATATTAGGCCAAAATTAATACAAACTAGCATAACCAACGTATAACCAACATATATACATTTATTAACAACCAAACAAATCATACAATGTACACAACATAAATACCACAAACTACACAATCACACTGTGCAACAATCTTTCACCCACTCCTAACAATACATAGACCCCCGGTGTACCCTTTGCAAATAGTTCACTCTACATCAATAGTTATAATTTTATAGTGTCCATCAAGTGATGTTACAGTCTCTGCACATGTATTCCACAGTATCAGAAGACACCGTATTTGTATGGTTCACGCGTATCCAGGAATGGCACGTATATGTCACTCAAGACGGAGCTCAATACTTCTCTCCATATTGGTGAAGTCATTCAAGGTTGAACCACAGTTCCAATTCAAGGTCGACTCAAGGTCACACCAGGGTTACATCCGGTTACAGCCAAATCAGCTCCTACAGAAGGTCTATCTATTGTCGGGGTCACATAAAAAAACCTCCCAGGTAACTTCATCCGGACACACAGTCCTCCACAATATTTTAGCACAAGGCCTCATGGACACAGTCCACACAAACACAGGGCACACAGCCTCACAAAACAGCTTCGAAGCACACAGCTTTGAATTCATATATACAAGCACACAGCTTGGAATTTATATATACAGGCACACAGCCATTATTAGCACCCAGCTAATACATATTGGCAATGGAATTGGAGTTCAGGCACACAGCCCTCCCAGCACCCAGCTATCCATGTAGAGATACAGGCAAACAGCCATCATTATCACCCAGCTAATACATTGTATCGTTGAGCCCTAGACCACAACCTTCACTGTCAAAGTTCTGTCCGGTACCACCCCACCCTACCTTGGGTGCCTTATAAAATACCTGGTAATTGCATGCCTAGCATGTTTTCCTCACCTTACCTGATTTAGCTGAGACACCTACAGTCCCAACACTGGCCAAACCAGTTTTCAAACTCACCTTGGTGACAGCACGTGCCCTACACATGTATGAATGAACTGTCACGGTTGAGTAACCTAAATAGTACACACTATAATAAACACTGTAGTAAAGAGTATCTTAGTATCTTAGTATACGTAGTATACAAGAGATAGCTTATTACCGACTAAAACAGTGCTAAAGGTTAATACTGATTGTTGTTGGCGTATACAACACTGATGCTTAGCAAAACAGTACTCATAATTAATAAAGACAGAACTTATAATTAATAAAGACGGTAATCATAATGTATAAAGACAGAACTCATAATTGAAAAAGACAGTCCTCATAATTGATAAAGACAGTACTAATAATTGATGTAGACAGTACTCATAATTGACAAAGACAATACGAATAACTGGAAAAGACAGTACTGGTTTTGATAAAAACAGAACTGATTGGTAAAGGGGCCACTGATGATTGGTAAAGGGGACACTGATGATTGGCCAATACAGCAGTGAAGATTGACCAAAAAAAAAGAACTGATGATTAGAAAAGACAGAACATATGATTGGTAAAAACAGTACTGGTGGATGCTTAAGACAGAACTAATGTTCGGTAAAGACAGTTTTAATGAATAGCGAAGACAGTAGTGATGAATGGTTAAGACAGTACTGATGTTTGATAAAGCTAGTACTGATAATTAATAAAGACAGAGCTGATAATTGGGAAAAACAGTACTGATGATTGGTAAAGACAGTCATAATGATTAGCGAAGACATTACTGATGATTAATAAAGACAAAGTTGATAATTGGGAAAAACAGTACTGATGATTGGTAAAGACAGTACTGATAATTGATACACACAGTACTGATGATGGATACTGACAGTACTGATGATTGATACACACAGTACTGATGATTGATACAGACAGTACTGATGATTGATACACACAGTACTGATGATTGATACACACAGTACTGATGATTGATATAGACAATACTGATGATTGATACACACAATACTGATGATTGATACACACAGTACTGATGATTGATACACACAGTACTGATAATTGATACACACAGTACTGATGATTGGTAAACATTTATGATTGGCAGTCGAGTGGTTAAGATCAATGGTTATTATTCCTAAGGGTTTGTGAGTTTAAATGTTTGCTTTAAATGCTTATGTGGTATTTACTTCGGCATATTCCCTTTATACTGCAAATTAAAAAAAGCGTATGGGCTGATAATTGCACAGATTAAAAATATAATAAAGTATAATCTTACACACTCAGGAGCTTACGTTTAACAGTTCTATGTTCTTAATATTTATATGAGAATATTTACTTTGCACTTTTTCGCCGAAACCATAAACAAACATCGTTTTTAATTTATGTTAATATCTCGTCTATCCGTGATATTCAAATGTATAAGTTAACAATACTGACGATATATTCGTCTCTTAAATGTTTTACAATAATCGCTAATATGGTATAACAATCATTTTACAGGTGTCTGGCATATGTTTTGTTGGTGTAATTAAGAAACAGAAAAAAACGTAATTCGAACCTGAAATCGATTATAAGAAAAAATTTGTTCAATTATATATATATCACCTATTGCGATCTTTTTGAAATTGATATTTTAGCATTGATCAGTTTATATGCCTTTGTGGTTTAATTTTGTACACGCTATTGATTTCGGTTCTCATTACACACCAGGGTATATTGAAAACACGAAGTCGTAGTACAAAATAATATTTATGGACTTCCATTATAATGACAGCAATTTAATAATATATTGATCTGGATTCGAGTCTAGGTAATATTAAAGAGTAATGTTTCCGTCAATTGTTATCATTAAATGCATATACCCGGATGTCCATGAACATTGTAAGGTGTTTAAAATATATGTAAATATCTGTTTTAATAACCCATTCTAACGTGATTCTATGTGCGTGTGTATAGATATAACCACCATTGAAATAGGTTATTATAATCAGAATATAGTCATTTGAGAATGGCAATTGGACTTGTTTGGTGAACCCAGACGGTCATGTAGTACCCATTGTAGGTTATATACGATTCTGTCGTACCAAATATCGGCAAAATCATTACAACATACAAGTCATATGCTTCGGATATTACGTAGGTGGTTTAATTTGCTACATAGCTTAAAGACGTTGGATAAGTAATTCTGCTTTATACACATTTGTTCTGATAAAAAGACTATCATATATTAGTGAAAAGCAGCAGTTTTAAATGCTTAACACAAACCGAAGATATCAAACGGAATTGTAAATTGATCAACTTTCTCTAACAAGTTGCCGTGGATGTTTCTGTGAATGTTGAATGAAGTTAATCATTCTGTTAATTTAGGGAGAAGGGTAGCCTATACACATTCTACGTGATACAAGGACACCAGGGAAAAGTATAATGTCTTTGAAATTTGGATGTTGGAAGGTATATTTTCCACCATGAAGAGGCTGACAATGGACAGGAAAGGTACGTAATGACAAAAAAGATACACGATTTAAGTCACCAGTGAAAGGACATGGTTCAAATGTATACACAAACCATACAATTGATGATCAGCAATAATATGACTCGTCCGATGCATTATGTTTATACAAATTCGTGTGCTTATTGATTTTGCAGGTGGCAGCATATATTTGTTATATGTAGAGTATAGAGGGACTACCGATGTGTAAGGTTTTGAACACAAAATATTTAAAGTCTACACTAACATGCACTGAAAAGCAATTGTTCCCACAAACTGTGTGATCATGCTATAGCAATAGAGCGTAACCAGTTTCAATTGCATTTTCCGCGAACGAGACACGAGTGTGTGACTCATCAACAGTAGAAGCATATTTCAAGTTGTTACCTTAAATTAACCGATCATACGTAATATATATTTTGAACATCATATTCAAGTCCGCTTATCAGATTAATGAAAAAATCCTTATGAACCATTCACAAAAAATACTATAGATATAAAGCCGTACATCGATGTCACTTGTTAAGACTCTGGTATAGATGAGACTGTTGCGTGTCGTTTGATTCTACCTAGTTAAACACGGGTGGGTTAAATTACTGCATATGTACAATTCAGACATAAGTCCGATGTACACATACATAATAAGGCATTGCTTGGAAGTATTTAGGTCCAATTCCTGTATTTTTCACTTATTTGTTTTCTGTCTAAATTGTTTTGCCTATCTGTTTTTAATGTTTAACGAAGCTCACACACGTGACTTTCTTTTATTTTTTTGTTTGCTTGTTACCGCTGTAATAAGTACTTAATATATCAACATATCAAAAATGGTTTATCCTTTACGTATTTTGATGTTGACGTTATAACAACTTGCGGCATTTTCTCATGGTTCCATATCGTTAATAATTTCATATCGATGTGGGAATTGCAAACATTCTGGTTAAATTTCAGTTGGTGAGAAAAAGTATTAAAATAAATATTAGCGAATCTTTTCATTAATGTTGCACGTATTTAATTGAATATGATGGAGTCATGGAAGCTAACCAATACCATCGTGCCCTATAAAGATGCCGCTCAAGCAGAAGGAAGCCATGTTCAAGAGATTGCATGATATTGGAGCAGTTCCACATAAGTTGAATGCCAAGAGTCGACAATATATATTGATCTACGCTACGGTATCCACACATGCTCAGATCCGCCTTCTATGAGGAACAATTGCCCACAAACTATGTGATCATGCTATAACCTAACAATAGAGCGTAACCAGTTTCAATTGCATTTTCCGTGAACGAGACCCGAGTGAGTGTAAAATATGTCAGCGGTAAAAGAATTGACTATACTAAGGGTTTTGATCGACTTGCCGTTGGAAGCAACGCATTTAATCGTTGGGGCGGGATAGAGCACAAAGAGTCAACCAAGACGATACCCAGGCAAACATGATTCTAAGGAGCTCGAATATGGAGGAACTGAAAGGGATGTTGAATGAACTGAAAACTCGCTGAACAAGTCAGAACTGGACTAGAAGGGTAAATGGAATAGCCTTTGTGGAAATGATATTAGCATGGTAATGGCTTATGTGGATATTTCGGACATGACAATGTCGATGTTGCAAATAGCAATTGTAATAATAAACAGCCTCAAAATATGGAAGCCAGCAACATACCAGTTAGGGAAAATCTGCCCAAATAAGTGTATGTTACATAGCAGATAAATTCGTTAAAGGAGAACTAACTAAAGCTCTCTTAGACATAACAGCCACTCTATTAAGGGTTGGCTAACCATTTAGTCATTTCAGTCATCCACCACTGTATGGACCGGATGATGGAGTCTTTAAGATTGAGGTTAATGGAGGTGAATAGTTGCCTTACCTGAGATTCATAGAAGATGAAGGGAAATGAGTACCTGAACTACTTGAAACTAGTATTCGTCTAAACTACCCTACCTAGAGTTGTTTGGTATTATCGACGCTGAACTCGATTCAGCTTTGACCGAGTACTTGGGCTGGTGTTGGCCACCACGTTTGTTTGATAGGATAGCTCCTACAGAATTCACACAACAAATCGTTCTAGAAACCTTCCAATCCTAGCAGTAGCAGAATAATGGTTACCATAGACGTTTTACAATCTCTTTGTCTCCATTTGGGACCGTATGCTAGTGATAACTCTAGCCTTCAAAGACAAGCACAAGCTTGTCGACAAATAGGAACACGATGTAAAGGTCGTACTGGACCAACCGCACCCGGACAAAGCAGTGTTTGGTATGAGAATGGAGAATTGGGAGAGTAGGAAATAGACAACTCAGCCGTTACCTTCTTCTATCCATATTGTACTTAAACCCTGTTCCGATACAGAATGAAACTTCAGACCCTGACTCGATTTGTAGAACGCTGTTAAACAACATATATTTTAGAATATGTTAATTATATACGGAATGGTCATACTTACTTGGAACAACATACAAATTATATTCCGCCTACTTTCGTTTTACCTGCGTGTGTGTGTTAGTGTACGAATGTGCCGCGATGTATCGAAATGTTATTATTCTGTTCGAAACCAGTATTAAAGATAACATATTTTGTATAATACCTTATGAATATTATATCTGTTAGTATTATCTTTGAAGTTTCCGTAAATGCGTCCCTTGTAAAATACTTTATTTTATTTTTTCAGTCAGGTGCATTCTTTTGTGAATATTTGGCTCGTATCTGTGTGTGTGTACTTATTGTTTTTGAAGATTTAATGTTCCCGGTGAACCTGCAATATGAAGTTTTTTCATATTTTTTTTTTAACTTTGAGGCCGGCGAGACGACATAACTTGGAAACCATTTAATATGTATTTACGAGCTGTCCTTATTCCGTAAAAATACCACGGTGTCGTCTCAATAATTGTTTTTTTGTTTACTTCCGGTTGCCTCATTTTCGTTTTCACTGGTTTTGGAATTTGTTTTTTTGAAATAAGCAAGGTTCGTGCATACGTTGACAATAGTCTACGAAATCGACAACGTTGATATGATTTGTACCTATTTATGCTTGGGATGAACTATATATATGTATGGTATTGTAACATGATTGGGTTGAAATGATTCCTGTGCAGATTGTCGGGGTCTCCGGGGAACAACTAAAAGACAGGTTTTATTTCATATCTAAAAGCGAAAACCAAATAGATCTTTTGCCCCAAAGACACATTAATTCATGGGGAAACCACAAGTATTATCAGAAATGAGCGGAGTTACGATTGCTTTTTTGGTCCTTTTAGTCTCACATTTGGGGAGCAGAGAAGCATTTCGTATAATGAAATAAATGAAGTTAAGGTTAATAAGGGGGAAAACATTTTACTTGTACATATATGTACATCTTGATAATGAAAGGAAAAGTGTCTATAAAGAAATAATATGAGTAGCAGCTAGCATTGAAGGTAACAAATAAACAGTATGAAATCAACAAAAGGATTAACTGTTGATTGCAAGCATTAACTTGAACGAACAACATAGTCTCTCTTTACATTTTCAAAGCATAAACTATCTGACTTTTGGTCAGTGTAGCATGTCTAACGCCCCTCTTACTACTATACACACTCTACTGAGCCTGTTTAATCTACATACGTTCATATAGACTAGTATTGTCAGGAAATATTTGGTGTTAGGCAAGTAGATGCACTTTGGTTTTTGTACTCTAAAGCACAGGAAATGATGTTTTTAAGTAAAAAAGCATTGTGGGATAAGTATGAAACTTTCACAAATTAAATATCATCATATAACTAATATCCATGCCAAGTTACATGCCTATCCCCCCAAATGCCTTTCATGTACTATCAGCGGATAAACATTGAAAATAGGCAGAACATTTGATAAAACAATGAAATCGGTTAACTTTAACGATACTTTCCTTGAGGCTAGGAGACTAAAAATTACCAGCAAATCAAACTTCATATATTAAATCAACATTTTACAGTAGTTGTGGTGGCAAATGCCATTTTTGATTTGTAAGTTAACTTTTATAAGTAAAAAACAAATCAGGAACTGGAACTCACTTCAGCCACAGGTGTTGAGCAAATATTCTATGATATATATAATAAACAATACTAACAATTGATATATTATACTTGTAGCATATAAAGGGTGTATGCACCTTTTAAATTTACTTAAAATTGAGAGATATTTGAAAAAAGCCAAGTTTGAGATGTGTCAAGAAGCTTTAACTCAGTATAAAACAAAAGGAAAGTATGAAGTCAATATGCAATTTATGTAAGTTTACTTAAATGAGTGAAATTAAAAACAATAATTAGAAAGGAAATTATTGAGAAAACAAATTACTTTTCAATTGACTGAAAAGACCCCCCTGACTTAATCCTTCGTTTTATATAAACAATCTTTAAGTGACGATTGAATTTCGGTCATTTTCATTCTGTTACATATGCTTGTCTAATTTCTACATGTTTCAAAAACAGAAATGGTATTATTTTGGTTTTTAAGCTCATTTTGAAAACAGCAAAACTATATTTGTGATTTTTGTACCCCCAGAAACCCACTTTGGTCATACAATAGGACATCAATAAGGAGGTGAAAATCCGAATATACCGAGAACAAAGACGATAAAGTGTAATATTATACTATCTGGAAAAAAGGGCAAGAGGAAGGAAAAAGACAACACTTTATCTTTTAGTTTAGATCGTAGAAATGTTACTTCATAAATAATATCAAACATGCAAAAAAGTATGACTGCATAGCAAAGAGGCATTCTTTAAGAAGTGCGCTTATTTATAAAAAAATTATGCGATGATAATAGTGACATTAGGAGCGAAGACAAATTATAAGCTATGGAACAAGGAACGGTTTGTTATCTGTGACTCAGAGACAAGGACAATGTATTATGGCATGCATTTCCAAGGGAGATACCAAGACATTATATAGGATAAATCTGTGTGTAAGATCAAACAGTATTTTTCTCAGGTGAAAAAATACCGGGAATTTCAATGGCATTATTCAGAATGTTGAATCAAACAATAATAAAGGAATGTTATTAGTGATCATTTTCGAGAAGACACTCGATTCATGATGTTTGTTGACATAATTTTGGATTTACTTTTTTAAGGCTCCGATTAGATATTGGGTAAAAGTGCTTTACACTCATGCTAATTCAGCTATAAATCAAGGAGGTATCTTTAATTATTACTAAATAAAAAAGGAGTGGTAGTCTAAGAAACCAAATCACCCAAATAATTTCATTCTTTGTGTAGAAAAAAACAGTTATAACGATTGGAAATAACAAAATGGTTTAGGGGGCATTTTGCCTTTGATGCATGTCTAACATTAAAATGCTCGAAAAAAAGGATTTGGAAGAATCAAATGATGAGTTGAATAAAAAAAAAAATTGTGTCTGGGTTAAAAAATACTTTACAAAAAAATACAAGTGGTTAGACCCGAAGACATAACCCATAATGAAGAAACATTTTTACAGAATTGAAACTAGCAATGGGGACAGACAAAAAAAACATTTCTCTAATAGACTTGAGTGTCCTGAGTTATTGTGAAAGGAGCTAAAAATTGTAAATAATGTAGTTCGTTATCAGATTCCTTGAAATTAAGGCGGAAACAGAGGATACAACAAAAGTCGGGCAAGTGGCAGCTTAACCTGAAATCAAATGAACTGATTTGCACATGATTTCAAATGGCAGAAATGTTTATATTTAAGAATATCGTTAAGACTTTGACAATTGTGCATTATGTCAATTTTCTGGTGTTTTTCTGTCATCAAAACTTTTAAGCTCAGTGTGATATCAAACAGAGTGTTCAATAGCATACCTTATTATTCCTAGTAATATTGAAATGTTCATTTAAGGGTAAAACATTATATCACCTTATGATATAAATTTTATAAAAAACTAATGTGTTTTCAATTAGAATTATCCTTAGCATATCGACAACACATTACATGTTACATGTAAGCAAACCTTTTTATCCATGAAAATACATGTAAATGCAGTCACCGTTCTTTTTTCATTCAGATGCCAAGGACTTGGACATGGATTGAGGTATTTACAATTAGATATCTGATGTCGGAATTGGCTCGTGTAGCTACATTCCGATACGTATCGTCTAGATTCTGGGTGTTGGACTTGGCCAGGTGGTACTTCGTAGACCACGATGGAGTGACCTTCGAGTGCATATTATGTGGCAGAATGAACGAATATAGAGGTATTATACATCATAATTTTCACGAACGTTCAACAGGTTAAGACTACATGTCACTTTGAGCACATTATTCCTTACGGTGGTTGCTAGGGAACATGTAACAATGATTTATATCTTTTTGAAGGAAGTCACTGATTAAATCACTACCTTGATATTAGACTAAGTTGTAATATTTTTACGTTTTAATAAAATATATACTAAAATAGGGAACACCTTAGCCAGTATATAGATATTTAGTAAACTAAATAATAAACAATATCACAAGAAGTGCTGATGTATTGAAGATTTAATTGAAATCACAGAAAATTATGATATAAAACAGTATATGAAATCTAAATGAAAATATTATAAAATGCAATTTTTAGATTGAAATACTGAATTTTCTTAATATAACGTTTTGTCATAATAGATGCATGTATTGTTTTGTGTAATAAGATATATGAAGCGTTTATCACCTTGTTTTATATATTTTTTTATATTTCTACTCTTATTCATTTCATTTCAACAATTTTATTGACAAAGTTGATACAATTCAATTGGATGGAATAACAGGCAAAGCCTATATAAATTCTCTCCAGCGATGGCTAAGTTAACGGATTCTGTTATTTTTATTTGATTTAATTTATACATCAATTTTGAAATGAAAATTATAAACAAAAAAATGAAAGGGATGTAACTCCTTCTTAATTAACATAACTGAAATACAAATACATTCACACTTCTCACATCACACACAAAACACTTCCACAGGTATTATTTATTTTATAACATTTTACAATGTATATAAGCTGTATAGCTATCAAATCACACAGATATTGGCAGACATTGACCAAAAGTCCATGTGCAAATATATGCACAGGTCACAGTCGCCAAAACTGTTAAGTTATTATAATTTTATATGCAAACAGATAGCTAGTCTATGTGTAATTCAATGTATAAGATGGAAACTGTAAAACAAGACAGATTGAACAAATCTTACAACAAACAACAACAAACAAACATGCTCAACTTAAAACTCCTATGTCCGTAGAAGAATAACATTTATAGAAAAGTAGGTAAAGTTACTTATTTGTGGAGTATAATTGGAATAGGAATAGTAAAGTATAAAAGTATAAAGTATAAGGTCATGGCTGGTTAGATCATATAGAGATTAAAACGCCTAGATTTACCAATAAATAACTGTACATCATTAAGTAACTGTCTGTTTGTTAGTCCATCACAATCAGGACAGCCTTGTAGAAAAATGTTTGTATCAATATGGTTATGATTTCCATAATTATCAACAGAAGTAAATAAAGTAAGTCTGAGATCATTATACAATGGACATTCAAGAAAGTAATGGAAAACTGTTTCATATTCAAAAGAGCAAGCACAAGAGGGACAGTCAGTTAAATGGTCATTGAATAAATCAAAATTTAAATTGCTACAGAAGTTTCTAAGTTGACAAAGAATAATATTGGCCCTTCTATCACCTTCAGTTTTAAAAATTAAGGTTGATTCATTATCGATAATAATATCTTTATACAGTTTGTGTTTAAAGGTTGCAAGAGTTGGGGAGTTTAAGAGATCATTATCAGTAGTGTTAGTTGTGCGGCACATTAGAGGGAGGAAAATGTCAAAATAATTGTTAGTTCTGCATATTGGTTCTGCATATTGGTGAATTAAACAGTCTTGTTTGCCTGACGGAATAGGGATTATTGTTTTGATTGTTAATGAAAGGATTTAAGACATCTTGTAAGTAATGAGGTGACAGCCCATGCATTATTTCATACATCATTATGTGTTTGTGTTTATTTCTTCTTGTTGACAGAGTTTCCCAACCAAGTTCATTATAAAGTTTATTTTGAGATGTTCCAGATCGAAGTCCAGAAATGATTCTGGCTGCCTCTAATTGAATAGATAACCTAGAAGTTCTTTAGATTGTTGAGTGCAATTATCCGATACTATGTCTGCATGTTCCAAAATTGGCCTAATACATGCTATATAAATTTTAATTAATGATTTACGATTGACTTTAGTTTTAATGTAACGAAGAATATTTAATCTACTATAAGCTTTTTCATATATATTCAGAATGTGTTGTTTCCAAGATGCATCATCTTTTAAAGTCAGTCCTAAGTGTGTATGTGCTGTTGAGGCAGTGATTTGGCTGTTTTGGAAAGTTATTGGAGGGTGATGTTTGTTATGTTTTCTAGAAAATATTACAGATTTAGTTTTGTTAGGGTTGAATTTGATGTCCCATATACCTGCCCATTCATCAATGATAGAGAGATCATTTGTCAGAACTTGTGCTGCATGTGCTGGGTTTTCATCTGTAATTACATATAAGGAGGTGTCATCTGCAAAAAGCTTAATATTAGTTGAAACATTGTCAGTGATGTCATTAATATAAAGGAGAAATAGTAAAGGTCCCAGAACAGATCCCTGAGGTACCCCTGCATTTATACCCTTAAACTGCGAGTGATAACCTTCAGTGGTGACACTTTGCACTCTATCAGAGAGATAATTTTCAAACCATAAAAGTAAATTTCCATCAATTCCATACGTTTTAAGTTTATGTAAGAGACCTTATTCTACTCTTATTCGAATTTATGATATGCCATACCAATTAGTTTCTTCACAGACGATTTTTGCTGGATATTATTTTAATAATATTGAACATTTCAAAGGATGAAAGCAAAGCTCAACTTGCTACTGTTAAAAATGGCAATACAAGAACACTTTAAGTGATAAATCTTATGTCAAACAAGTCGCATTTTTAGCATTGCATACAATGCACATGGGGATTTTCAAATAGTTGCCGAATTGGTCATTTTTGAACAAAGTTCGACGAACAATAGGTATATAGAATTTTCAGGAACTCCAAGAAAGTCTTGTTTCTAACTTAAAATCAATGATTTCCTTTATTCTGTTGCATAATCTCTCTTTTAAATCTTATCATAGCTTTAAGGAATGTGGACATTCTCAGAAAAGATGTTCTGTTTTTTCAGGTATAACATATATTGTCATTCGACATCCCAATAGTATTTAGATAATTTTTAATTGGGAGGATAACAAATTGTAATCTGTATTGAAACCATCGCAGTATTGTATCTGTTGTAATTTCAAAGACAATACTACATTGTATATGAACATTTCAAATCTATATTTCTAAAAAAGAAATCAATACTCATTTTCTTTCAGCTATAGTTACTAATTTAATTTTGCATTGCAAAATAGACTGGCATATACTATGATAAAGCAAGAAGTTTAAAGAGTTTATATTGTATTTCAGTTTTAAAATTTAGAAAAGCAAAAAAAAAACACTACTTTGCTCTAATGGGTCACAAACATTTTAAACCCCGATCAAACCATTTTCTGACAAAAACAAAAGAAAACCCCAAAAAACCCAAACAGAACAAAACAAACTAATTGCCAATACCGAAAAGTGATATTTTGTTTATCCAGACAGGGAGAGCTAGGAACTGCTTAATAGCTTTCATTTGTGTTACTTCAGAAACATTTACCCATGCCTGAAAAACGTCATTCCAGAAGATATTATTAGTTGTAAATTTTTTGACAAAATCCCATCACATATCTGATATATTTTCTACTTGAAAGTGCTCTGCTGCAAACATATGAATCCAACTTTTACCATTATTCGTATCGAAGTGGACTTCAAACTGGAAATGAAATTAGTGATGTTAATCATTTTAAGGCCTCAATTTTCATGATTTTGGATTAAAGTATTTCGTTTAATTTTGTCAACAGGAGATTCCAAAAAAAATGTGAAAAAATGTTATGTTCAGTTGCTGGATGAAAGTGCTGGTGGGTGTAGGAATTGCAATGAACAGAATTAAGTTTTGGTATTATTATTGATTTTGATACTACATTACGACCAAAAGGGTTAAAACCCTACGTGGCCATTGGATATACTGTTAATTACAGTTTTTGGAGCTTTCACATAATTCAAGGTTATAATCTCTTCTAAGTTTGTTTCCCCAAATTTTAATTTTCAACTATGATGGAAGACATTTGCACTGAATTCTTTGTTGCCATTAGTCCAAATAACTTTTGTTTTACAAATTTTAACTTTTAGACCTGAAATTTTACCAAAACAATCAAAAGCATTCAAAGCTTCATTGAATGAATCTCTAGATCCATCTAAACTTATTGAGGTGTCATCCGCAAACTATGAGAGTTTTTGATCCTTGTTTTTTTTTGAATACCCTGGCTATTTACCCATGGGTTCAAAACCTGTGAGCATTTATGTTTAAATATTTATGCAAAGTAAAAAGGCTAGTTTTTAGTCGAATATAGGTCCTAGAAATGGTGTTTGCGGAACAACTGGAATAAGTATTCCGTTTAGAGTAAAACAGGGATCAGGTGAATTTTTCGACGTTGCACACCAGTTTGTTTAATATCTAGAACATTTAAAGCCATTTTCACTGCCCAGGTATGAAGTTTGTTTAGACACAGCTGCAATTGTCTCTCATATGTTTTGATCTGTAGCAATGTAGGAAATCATCAACCATCATCAACCAAAAGGTGGACGGTCCAAGCCATTTTGCTATGCAATTGATTTTCAATCCGAAAATGAAACAAAAAGTATGCTCCCTTGGGGTATACCAATTTCCTGCTTGGTCATGTCGGGAATGTCTATTTGATAAAGAAATATAAGCCACAAGATTCCCCAAATTCCAACTTGATAGAGATATTTTGTGTTAATTTGATTCCATGTGGTATGATATGATTTTTATAGTTAAAAAAAGACAGCAGCTAAATGCTCTTTTTTTGCAAAACTATCATGAATGTGAATTTCAAATTTAACTAGATGATCAGTTGTGCTCCTTTTATGTCTGTCATGGAGAGAGAATATTTTAAGGTTCCAAGTACCACATAAGTCTGCAGTTAACCACTCTATCAACAGTGTTACAAAGCAAACTTATAAGATAACTATGACGATAATATTTAGGACTAGTTGTATCTTTTTCTGGTTTTGGAATGGGAATCAGTGCTGCCTCCTTCCATGTTTCGGGAATTCGGCCAGTATCGTATATTTGGTGAAATATATCAAACAGACATTGAAGGGATATATCTGGTAAATGTTTCAGGAGTTTGAAATGTACCTCATCAGGTCCAGTTGCAGTGTCGTGTGACTTATTCAGAAAATCTTGTCATTCAGTTATTGCAAACGGTTGTTTATAATCCTCGGTATAATTGGATTTGAAATTCAATTTAGTCTTTTCTTGTCGGGTCTATTTAAAAAAAAAATTAAGTTGAATGGTTGATGACGAGTTTCTTGCATCTGCAAGTTGATTTGCAATTTCATGTTTAGCTGAAACAGTTTTATTATCTGAAATAAGCTGTGGGGAGGCTACGGTGGTTCCCTTGCAACTGATTTTCCTAATCATACTCCTTTTTTATATTGTTTCTGGGGAAAGTTAAGAAACAAATTCTTGCCAAGTGATTCATTTGTTTTCTTTATTTAAACGGCGTGCTTTTACAGTTTAGACTTTAAACATATTAAAGTTAGTTGGTAGAGTAATTTTTAAACTTTCTAAGAGCAGATTTACGATAACTTTGAAAGACATTATTCAAACTAATTTCGGTAAATGTTTTAGTAGGGTCAGCGTACAGTGATGTCATCAATAGAAGAACCAATATTCCTTAGAAAGATTGGAAAATTTTCATTTCTGCAGAGGTCATCATTCACGGACCAGTTATAATCTAAATGAACACAGAATAGACAAAATGTTAGGTCAATATGCGTGAAGATCCTGATGCTGGGTGGATACATGTGGGGGATTTATTATTGTATAAACATATAGTATGCTTAGTTTTACAACTCGCCTAACAAGTGACAGTGACATTTTGCGCTAGTTCGTCCACTAATCTTATGTACAATGTAATGTCACGTTACCATGTAGTCTGCTGTCACGTAATTATTACGAAGCTGTTCGTTTTCAACAAACCTGAAGAGCCTAGCGAAGATATAAACACATGTTGTAATAATAATAGTTATTCAAACAACATAGTACACGGAAGGTCGCTAATGTTAAGTATAATTTACGAATTTACTTTTATTTCATTATACAATGTGGAAATCGGAGCTCAAATAAAGATTCTTACTTACGATTTTGTTTATCTCATCTTCAGAGGGAAGATTGTCTGAAGCGGAACTTCTGTCCCTTCATCATATTCGTTGCCGAATACGAATAATTCGGGTCCGAACACGCTGCTGATACATCAGTTGGTAAGTGGTAAGATGTTTTTATGTGAATTTTATTTCTTTTCATTAATTAAATGTAACAAATATTCACAATTTATTTTTTTATATTCAAAGCGGGTTATTTTCTCGAAAAAATGTGAAGTAATGTCAAAATATCACTGTGCTAATTGTCGATTTGGAAATCAAATGTATGGATTGTAATTTGATAAGATAATTTTTATCACAGTCATTTAAAATTTGTGGATTCGCCTTCGGCAAAGCCATACAAATATAACTGCCTCGAACACTTGCTCTGTATGCAGTATCAGAGAAACGTTATTGGACCCACGTATGTAATATAAAAAGAATTTGATCCACTAATATTTTCATATTAATTAAACTATTGTAACAACAGTTAAGATAAACTATATTTCCAAAACCGTTTGAATAATAAGTAGTATTTTCATTTCTCTTTGTAGGTGGATGGAAATAAGATCTAAACGCCGTTTTCTGCTTTATTTTACCACATGGGTTTGTCAAACCAATCTGCTTCCAGGGGCTAATGTACAAACAAATATCATCTAATAGTCATGCATGAAGTAGTTGAGGAGCCTGCAATTTGTTGGGGTATCTCTCTAACTGACTGATCCAGTGTAACAAATTAGATATAGCCACAACTGCCATGACTTTTGGGGGCTGGAGAAAAGTGATTGAAGACGTAATGTGTCATCTTCTTTTACAATGATAATCAGTTGTCCATTATATTACACATATTGTTTTCGAGGTAAATTGTGACATGAATTTCATTACATACAAAGAATACATTTATAGTTATTGTAATCTATTCTAAAATCATGTTACATAACTTATCAAATAATGTAATAGAAATGTTCGAAATAGGAACTTCATTCTTACTTCTGACAAAAACCCCACAAAAGTATTCCAATCAATTGCAGAAACATTATTTGATATGTTGATATGGTTTTAGAATATACAACACTTAATTGAGTCCAATAAAATAAATACTGTGGTTCTGTTCATTTCATTTCAACATATTGTATTCCTGATGGTAAACCAATAGGATTGAACAAAAGGCTATGCCTATATCAGTGTCTCCTGCATGCAGTCTTATGCTACAGTATTGTAATTTATAATGAAATGAAAAATAGAAAAACAAAAACTTATATACAAACAGATATCAATGTGCAAGTCAATGGTATAGGGGAGATAAATCAAATTGATTTTAATAATTACAGGTCAGCTGGCTAGGGATGTTTACTTCACAAGGGAAATGGATAATGTTCATCATCTTTCACTAAGTCTTTCTTCCCTTGGAATTCAAAATCCACACAAATGACATGCAGTCAAAACATCACTTAACAATTATACATCAGCTAGTTTAAGTGTTTAATGATATTAACATCCAGTTTTAGATCACTCAACATTTTCTATGAAGAACTCTTAACTTGTATATTCATATTTAAAATATTAGTACATTGTAACTAATCAATGTGTAATTCTATATAAATAAACCGTTTTGAGTTTTCGATAAAGGTTGAAATAATTTCTATGATGTTTTTTTTAAGTGGCATGATCACATCGCTTGCAATCATTGAGTATAGTATACTGTGTATAGTGTGAGTGATTATCACTAGGAAGAGGTGATGGAAATAGTTTTCTGTGACTGTTGTATTTAAAACACAGCAATAATTTTGTAATATTTGTTTCCTGCTTTTTTCAACATGCACATGTAGTAGATTCTAATATATGGTCATTATACAGATCAAAATTGAAGTTGGTAGCATTATTTCTAATTTGAAATAGTATAATATAGATTCTTCTTTCATCCGTGTTCTTTTACCACTGCATGGGTATAACTATTTGATAAGCTTCTAGTTTTTCACTCAGTTTGTTATATTGGGAAATAGATTAAGCATTTACTATAATTTGGTCTAATGGATTATAATGTTGACAATTGAGGGAAAAGTAGCTCTCAGTTTGGCATGTCGGAGGGTTGAAAATCATTTTTATCTTAACTGATATCTCACATTTTTTATTCATTTTAAAAGGATCAACTATATCATTAATAAATGTATTGCCTAGTCTTCAGGATCAAAAAATTAAACAACTCTTTCTGTTTACCAATGTATACAAAAAGAATTCCACCGGCACTAAATGTGATCGGTAATTTTACTTTTTCATTTATCCATTTCTCCAACATTCATTAAATGTTTCTGACATAATCGCACTAAAGAAAATGACTGTATGTTTCAGTTTCATCGTGACAAAATGAGCAATATGGTGTACTGTCAGTAACTCACACGTATACATTGTAGATCTTTAAATTTTGAAGCACCAAAAATTATGGCAATAATTTAGTACAGATATTTAATAACAATATAGCGATAATTTGAAAGCCAAATTATGTACTTTTATCTTTGTATGAGAAATATTGATGTCCATCTCACACTACCTAGTACATACGTGTATGTCATGAATGATAATGCTGTAATATGACTGTGAATGGAAAATAAAAATGAAAAATGAAAAATAAATAAATCATTCAGGTACTTAAGTGCTGTGTTATGCAATAGTTTATAAAGAAAAGTTAATTTATTTTCCCTCCTGTCATCTTAGGTTCTCCTCTGAATTCTATCTATAAGTCAAGGTGAGTTGTACGTCTCTACGTAGCCCTATCACTACTGTAGCAGCATTTAGTTATGATTGCTTAGTGCAATTATCCTAAACAATATTTGCATATTCTAAAATCGGTCTGACATAAGATATAGTATTAAGTGTACTTCTGCCAAGTGAGGTTTTAATGTTTCATAATATATTTGTTTTTTATAAATGTATCATAAATACTTTGCATATGTTCACTGACATAAGAATGTTTATGGGTAGTCCTGTCAGTTAGTGGTTGGTAAGAGAAGAATATTGTTGGATAGTTAGTGTCATTTTCCCTGACTGATGCTCAATGATAGTTTCAGATGCTTTAAGGTAATTTTACAGGCAAGTAAAACATTTCTTAGATTAATTAACTGCAACAGGATGTCATTGAGATTGACCTGTACTTACTGACATCATTCTCCGACCTCTTTCCCATACATTTAGCATTAACATTAGTATGTTTCCATGATGCAGGGATGTGACCAAGTGCCATCGTTTTGTTAATAGTAATGTGAGTGGATATGCCAATGAGGGTGTTAGTTTTTTTAATTACTATTTCATATGATCCTTCTGATGTCAAATCATTTATTAGTTTAAAAGGATGGATTACACCTTTTTCAAAATATTAATACTACCTAATTGAAAAGGATAGGGTTTACAGTAGGTTGCAGCTATGGGATGAGGTACGCATTTATTGTAATAGCTCTATCGATAGGAGCTTTACCAATAGGAAAAGGAAAAGGAATTGAAAAATTAAAAATTGATAAAGACTTTTTTTTTTCATCACTTCGATGGTGGTAAAAATGTATCACTCTGTAATCTCAGAAGATTTTTCCGGTAAGTTTTTGTCTTTCTCCTTATGATTTCAATGGTTCCTTTCTAATATTTCTATATTAAGTCCGGTGGTATTGTTTTTGCCTTTCTATGGATCCTATTGTTTGATCTTAGTTTCAGTCGGATATGTTGTCTGTTGTATTCTATATACACTTTCATTAGCATAATATGTGTTAAGAACATGCTGTCCATTCCTTTATCGAATAATATTAGAATTGACCGTAACGTACCTTTCAAAAGTTTCTTTTTGTTATTTTGTTTCCCAATATTTCTTTAATTTCGAGTGTTCCATGATTATGTGATTAGTCTGTGATGTAGGCATTACGAGAAGTCACAATTAGGTACAGTACCATATAGCCGTTTACAGAGACATACGGTGATTGTCTATGGATACAAATGCTTTGTAGGCGTGATATGTCTCAAGTGATATGTCTGAAGTGATATGTCTCAAGTGTTTGCTTGCATGGTTTTGTATTCTGCATGATTTCTGCATGATTGATTGAGACGTGATCATTAATTATCATGTAAAGAAGTATGGTTTTCGTTCGGTATCGGCGTATTTGTAATTCGGATCACTAGATTTAAGAATTATGCCTGTTACCGAGCACTGTTTGCTGTTTTCTTATCAAATTGGCTAGCGTTGTGTTTTCTCTATTTTGTTTGTTTGATTCGCAGTGTGTGAGTCTATTACATAAAAAACAGTATTCAAGATGATTTTCTTATCGTTTTACATCGGTTTTCTTGGAGTATTAGACTACTTGCCGGCCAAAGGGATATGCTTTATCATCATGTTGTGTGCTCCGTTTCTTATTAATAAATCCCCCCCAAAATAGTGGGGGACTTACTGTTTTTACTCCGTTTCCTATTATTATTATCATTATTATTCTTGTTCCGCCTAAATTTCGTCCGATACATTTCTCAACAACTATTGGACGGAATATAATGAAATTTTACACAAGTGTACGTTAGGGTCTGGGTGTGTGCAAACGACAAATGCAAATATGGGGGGCAGTTTGGAGGACTTATGTAATGGTCTCCTATCTAATGATTAATACCATGTACGTAAACTTTCTGCAAGAAAACATTCAAATGGTAAAGTACGAAACTTTTCATACGAACACAACATTATTACAATGTTCATAAACGTTTTATCTGTATACAGCAGGAAAAATGATCTCCCTTCATTGTTTTTGAAAAGGTAAAATGATTTATATAAAAAAATGTACTTTCTTTAACATTAATAGATATACAAGGTTTGTTAAATGTCCCCGTTACAACTTAATCATTTAAATATATTTACATTTCTGGTGTTCAGTCCATAAACATGCAGACCTAAAATATTGTTATAGTCAAAGAAAAGCAAGAATTATTTCACGTGAATGTTTTCTAACTGGAAACTGTTCAGAGACGTGACGTCAAATTCAAATTATAACAGAAATCCGAAATAGTTTCCGATTTCTGTTTGCCGTCTGACCTTACTGAAAACTATAATAAACACACGGTTTTGTTTGTGCATAAATGGCTGTTCCGACATTTGTTAAAACAGTTTGTTTAGATGTATATATATAATCAAATAACAAAAACAAGGAACCAAATATCGATATTGCCGTTGTTGATTTAACCTAATTAAAAGATTTAAATATATCCTATAAACATTAGTGATGTTGTGAAACTGAATTCCGATCAAAGATATTCTCTGCACATCATGAAACATGTTTGAAAGGAACTATGTTTTATAACATCATAACGAATAAAATGATGCATTTCCATCCTCCAATTATTTTAAGCATTACAATTTCATGTGAATAAGTTTAAACATACTGTACTGAACTCAATTCCGTTCAAAGATATTCTTTGCACATCATGAAACATGTCTGAAAGGAACTATGTTTTATGACATCATAACGAATAAATTATGCATTTCCATCCTCCAATTATTTTAAGCATTACAATTTCATGTGAATAAGATTAAACATACTCAAATGAACTCAATTCCGATCAAAGATATTCTCTGCACATCATGAAACATGTCTGAAAGGAACTATGTTTTATAACATCATAACGAATAAAATGATGCATTTCCATCCTCCAATTATTTTAAGCATTACAATTTCATGTGAATAAGATTAAACATACTGTACTGAAACATGAGTAAGATCCTTCCAATTTCCAAATATTTATTTCAGTAGATTAAATACATATAGTAAATGCTGAAAAATACAAAAATGACAAATATTCAAATTGCTGCACTTTTCTTTTGTGATTTAAAATAATTCAGTTACTGATAGGAAAATACACTATCATAATGTAAAAATACTAACGTGAATGTTTACCTACACGCCTAGGTTCTTACACAAAATATGCCAAGAATTTTAAGAATACCACTTTCAACAGTAAGTTACAAAGTTAAGTGCCTACAATATACATCCGACAATTGCATTTCTATTAAAAATAGGCCTTTAAATGGAATTCTTACACCAATTTATACATGATACACAGTAGAGAGAAATAATGTTGGACACTCTATAAATGATCCTTACTAAAAATAGATATGACGTAAGCAAACATAGGAATGTCAGACAGACGTACTGGACGGACATAAAGGACAAACATAATGTGTCTGTGAATTATTAGACAGTTATTAAATGTAAATACAAACCGACTTCAGGTAAACGAGATGTTTATAAACATCCATGCCAAATAACAGATTTAGCGTAAATAATATCTTAAAGCAGCAAAGAAAATAAAAGAGTAAATGTCTACACATAATGTTAAAATCAGTCATCGAAGACTTGACCTAGATTGCTGCCAAAAGTAAATTTACCATTTACGATGGATATTAAGAATGACACTTAAATAAACCTGCTTATTAATCTAAGGGAGAATCATATAAAACACTCAGAACCAACGAAACTTACATTGTTTGGGGCATTATGAACTTCACAA